TGATACAGCCAATCATATATCCCTTACCAATACATTTTCTCATATGATTAGTAAATACGATAGATCGGACCATGTTCTCCTTTTTTCTTATTGGTTAGCTAGCTGGTCAGACCACTTTCTCAGTATTTCCCTTTCTCGGTCTGACCATCGCCGTTCACTATATAGAGAAGTATATACTCGATGTATTATTCTCTAGTTCAATATTAGTTTGGATTTGCGCTCTTACTGATACTCTTCATTCTCATACTCTGATTCACCGCCTTCCAGGAAAGACTTGACCAGACATTGGGCTTTGTTATATAGCTTCGTATTTGTTGCCTGACAAAAATTGTAACAACCAAGAGTTAGTTACTCTGGCGCACACAGGAACACACTATAAAGGTAGTGGAAGATGGGGAGTGGGTACCCCTTGGGCTGCAGTGAGTTAGTTGGTATACAACAGGAGGACTCGCTGAGGAGTCTCCTGGATCTATTGGGGTATATATACTACTACAGGTTTGTTTGTACATGTGTACTATACAGTTGATGAAGGCAGTGGCTGATGATGTCATAGGGTCTAGCCCGTATGGCCAGCTCCACTGCGTGAGAGAGTTAAGTCTAAAAGTAAAAGAAAGGCAACGCGGCGCGAGAAAGGGAAATGCCGCGTGGCACTTAAAGTATAAGGTTAAAGCGGAGAATAAAAAGGAAAGGAGATGTCCGGAAATTGTGTTATCGTAACAAAAACCGCAGAACCAATGAAGTACCTATCCGTAGACTTCATAACTGATTTACCAGAATCTTCAGGATACGACAGTATAATGGTCGTGGTAGACCAAGGTCTTAGTAAGGGGGTAATCCTCTCACCTTGTCATAAAACCATCAACGCACTCAAAACCGCACGAATCTTTCACAATTCCATCTTCAAACGATTCGGATTGCACGATAAACTCATATCCGACAGGGGACCACAGTTTGCCTCTGAAGTATCCAAAGAACTCCACAAACTCCTGAACATTGAAACTGCACTCTCCTCTGTGTATCATCCCCAGATGGATGGACAAACAGAACAATCCAATCAAGAACTGGAGATCTACCTCCGCATATTTTGCCAGAACCAACCACACAGCTGGGCAAAATACCTTACTACCGCCGAATTCTGTCACAACCAAAGACCACACTCCACAAACAACCAATCACCATTCTACCTCCTCATGGGATATGAACCCCGAGGAATCCCAACTAAACACAGATCCACGAATATCCCATCAGTGGAAAAACGATTATCCGAACTGCTTAGGGCAAGGGAAAACGCCCTAAAAGCACACGAACTCGCAAGAAGCAAGATGATGAAAAGAAACAACGGAAAGTTCACGCGATTCTCCAAAGGACAAAAGGTGTGGTTAGAGAACACCAACCTGCAAGAAAAAGCTACCAAATACAAGAAGTTCAACATGAAACACATCGGACCTTTTCGCATCCAAGAAAAGATTTCCCCAGTAAACTACCGACTATCCCTGCCTCCCCATTGGAGGATACACAATGTTTTCCACGCATCCCTTTTCACGCCGTATATGGAAACTAACACTCACGGCCCAAACTTTATCCGACCACCACCTGATCTGGTCAACGAAGAAGAGGAATACAAAGTAGAAAGTATTCTTAGACACAAACCCTAGAAACGTGGGCGCCGCTACCTGATTAAATAGCACCATTACCCTCATTCCGAAAACTCATGGGAACCGGAAGAACATTTAACCAATGCTGTGGAGATATTGGAAGCCTATAAGAAGGACCACAAGCTGTGTTGAAGAGACAATCACCCCACTACCAACAATCCTCTGTCTCTCAACACAAAACATGTCTACTTCTAACTCCACCGGCTTCCCTATCACCACCTACTCGATACCCGGTGATGCCAACTTGTAGCCGACGAACGAGTGTCTTTTGCCCGTGGGCAACAACACAACCAAGCCGATGTCACTGACGCCATAGAATTAATGTCAGCAAAAGACGCCTATACCTATCTCTTTTACGAGACCGAAAAACGCTGCCCCCATGCGTATCACGCTCTTTCTTCCATGCATACCTTCCTTGCCATAGACCTCATAGCTGATGAACTCATAAAAGCCATAGACTCAATACATTTGTTGGAAAGCGAGCATTCGCGGCTCAACAGTCAGGACTTGAGTATCTGTCGGGCACTCCGGATGAAAAAGTTAGTTTTGGAATCTTTGGAACGACGCTTGAGGATGAGCTCCTTGAATGGGCAGATGGACCCGGCAAAGGAATATTTGGAATCAGGCGGGAGGACATTGCTAAACGAAGCTCGCACGCGGATAGAGCGAGACGGTTGTACGAGTACTCCTCCACCCGGTTTGTCCCTCCGGTCCCTGTCGCACCCAGACCAGACCAGTGTTACCCCGGAGCGCACTTATCACATCATCACCTGTCGACCTATGCCCATCCCATCGGAGGAAAAATATATTCCCACCGTCCCAACCAGCCCGATCTCACAAGAGTCGAGCCACTCCAGTCCCCGTTCCATTGGGTTGAACCCAAAACCACCGTCTCCCCCATCATCTCCACCTTGACCAGTGCCAAACGCCCCAACCCATCACCTGACGAACTGACGAGGAGCCTGACGCGGCCGGCAAGAGGTGATACTCCAGATCCCCGCCGCCAGAACTCCATCAAAACGGCAGTCTCGTATGTTGAAGGGTCAGAAAGGCAGTCCGCCTGGCGCAACGCACAGGCCTGAGACTGGCTCTCCCTCCAACCCAATCAATGTAGATGATGATGCAGCCATGATCAATTAGTTGTACGCAGGAACGTACAACCTAGGAGATGACAATCCAACCACTCCCCAATCCGACACCTCATCCAACACCTGACGAAAATACCACGAAGGTGTTCGTAACAACGCTCCATACTGCCAAAACTGCGGTTGGAGCGATCATCGTACATACTATTGCGAAGCCTATTATTGCCCCGACTGTGACCGTCGTGCACCGGGACATAGTTTTAATTGGAGTCCCATCCGCAGGGAAGACGAGGATAGGATTCTGATGGAAGGATTACATGGAGATGTCAGCTACGACAACAGTTACAATATTGACGGCGAAGGTACCGAATTTCAGTGAAACTCGGAGCAAGTAAGGGGGTAATGTTACGATCTCTATTGGACATTTAAGGACTGCTCATTTCTTTTTACTCATCGGTTATACCATTGGACCTATGACTCATTTCCTTCACGTACACTTTTGTTCCTCTCGCATTTGCAGTACCTATTATAGTACTTAGTCCTGAACAGACGGACCTGCCCTAGATAGGACCTAACTCCTATCACCAATTCCTCTCCATTATAAATACCATGTAATAGCAGTAGTATTCTCTAATACAATTCTACGCAGTTTACGCTTACAAAGCTAGACTCCTAAGATCAGACTTCTACTCAGAAGAAGACCAACTCCCGTTGGAAAACCTCCACTCAGAACTATGTTCTCGAACTTGTCTTCGGATAAGTCTCTTTACAAACCTCGACAAACCCTCAGACTTTGTTAAGCACTTCATGCGTAAAATGTACAACTTTGAATGATTAATCAGCGGGTGAGAGAATTGTACTAATAATAGGTGTTTATCACGCGTGTTCAGGAACCGTATCCTCATGATGAGGTACAATCCTGATCAAAGTGTTTATTAGTATATCCAGGCCTTGATGTGGCTTGAAGCTGGTTGGCAAGATGCCTACTACCAGTCCCTACCCATCGTGCTGGCTGGCTGGGAGTGATACCCAGTCTCTAATCTGTGATATAAAGTGGTAGTGATGGTTAAGAAAGCCTATGAGGGCTATGAGAAGTAAGATAGCAAACGATACCTCTAGCCCTAGAGCCAGAGGTGTAATGGGAAAGTGTTCAAGAACCAAGACATAGAGAAGATAAGAAAATAGTAAAATGGTCCTTACGTTATACTGTAGCGAGTAGCACCTCCAACTATAAGTAGTAGGGGGTTTAGTATAGAAATACCTTAGTCGTTTCTATAGCCTCTTGGGCAGCGGCTGAGGTATGTTACATTATATTTATTAGAAATCACCTTAAACTAACATCCATTGTAGTTTCACTTAGGTAAATAATAAAGTCGTTTCTACAGCCTCTCGGGCAGCGGCTGAGTTTCACTTAGTTTTATTAGTCAGCATTGTTCTCCTAGGAGTCATTATACTATAGCAAGTAGCACCTCCGACTATAAGTAGTAGGGGGTTTAGTATAGGAATACCTCAGTCATTTCTATAGCCTCTTAGGCAGCGGCTGAGTTTCACTTAGATTTATTAAGATGTTCTAATTTCTGACAGTATTATCAAACCACATTTGGTCAAATCAGGCAAAAGTGGATTTTTCTGACATTGAGTAGATCATATACATCCCGCACCATGCAGTTCATGCGCAAGAAGAGACACTGGGCAAACTAGATCTATGCTCTTGGTAATAAAACTAAGTGAAACTCAGCCGCTGCCCGAGAGGCTATAGAAACGACTTTATTATTTACCTAAGTGAAACTACAATAGATGTTAGTTTAAGGTGATCTCTAATAAATGTAATGTAACATACCTCAGCCGCTGCCCAAGAGGCTATAGAAACGACTGAGGTATTCCTATACTAAACCCCCTACTACTTATAGTTGGAGGTGCTACTCGCTACAGTATAATGACTCCTAGGAGTACAATTGTGCTCCTAGGAGAACAATGGTTACTCCATGGAGTGGTGGCTATGCTCCATGGAGAACAATGGCTGCTTCGGCAGAGACCGGGTTTATCCGGTTTTGTCACTTGGTGGTGCCCAACTCCAGGTGCATCAGTAAAGTGTCAAATTTCTTGACGGAACTTGGTCACGCTTTGCTGACTTTCAAGACTGTTCAAGAAATATAAGGAATTAAAGCTCTATCAAGTGAACAAGAAAGCGAGCCAATTCACCTTCAACTTCATTTAGACACGTAGGCTGGTCTAAGTAGAAGCATTCAGACATTTTGAGCAAAGTGTTATCCAAGCGTGGTCCAAGTACATGAAGTATAAAATCAAGTTTGACAAGTTATGAATCATCCTTGGCTAAGTCCGAAGGCATGATGGTCTATATATTTATTAATGTAGAACGTAGGAAATTTATCTAGTGAGTTAGTGAAATCAATGTCAGATGGGATGAACCGATGACCATAATCGCCGAATACAGGCATGAGATGTGCACTACGAAAGATACAGTCTAAATGAATAATTTCGAGACTGGGTGATCCATCGTCATTTGTATCAGGCTGGACCTTCCACAACCCAGTGAGTTCATCAGGCTCATCCAGAATATGAGAGAACCACTATATAAGAGCACATGGATAAGTAGTATTATCATGTGAGAAAGAAAGGAATGCAAAAATGCGAACGACATCGAGTCCTCGGATTCCTGGAATTGAAGGATCGCGCTCGACAAAAGCACAGTTGTAATGAGCCGCATGCTTTCGCCACAAAGGCGTGGCACGAATTGTTTCTCGGCGCATACCACCGATTCCACTGCAGTCGCTTGGCGCATAGAAATATGCAACTGCCGAGTGCGTTGCAACTACCCTCGAATTGAACATGGGGCATTGGTGCAGGGGTATATTAAAGGCTGAGGGTGCATCATGGTCGTTCATGTGCGCTTGGCTGTAAAGGAAGCGCCGGAGTAACTCAACAAGGCAGGGTTGGTTGAGCTGCACACTGAGTTTGTGGCAGTTTGTTGAATATTGACGCACTAAAAAGATAGCCATCAGTATAATATACATTTAAATAGCAGTGAAATAAAATGTACAACGGCGAACCGATGGTTTGACATAGCCAGGTGTCAATGGACCTGGGACCGGCCCACTATCCCCGTTGTTGTTGTCTTCGGTATTGTGGTGCTCCGCTCTTGTATCCAGAGCTCTTGTAGCCTCCATTGCATCATTGTGATAATTCTTTACATAGTCTAGGATACTGCCTGAAAGCATCCCACGGGCTGTAAAGTCCACCCTAGAGACCGCAAGTTTGTCGAGCCTCTGGTTGATCAGCAACATCTGACCAAGTGCTTCAAATCTGCTTGACCGGCGCCATGCTTCTTTTACAGCCGTAATGTGTCGTGATTCCGTTATTGACAAACAGAGGCTGTTTGGAGACCCAAACATTCGAATGAGCCATGGATAATGTTGTAGTGAATGCTGTTGTGGGAGAGAGAACCCTGTTGGTCGGACACCTAGTGTCTCAAAAATGGTGCGGCTGTGGTGGAAATCCTTGACGGCATCTTGCACTTTCTGGATGGTGCTGTCACTGTGAGTATCGTGCCGTACCAAGTAACAGAAGTCAAGAAAAGCCTGGAATGTACATATTATGTCTGGGGGGACATGCCCTTCAATAGTGGGGAAGTACACCTTCATGAGAGCCTTTGAATTGTCGCCGGTTCACTGCTTGAATCCACGGCCTTGAGGAAATCGTCGAAGGCCAGGAAACGAGGGAACTGCTGCAATCCGTCGGTCAATGTCATCTGAAATCTCGTCAGCCCGCTTCTTGCTATATGTTAGATGGAGGTAATCTTCTACCCAAGTCACAAGGTGATCCTTAAAAGTACCTTTGATGACTTGGTGAAGAAGATCAGGAGCCAGAATTTCATGTATGTTGGCACGAGGGAAATCATGTGTGAATGGCTGTTTGAGTGTGGGTTGGTGAACAAGAAAAAACAGGATTCGTTTGAATGTAAAAGGGTTGGCAAATGAGAAAGAACAGGATTCATTCAAATGTAAAAGGGTTGGCGTATGAGAAAGAACAAAATTTGTTTGAATGTAAAAGGGTTGGCATATGATAAAGAACAGGATTTGTTCGAATGTAAAAGACTCACTACTATGTCGCTAACAATACCATATTGGTCCCACAAAACCACTGGACTGAGGAAGTTTGCAAGAACCTCTGTGTGATCTTCTGAGCGCCGACCACCTCTGCCATCAAGATTGTTAGGCCAGGCAATACAGCTATGAGAATCAGATATTAGTCTGAATAGTACCGTATAAGAAAGCCACTTACCGAGGACACCACCCTTGAACTATACATGCAAGAAGAGCCTGCTCCGGATAATCAGCTATGTATGGACCAATACCATAGATAACACGCCTAAAATGCATGTCAGCGCATCATAGAACCTCCGGAACTAGCATCCCGGGTTTGAGATCTTGAAGAATGCGAGCCAGGGAGGTGTGGAATAACTGTCGGTGAAACTTGCGAAACTTGATGTCATTTGCATACTTCTTCTCAGCTGAAAAGGTGTTAGCTTTAGTATATGCAAAGAAAAAATATTGTTGAATAGAACAAACTCTTTGGAATGGCCAGAAAGCCCAGCAATGCAACAGCATTCCTGTGTGCTCGTCGGACATTATTGTGAATGTTTCCAATGGATATATACACTGGATAATATTCATTTTGGCCTGTCGCAACTGACACTGTGGTCTTATCGCTGCCTAGAATAACAGGCACGAATGATGAGCCATGGGTTGTTGGATCCACGGAGATCTTGTTGGCCTGCTTCCAGGCCCACTCCCCTGACATGAAGTCTTTATATTCTCACTCTCCCTTCTTGCTAAACTTCCGGTAAGGCACAAAATTGGTTTCACCACAGAAGTCTCAATTAGATAGCATGTTTTGAATGATGGCACGCGGACTCCTAAACCAAACATCAAATTCCTGTTTCATCCACTCTGGGGGGTCTTCTTTGGGAAGCTCGCCATTATATGAGAGAGAGAAAGACTCCCATGGCACGTCACTGCTGGAAGTCGAGTCAATTACTCGGTACAAGTCGTCCTTGTTTGCAAAAGGGACATCTTCATCAGCCAGACCATTTTTGATGAACGAGGCCCTCCACAGATCTACAAGGGCATTAATATCTCCCCCAGACATCTGTACCTTTTTGTAGAGGAGTTACGCTGTCTCAAACTCAACACAATCCCGGTATGGGGACCAATCATTGGTTGACGGGGTTTCGGGTAGTACAGGTTTTGCTCCAGGAGGTAGAAAGTTCGCGTTTTCATCACAAGGCCGTCCTGTGAGTTTTCAGCAGGAATAACGCCCATTAGAAAACATAGACAACATACCATCTAGAAAAGGATAGTATTCAATCTCACATTGAGCCTGATCTTCTAATGGCTCATTGAATAGCGGATTTTCTTGCTCATCCTGTCCGTCAAATGGTTCGAAGTTGCTTTCTAGTTCATTTTCAGCTGGTGGTGAAAGTGCTGGGTGCTCAGGAGGAAGTGGACGGCTGGGGGCACTGACATGACAAGAGCGCACATGTTTTTTCAAACCGGAGAGACTGCGAAACCAGCGGTTGCACTGAGAATTCTCGCAGGGTATAGTTAAGCTGCTGTGGTGTGGCCGGGCAGGTTTGTGATGATATATCTGGGGAGGCATTGTTGTTTGAGTCTACTAGTAAAGAACGTAAGAGCAATCATACTATGTGTGAGAAAGCTTTAGTTCCGAAGTAACACAGAAAATTTCATTTGAAAATTACCTACTATTAGTCCTGAACTCCGTTTTCTCTCTTCCACGTAAAGCTTTGTCCATCCATCTTCCCCCCATGTCTCGCCCAGTAACTCGTGCTAAAAATGCCCATCAACACCCCGGGAAAATTCTACTTGACCTGGAACCAAAACGTTGTTCTCGAGCGGAGGTAGCGCAAGAGAAAGAACAGTTTAAACTCACCAAAAAGGAGTTGGTGCAAGCTATGAAGCTTGGTCTTGCTGCTGCAGCAAAGGTTGAAAATAAAAATGCCAGAGAAGACATAGAAGACAATATACCTATGCTCCCTCCCTCCCAACGGCGCCAGGTAAGTAAGAAAGACAGCCCTTACATCGAGGATGGCAGAGAAGATTCTGTGGCACCTATTCCTTCCCAGTGGCACCAGTCCCATCTTGCATGCTGTAAAAGCAGCCTGAAGGTCATCCCAGATAGCGGGGATGAAGAAGAATCAGTAGGCAGCAAAGAGAGCAAAAAAGACGAACAAGGTATGATGTGTTCTTCTCAGCTGATGATGGAGTTGATAACGGAGTTGATGAAGGAATTGATGGAGCTATTAGTATGGTGTGTTCTTCTCAGCTGGACTTTCAAACCAATGATGGAGTTGATGAAGGAATTGATGATAGAGACATCGATATGATGTGTTCTTCTCAGCTGTACTTCCAAGCTGATGATGGAGTTGATGGAGGAATTGATGATGGAGCTGATGATGGAGACAACAATGAAGGTTTGGAAGAGAGTGACATAGAGGAGCTCGTCCCCAAGAAAAAGAAGAAAGCAGGCAACGACTCAGGCATTCAAGGTGCCATTGTAGCCTTAAGGCAACAAGGAAGTGCAGCTTCCGACCTGACGCTGGCTAAGCCCCAATATGGTGCGCAAAGACCACGTGGAAGGTCAGCACATTTCTTTCATCTGATCTCTACAGAATGACTGATCAACTGCTTTGCCTCAACAAAATAACTCTATTTTTCTACCAACGCCTCAATTCAAATGTGTCGGATCCATCCTATAGCAAATCTGTAGGCATCAATTCATGGAGAAAAAATGTTCACAAGCCAAACTATGCTACAACAAACGAAGCAGATGAACTCAGCACAAACTCGCAGGACGTTTCATCACTCTTTCCCATCACTACAGACTCCACTGCTTGCACATCTCATCCGAACAACAAGAAACGGGTGCTCTCTTCACAATCCACATCAAATATGTGGTCAGCTACAAATGAAGGCACTGGTATTGGATATCGGGCGGGTGGACTTGAGGATGAAGTTGAGATAGAAGAGTACATAGAGGCTGTTAAGGGAAAGCGTACCATAAGCACTGTGAGTTAACCGTTCAAGTTTGTTTTTTACTGACCTTATTCTTCTCTAGAACCTCGTTAAATTTTGAGATGGTGTTAAGCCTCCCTTAAAGCGCATCAAAGTTGAACATCCGACAAAAATCACAAACTCTGACCTCCTGGAGGGTTGCATGGAGGGTGGCCGTTGGCGCAACACTTTTATCACAATGTATAAGAAGTGGGTTGGGACCTGCGAGAATCCCTGGAACATTAGCGACACCAAGGCAATCTGGGCCATGCAACTGGCCTGGGATGCTATCTATCCCAACATTCGCCACGCTATCACTGTACAAGACCCTGTCTATCTTGTGGTGAGTTTTATTTTGTCTTTTGTCTTGTTATTTCTTTCACTAGCTCTTAGGCCTCTCAACGTCTTTCGGAATGGCGAAGTGGTTTTGGTTCTACTGCCAAGGCCATGGTGGAGCACTTCTTTGAATCTGATCCCGCTTACACAACTTATCACGCCCGTCAAGAATTTGCTAGTGAAGTTCTCACTGGTTTTGCATACCTCTACGAAGAAATAGGGGATGATCCCTTGGTATGTGGTCTCATAATACATCATATTTGGCTCACATTTTGTTTTTAGGGATTTTGTGGTCTCTTTCGGTCGCCGTTTGTCCTGCAAACATTTGCGGCCCACCTTGCGGCAGTTAACACATCTATTGATGTTGAGGTATTGCGAGCTGACAGTGTGCCTAGTAATGCCACAGACACTAAGAAGTATCCACCGGTAGGGGCCCTAGCGATGAGCGCAGCAGCCGTGAGTACAAAACCAGCATCATTTCGAGGTCTCTACTAAAGCCTGAATATAGGTTGAATGTGCATTTACTATGTGGGCTGAGAGAAAAATCACCTGGGACCCGCCAGTAACGCAATCCCAAGTAGGTTCCGTAGCTCGGAAAGTCAAGCCGGTTCGAGAGCTCAACAGGGCTACTGGCAAAACAACCGGTAGCCATGTGGCGTTCTCTGACACGAACTGGGGCGAGGCTACTCGCTATTATGCTACATCAATCAAAGCACTCAAACAAGAGACAATGGACGACATAGTGGCAAAAGCAAGCACCTACGTTGTTGGAAAAGGACGCTCTAAACAGCCAGCCACAAGTACAGATGGAGGTGCTGACCCTCGAGCCCGTCTAGCTGATGTTTAGGCTGTGTAAGTGTTCCTTGTATGTGTGCCCTCGCATTCATGCTCATTACAGGTTTTTTGCGTTGGGGTGCATAGATGATCAAATACATTTAGTGTTTTCCCCAGCTATCATGAATTCCTTGTAGACTCTTTCCACATCCCTGCTCAGTTTGTTTTGGTGATAATTGTGTCTTGAATTGTGTTTCGTCTTTTACAACTTGGAGCACTGACTTTTTCTTATTCTCATTTAATGCTACTTGTTCCGGTTCTCGAAAATATCTTGCTTTCATCTTAGGAGTTACTTCTTAATGCCTTAATAAAAATTCAAGAGTTGTTCAAGTTTGTTCAAAGTCGTACTCAGTGAGATTCAAGAAATTGAGTGTCCTTAATCAAACTTTTCTCGTCTTGAAAATCCATAGGTCCCTTGGCACCAAACCGATCTTAATCACTCTTAAAATCGTTTTAAGCTGAGTTAAGGTCTTCAAAGAAAGTTGACATTTTACTGATGACTGGAAGATCGCTGAAGATGATTGGAAAGCGACAAAAGGATACAAGACTAATACAATAATAGTGAACCCCCCTCTACTTACAAGTAAACGGAATCAGTTTCATAATGAAGCAATCTAACTCTGGAATATGTGCAGTGTCTCGGTTCCCTGTTCCCATACTGTTCATCTCAATAGTCGGACATGATCGCATCTCTCCGGCACAGACTACGGAAGATGAGCATTGTCCACATCTTTACTGTAAACAGAACCAATGTTCGTACATGCTGATCACAAGAACCCTTACATAGGTATATTTTGTTTAAAGTGCGCCAAAAGGACGAACTCGAATACTCACCTGTCTCTTTCACCTCATGTTACAAAAATCTGATATCCTCGTGTCCCCGCTATCAGGGTTGCAGGTAAAGTACTTGGAATGTAGCTACTGGGGTACGAATTTATCACTGAATACAGTCTCTCAATTAGGCTTACTAGTATCACTCTTGTAGGGTTCCTTGTTGCAACTGTGTTAGCTCATTGGCTGCTCTAATTCCCTCTGGAGGTTAACGTTGTGTAAGTTTTCTAGGGTGCATGTTTGTGCAGGCCTATTACTATTTTCTCAATTACAATGATCGGTGGCCCACCAAGACACTGGTGAGTAACAGCGTTCAAGCCGTGTCCATATCATCAGGCACTCACCACAGTGTGCCAGGTGTCATGTATCCTGTACGCAATATGTACCATAAAATGACCATAAAATATTACCTTATGCTTCTTCATAGTATCATCAACACATTGAATTGGATATTTTTAGCCAGGTTGTTTTTTCCCCACTTCGTATGTTTTTCGATTTGTATCGCAGATTATACCTTATATTCCCCCCTCCTAGACTCAAAATCACTACAATCCATTGATTCTTACACTCCTGCCATGGTGCGTAAAGCCTTATCTTACAGCTATCACAGCCTACTAAGACCCAAGATAGGGAATATAGTGCAGAGATTGCCACAACATGCGTCATACAGGCACTGTATACACGCCCATAATAACCTTACTTTGATACCTATACTGATCATAATACAGAGCACAGTTGTTCTTCGCTCTCCAAATCCACATAGGTGAGTCTATTAGCCCTGGTAGCTTCAAGAGCCTATGTTCATTTACCACAGTCAACCGGAAGAGTTGGATAGTGGCTTTGATCATTGTCAGTGTGTTCAATATGCAGACATATTTCAATTGTTATATTTATGTTGACTCCAGGTCTTTTTTGCACTGTGTGGTTTAGGAAAGTTGTCACTATATTTCAAGCACGATGCATGGACTCACTTATTGTTTTCTGGCAGGTTTAGGGATGGGTAGGCCGCTGTATCATCGTGACGTTGTATCCAGATAATCACCCCCTTATCAATCTAGCTAATGCTTGCCTCTTAACGCAACACTCATCTCTCGCGTATACCAACACAAGGACGTTTCGTGTATGCCGCTGTCTATGTATTCTCTATATTGTGGCTATCTAACATTTCGATGTGGCACTTACAGATCCTGGGTGATATTTGTCTCACTGTGTCGACAGTTTGTGATTTCATCGCTTCAGCCGCAATGTGGTGTTTTCTCAATCCCAAGGAGATAATATCAAGGAAGTCAGTAGTATTTTCCGTACCTCGAGTCCTTTTATCCTCTTTTTCTTTTTCTGTTTAAATGAGCATCGTGATTGATAGGGTATTGTAGGACAAGGGGCATCCTGAAATCAATACAATTCTTGGTACTCAATCGTGGGATACTCCTCGTGGCTGTGCAAGGCTCATGTCTGGTCTTGTGGTTTGTTGAACAAACCTACTGGTATTGGTATGTACCCGTCATTGCATGTAATCATTTATTCATGAAACACAATGGGACAACAAGGTTGCCTTTTTATTTTATCCTCCCCAGCTTATATGTTAACCTTACGCGTGAGCTTCCGTTATGGGTATCATCATTGTAGACGTAATGTCAGCATTTGATTTACAGTGGCCTTGTAAGTGTCAGAAATGCAGCTCAACCAACATTCCTATCAATAACCACTGATTTCTGCCTTCCAGACTGATCGAACGTGCAAATATCCGAGCGAAAGAGAATGTTACCAATGCATCTTTTCAGCTTACAGGAGGCTCTCGACGATCTTTAGAGTTCAATGTTGCTAATTCTTCACGGCCCCAGATGGCGACCTTTTCGTATGAAGTGGCCTTAAGTTCAGCAGTGAGCATATTTTTCTTTCTGGGGGGAATGCTGAATGAACCCTTTGCTTATATCAGAATAATACGGTGGAGACTAATGATAGTCACTTGAATAAGCTTAAATTGAGCACAGAGAGGCTCGAAGAGGGCTGCAGCGGAGGTGACGCATATAACGCATAGCGAACGGTTGTCGGTATCTACAGAATACAGTTCATACCCAGCATGGACTGAAATACTGTAACGTTCAGGTTGAATGTGGAAATGGGCATGGGGTGGCAGCTCTTGATATGTATTCCTGTGCATTTGAAGCATCTCTAATCTTGACGATTTCTGTGCCACACCTTCAGGGCCTACATCGCCTTAGCCAGGCGTTCGAGGTTTTGGCGCGCCCGTGTTGTCATGCAGTGGGACTCGGTGTCTTATAACTTACCGGGGTACCAACCCACGCAATCGAGATCAGCGATCAGCTGGTCATCGTGATACCACAGTACACCATCTCCACAGTCACCTCGGTCGTCCACCTCTTCATCTACCGGAGAATGACAACTCAAACACTCATGCTTGCACGGCTGGCGCCCTCTTTACTCATCGTCTACCCACATTACAGTCCGTACTTTTCTATAAAACATGCAGCCCCAGTCTAGTACTATCCCACTCTTTAAGTATCAAGTATTCTCTTTCTAATTTTGACAAACCTAATACATAGGAACGTGAGATGATTAGATACTGTAACTTCAAAGGTATCGGTGTCATCCCTTACTCCCCCCTCGCCTCCGGAGATGTCGCTCGCCCCATAGGTGCCTCCACCCCTCGCCTCAAGCAAGCCGAAGGCACTCCTTTCGACAGATCGCACTTGCATGGGTGGCTACGAAGACAACTAGTCCGATCGTGCGCGTTGGGTCGGTAAGTCCTGGTTCGTGTTGTCATTGCTGTTATCATTACCGTGCTTTGGAGTCATGATTGGATGGATGAGTGAGAGGATGGGGGGACGGACGATGATCGAGGAATTGTGATATGGATTTGGTTTGCTGACATTTTAGAAAAACTAATGTTGCTAGGTTGAATTCATCCATTTTCACGGGCGTAAAAGTCTGGATGAAGAAGAGATAAAATCTCTCGAAAAACCGTGCATACTGCTCCATTCTCACATTCCCATGTATCCTTACCCCTATCAATCAACCTAATTGACCTCAACTTTCTCGTTGACAGGTATGAACCTGTCGCTCCCCAAGTTCTTCTAGTTCTTGGGATTATGAGATTAGTGCAGAGAGCAAACCTCGCATAGGCTAAGTTGATGGAAGAATTGCGTTTCCCGTGCGGTGCTTGTCTAGACCATCTTAGACTAATATCTCGCCCTTATCTTCAGCTGACAAACTTGAATGTACACACGTAGATAAATCTTCTTGTTTTTTGTAACTGCAGTTAAACATTCTTCTCTCCTTTCAAGGGCGCGGCCCACATTTTCCCAATCAACTGCATCTGTCAATTGTAAATCATCTGGGCGAGAAGCTGGAATTGAAAATATCTAAAACACGTCCGCCCATTCTGCGATTTTCAGCAACGCATCGGTGCACTGAGGCTCATACTTGGGCCAGCTGATGAACGAATGTATACTATCAGGCATTTCCAAGTAGGTAACCTGACCAGCGCCGTTCCCCTCGCCCATATCACGCACCATCCTACTCTTAAGAGTTTTGATCTGGTCCAAAAACATTTCCGAGCCACCCGCGATGAGGATGGTTCTGGGAAATCGATAAAATGTAGAGTCGATATGTAGTGAGGCGGGGGATATGTACTCATTCGTCTCGGCACCTTCCCGTCCGTGAGGTCCGAGGAAAGCAATCTTGGAGTAGCAGTCAAGCGGCGTCAACTGGGAGACGTAATCTGACTCGGCATTTAGGAAGGGTGACAATCCAGGTTTAACATGCGAAGTGCTGAGATCGACCCAGGCAGAGAGAAGGATCAATCCGGCAGGAGGCTCAAAGACGTTGTCCTTAGAATCTCCCTGGCATTCAAGCAAATATCGTGTAAGCGCCAGAGCGAGATTTGCTCCTGCAGATTCGCCCGCTATCACGATATCTGAAGGATTGTATTTGCACTCGTTAACGAGGTAAGCATAACCAGCGATAGCATCGAGGAGGGCGGCTGGAAACGGATTACGAGCAGGGTAAGGAGGTCCCACAGAAAGCCGATATTCGACGGAAAATGCACGTCGAAATGAGGAACATTTGTTTAGGAGATCACGGGCATATTTAGCAGACCTGTCATCTGGGTGAGATGAAAGTAGTGTGTAGGCGCCGCCGTGAAGACGATAAAGGATCTTCTCGCCTGACTGCAGGGGTGCACCGATAGTGAAATCTAAACCTTGCTTATCCATCCAGTACCCCGGTATGCGGATGGGTTGCACACCAGATATCGCTGCCCATTGTTGAAGTTGCTTGTTCATTAGCTCTGGAACGGGATTGATCCACAAAGCTTTCACACCAGGGCCTTCCTTTATTGCTTCGTGGGTTGGAAAGCTCAGCATAGATCCTACTCTATCGAATAGGTAGGTATATCGTCAGAATATATATTATTGAGGAAAGTGCGATATCGGGCGTACTTCTCCTCAACCTTCCCCAAATAACGAACGAATGCGATACCTACACTGCGCTGTAGGGACCAAGATTTTCTTGGACGCCACGCTCGAGGTGCATATTTGACGACATGATAGGGAATGAACAGGAATACTATGAACAGGAGTTGATAACCCAAGTATAGTGCACGGAAAGGCTGGCGGCGCCATTCGTGTGTCATAAGGATGAAAGACAGGTGGGAGAGTTCCAGCAACAGAGTATCCAAGCGCTTCGATTGCGACTGTGACTGTTTGTATTATTTAAAGTTAAGGCTTCAAAATAGACTGATTCGTCTCGGGTTCGACGTACACATCTTTGATATTGAACATAGCCCTAGAAAGAAAGCGGTTTGACGATAACAGTGACATGCTTCAGCCACATAAGATGTAAGTTTGGCATTGGTACATCCAAGTCGTAGCCGAATAGATTGATGGCATTCCTGGACCTTGCTATAGACCGAAATGCTTCTACAGCGCTGGGGCCATATGGGGAAGTAGACGGAACAGAAGATCCAAAGCTATGAGAGAAAAAATTTCAAGGTAAGTATGTAATCTCTCGAGAGTCGTGAACGCGGCTACGAAGTGCAGCAAGTTTTCTGAGCGAGTTTTCTGGGGCATGCTATTTGAAGAAATTTCAGTAAAACATACCGCTGAATTTTCAGCGTTGAACATTTGGATCTTTGGCGGCCGGGAAGAGTGGCACTAGAGAACATACCATATGGAGACCGCCATTGCCGACGTTTCGCCGAGCCCGATGTCAATGTCATGCGGCGAAAGTCAGACTCGGACTTGCCTTGCAACCGTGACACAACTTTCATTCCTTCTTGTATCGTCCACCGGCATTTGTTCTGGTTTTCTTCAACAATTCGGCGTCTGATGGTTGCAACATCTTGCCTTTGTCTAGCTACGAACCATGGCAAAACCTGGAAGTTTGCAAGCTTTTAGTCGATTTCAAGCATCTCCGAGACTTCGCATTCTGGCGACCTCGTGTCCGCGTTTTGGTCATGGGTACCAGCCTTGCAATGAGGTTCGCAACCGTATAAGGCTCCTCTTTGCGATGTTTTCGCTTCTATTACCCTTTTTAAACGGAGTATGTACTCCAGCATGGACCCCTAACGCACAGCTAATGTTCCCACAAACAAGAACCGAAGATGATCAAGATATTGTACGCCAAGGTTTCTAAATAGTGTTCTAGCTTCTATGGTTAGTGTGTCACTGGAATGTGACCCGGTTCACCACGTCAACACCCTTAGCGGCTTCAATGCTGTGGCACTTCCGCAATCGATTGTTGCTTGCAAATAAATAACCAGACCGAACAGTTCCAGTGGACTCTTTACACTCCCTGCAACAATGTGTGGAATATCTGTTTCATATGCTACCGACAATGCTTCCCCCTCTTCTGCAACTGCTCTACAGGCACAAGTAGATCAATCGATCAGCGCGATCACTCATCGAGGTCCTGACTCCACTGGTACTTATGTCTCTCCGGATGGTAGAGTCGGTAAGTCGTTCTCATATATGCGCTTTGTCGTCGCTCAGTATATATATTATTGAAGCTATGGGCCACGTCCGCCTATCTATTATTGACTTGGTTACTGGCCAACAACCTCTCCACGATGATGATTATAATGTCCATGTTGTCGTAACAGGCGAGCTTTATGATTATGAGCGTATCCGTGCAGAGCTAGAAGCAAAAGGATCCCACTTCAAGACAAACTCAGATTCTGAACTCGTTGTGCATCTGTAAGCCCATCTTTCTCAACCACTGACTCGATAGTATGTCATTGTTGCATCGCTAGGTACAAATGTTATGGCTTCAACCTCTTGACTTGGCTCCGTGGAGAATTTGCTTTTGTGCTTTATGATTCACGTCGTGACTTACTGTTCGCTGCCCGCGATCGGTTTGGCATCAAGCCACTTTATTACTCCCTGGTCGACGGCCACCTTCTCATTTCCAGTGAAGTGAAGGCCATGAGAGCTTTTGGATGGAAACCTGAGTGGGATGTCGAGAGTGTTGTTCAAATGGGTGACTTGAATGATGACAGAACCGTCTTCAAGGGTGTCTTCAAGGTCAGCTTGATGTGCATTGACCGAGTGAACGCGTATCAAATACATCATGTTTATCTCATAGGTCCCCATGGGCCACTCCATCACTCTCCGCCGTACTGGCCACCTAAAAATTCAAGCTTACTGGGACCATTCGTATGCACCTCCAACTGTCGTGGAAACTCGTACGGTGGAGGAGATGATTGATGGTGTACGTGAGCGATTAGTGGAAGCAGTGAGATTGCGTCTGCGTTCCGACGTTCCACTTGGTTTGTACCTTAGTGGTGGAATCGATAGCGCTGCAGTAGCAGGTATCGCTGCTTCTTTATTGAAAGAAAAGGATCCAGATGCCAAATTGGCAACGTTCACACTTGCGTTCCCTCGTGAGTCGTCTTTGTATCGTTATCCATCGTTTCTATGACTCTGAATTTCTTATGGTTTTATGTATTGTAGAAAGCGGAGTACTGGATGAGGGCCCAATAGCACGACGAATGGCTGCCACAATTGGTGCTGACGTACATATGATCGAACCTACTGAAACAGATCTTGTAGAAAATTTCGAGCCAGCAGTTTGGCATGCTGAGCAACCAACGCTGACTCTTCACGGTGCCGGTAAAGTCATTCTGTCAAAGTTCGTTCGGGAACAAGGGTATAAGGTGATTTTTCTTTCATTTTATTTTAATGCTGAATTATCACTCACTAGAATGTATGCGTGTACTACGGGTTCCAGGTCATTCTTTCTGGTGAAGGGTCAGACGAAGTATTTGGGGGCTACTCGTTCCTCCTGCTAGATTATCTGCGGGATACTGACCCTGCATCTGTGAGCCTCGGATTCCCGCTTCCTGCCAAGGATGAGCTGGATATGTATCTCAAAACCGTCGAAGCGATGAAGCCACCCCAGGATCACGTCTCGATTAGCAACATGTCTTTCACCGATGCCACAATGGGTCGAGATATGTATGGCGGAATCAGCACGCACCGCGTCTGGGCTACCAGTAGCCCTCCTCCAGATCTTTTCACTGCTGAAGTTCTCCAAAAAGTCGGTGGACCTGAACTTACGCAAATAATCGCTGAAGGTTTCGACGCGAGAGCTAGAGAGAAGGCTATCACTGGTCAATGGCACCCATTGCATATGGGACTGGTCAGTGCTTCTTGATAACTTTTCTTTTTGTTGGGTATGATTGTTTATGGGATTTTATGCAGTATTCTGTTTCAAAAACCATGCTTAGCAATGGGATTCTGAACTACGTCGGTGAACGTTCCGAGATGGCCAACTCAATTGAAGGGAGGCCTCCATTTTTGGACCACAAGCTGGTGGAATACGCCAACACACTTCCTCCGTGAGCACCTCCCTACCATGTTACCCAGACAGACCCAATTCAAATAATCACCAGATCTCTCAAAGTAAGACCCGTCCTGGAGGGAGAGCCAGAGATAACCCCGCGTAAATGGTCTTTCATCGAGAAGTGGGTGCTGCGTCAAGCCGTGCGGCCATTCATTACAGATGAACTATACTATCGCAAGAAATCCCAATACAATGTTCCCATCCCTCGTCCAGCTGCAGTCAGTGGCGAAAAAGTCTACACGGCTTTACAGGTCATGCTGAAGGAGCGAGTTACCGAAGCTACTGTCAGGCGCCTTGGGTTTGCGAACTGGGATCACATCAAAGGATTGCTCCACGACTATCTCGAGTCGCCTGAATCGCCTGTGGACGGTGGGCTTGATAAACGGGCCAGGACACTTCTTTTCGTGTGGAGTCTTGTGATTCTACAAGATCGGTTTGATTTGCCGACAGCACATGTATGACAATATAATGTTATGTTAACCAATATATCGTAGTCCAAACTTACAAATCTTCATCACTCAAATCAATTTTTTCATTCACAATACGCATACGTTAGCCCTGCCAACTCAAGTCTCCCCAATCAGACCAAATTACTGATGTGATAGTCAAAGTTTTGTGAGGGACGAGCTAACGCCTTAGAAATAGATGTAACGGTTAGACCTTACTACTAATACAGCTACTAGGGATAATACAAACTTTGACCAACCTGGTATCGTCTCAGATGCGCTGCAACAGAAGAGTGATGTCGTCCATGCACTTCTCTGGTGTCTCCACGGTCAACATCCGCGACACCTTGTCCTCATCGGCACCCCCGAGAGCATCACGCATTAGCGACAGCGCAGGCGCTTCCAACCCAGACCCACTCCCACCTTTACCAATCTTATCACCCACAATCCTGACCCAACTCTCCACCACCCTCTCAAAAAAGGCCGCATCTTGGGGACCGTCCATGTACATATCGACGAGCCCGTCTGAACACATGAGCAAGAATTGGTCTGTGCTGTTGAGCGCTTTGAGATCGACGTGCCGGACGTCAGGGATGTTGGAGAGATATGGAGGTGTCTTGCTGCGCCCTATCATATTTAATACCTTGGACGTGTCATAGAAACCGGGTATAGTGTTCAGGAAGACGCGCCGTGTGTAGGGAACTGGTAGTTTGAATGTGTGGTCACCGATAACTGGATAAATATGGGAGGATCAGCGAGGATGATGGGACGGGATGCATAGAGGAGACTGACCGCGAGTTGGGGCGATTGCACCTAGTACTCGGTCGTTCTCCACGCAGGCTGCTTCGCCTGGATGTTCCTTATTAATGCGATCAGTTTCTGCAGCATCTACACCATTGTGGTTGGAACTCAGAAGGGTGGAATGCCAAACACCAGTCGAGCCTTTCGATCCAAGGGCTTTGTTACAAAAGTAACATGAGCGACAAAGTCCGCTTGCACGCTACTTAAGCTCACCAGCTTGGCAGTCACCCAGACTTGCAACCCAGAGATTTTCCCTTGATGGGTCGAGGAGAGAAACGAGGAGAGTCGAGCCTCTCATGCATCGTAGTACTTTGATATTATTCTTTCCACCTGACGCGGAGTCATTGACTATGGCCTCGATCTCACTGTCAGAGAGCTTTGCAAGGCCATCGAGCCCTCCTGGGAAGAGGCCCACAAAGTCGTTCATGATAGAATTATCAAAGTCAACGACAGCCTGAGCTAAAGCCTTGGACACGAATTGTGGAGAGAACGAGTCTTTGTCAATGTTTGCAAATGCTGCAGATAAGGACCTTTGAAGGAAGGTAGGGAAGGCAGAAACAGTGTAATCTACTGTCTCTTTACCGGCATGTCCTGTGTGAAAAGAGATAACAAGCTTTCAGTATTGACTCGATCGAGTGATAAGCTATACTGCCTACCGTCAAAGACTCCAGCGAAACGCCAATTTCCGAGCGGAAGGTGGAGGTCACGGATGGCATGTCTGTCTTCGCTAGGTTGGCGGTTCGGCTGGAGACAGACACAAGCTGATCCGAGTACATTTTCAGTCTTGACCAGGCGAGTAAACTCGGCCGTGAGTGCTGGTTCAGAAAGCAAGCGGTACCTCCACGGTCCAGGATCTGTCAGCGCATAGCCTGTGATGTTACATTGGCGATAAACAGGTGGGTTAGACATGAGGGAGTTTCGTGAGTTGGGCAAGACTGCACGTGTATCATTTTAAGTAGAAACAGTTAGAAGATGGAGCGATGGGCAGAGGGTACGAAACAAAAGGACCATACGCTTTCGTTGGCTAAAGGGGATTGAAGCCTTGGGCAAAGGGTGCAGTAAGTTCGTATGGTTCTTAGACGTGGGTTATGGGCATTGGCAGCACAGAAAAATTACTCTGCTAGTGTTGGTAAAATCCAAGTCAAAGCTGTATTAGCACGTTAAGCTAATGTTTTATTTCTTACTAGTAGCACAGATACTTTGTCTGAGGTGTGAGCAGGTGTCGGTAGTCAATTTTGTTACCGAGCATTGGAAGCCTTTGGTAAACAAGCCCAAATAGGGTGGTGTGTACCGCGGGAGGACTCCGAATGAGGATTGCTGCCGGTGGCCACTGCAGACAACGTCGACGTCGACAACGTTTAACGTTTAACTAACTGTTCTTTCATTACATTGCTGTCGCTGTAAAGCAAATTCCAGTGCTAAGCGGAACACGATCTGAGTTTCGTTCAAGTTCGATCTTATCGCAAACCTGCAATCACCTTTTCAAGCCTCCGCCTTGCATGAAAGTCTGAATCTGTCCGTACGAATACTCGCATGCCCATCGAAATGGAGGTCGACATCCCCGAGAACATCTCGCACGGCGGCGAGAACAATGCTTTCCAGAAAGGCCAGAAGCGACCTACTCTTCTTCCTGTAGACGATGCGCATCCGTTCGATCTGGAAACCTACATATCTGGTTACACAGGTATATGCGATTCATATCTTCTTGAACAGGGCTCATATCTTCGCCAAAGGCCGTACTGCTGTTGATCGCCTTCTCCTCGTCATATCTACATGTCCCACCATTGCTCCTCAAGCCCTTAAACTCGCACTCACACATATCCAGCAATTGCGCGATCCAGCTCTGTACCAATCTGCCATCGCCACTTACGAATATCTCGCCTCTATCCCAGGCGTAAATGTACCACCCACCTCCGAAATCGACTCGATGCGGTCATCATGGATGGATGAAACTGTGAAGAAGAATCAGGCTGAAAGGACGAAGCTGGAGGTAGAATTGAAGACCTATTCAAATAATATGATCAAAGAGAGCATACGAGTGCGTTCTGTACCATGTCTGTGACAGAAAAGGCTATAGTTTGGCTGATCGGTACGTTATCTGAAGATGGGTCATAGAGACCTTGGCGATTTCTTCCGTGCTACGGGAGATTTTCCTATGGCACTGAAAAACTATACAAAGTCACGAGAGTTTTGTACAACAAGCCAACATGTCCTTGATATGTGCCTCTCCGTACTCGAGGTAAGCGCATCCTCTGGCTTATTCAATCGGATGAAATGAGCTAATAGAAGAAACGATGGCATGGTTAAGTTGTTGATTGAACAAAAGAACTATGCTCATATCCCGACGTACGTCTTCAAGGCTGATGCTGCCCTGGACGCTGCCAATGCTGCGAGTAATAACGCAGCCGCGAACAATCCACAAGCAACACAGGCAACCACGAATAAGAAGTTTGCAGAGCGAGAGAAAGTACAATCAAAACTCGACTTGGCCACAGCGCTTTCTTGCCTTGGTCTGGCAAACTACGAGAAGGCTGCGTTAACCTTTTTGAAACTGGGGTCTGCACAACAGCTCGGAGATTGGCTAGGCAAGGTGAATACATGCTATATGTCTAATGCGTTGAATGCGAGATGACATCAAAATAATAGCTGGTAGCACCGAGTGATATTGCAATATATGGCACGCTGTGCGCACTATCGACTCTGTCTCGTTCTGCAATCAAGTCACAATTGCTCGACAATGCTGTCTTTTCGGTATACATCGAGCAGGAGCCCTACATTCGAGAACTCATCCAAGCATATATGACGAGTAACTTTAAAATGACACTCGAGTTACTCTCCCGGTATTCAGTATGCATCTTTATTTTGATGTCTCTTCTCAGAGTGTGAGCTTTGGTTAACTGGCTTCGCCGGCAGACACGACACTCGGTTGACTTGCACCTTGCCGCACACATCCAAGAGATTACCAACTGCATTCGCAACGTTGCCATTATCCTGTATTTTCAGCCGTTTGCATCGATAAAGCTGGACCGAATGAGTACAGCCTTTGGATGGACGATCGAGGAGGTCGAGAAGGAGGTCGTTGCCCTCATCCAGTCTGGGCAAATACAAGGAAGAGTAGATAGTCAGAACAAGGTGGGTTGCTCTTCTTCTTATCGACCCAGATTATATGTCCTCAAACACTTTCTCATCCGCACCATCACCGCTCACAAATTAGATACTGAAAGCAAAGAAAACCGACTACCGGGCAGAGTTATTCGCACGTGCCATACGCGCTGGTGCCGAAATGCAGTGTGCTAATCGCAAATTGTTGCTGCGTATGCGTTTGTAAGCCTTTTTATTCTTCTCTTGTTATCTTTCTGCGTTGTAGAATTAACGAAATGGGACGGCGGGATATGCAGGCAGCAAGCTGATATTGTCGTCAAGTCACCGAAAGTGCCTCAAAGCGGTCATTCAGGCGAGCTCTTGGGCGACTGATTGTATTATACACGTATAGTTCTATAATATCATCCAATCCTTCGAAATAGCCATACCATGAGGTATATCAGTGCGATAACTCATTGCTGGTATGATGTCTATTTGGGGTCGGAGGAGCCCAATCGTGCACTATTCGCATTACCCTGTTCGTCTGAATCGTGAACTGATTCATGGTCTAAACGTCATACATTTATTATCTCTACTTGACATCTACTTGTGTCTGAGGTCAAACGCGTGTGATCACGTGACTTGAATAACCCCCCATACCCAAGGCGGGGTCATGCAAAAAAGTGCTGAGGCCGCATCGGCAAACTTTAATTTACATCTCTCACCAGAACTATCCTTCAACTGAAATTGTCTAGTTATGCCTTCCAGTACTGCAACTGCCTGGATATCGCCTTCGACGCGGACCAGTGTAATAGAAAATCTAGTCTCTGGAGTTGGTACGTTTTACACAATATTACTCAAGATTTAGTCCTGAGCAGCACTGAAATTCCAGACCGTTACAACCCATCTAATGTTGGGATCTTGGAAGATTACCTTTATCAACAGATCCGCAGTCAAGAGTACGACTGTTTAGCCAATCTCGCCATTTTAAAACTGTATGTATTACTCTTCCAGACGTTTCGTGATTAGCCTGACCCGAACTCTTACAGATATCAATTCAACCCCGACCTTTACAATCCTGATGTTGTCGTAAACATTCTACTAAAAGCACTTACCGCTGCACCATTACCCGACTTCAGCCACTGTTTGTCTCTTTTCGATGAACGGCCTCCTGCCCCCAAATCAGAAGATCCTCTCCCTGACCTGATACCATCTCTCAGCACTATGCACACTCTTCTTATCCAATGCCGTTTCCCCGCTTTCTGGACGCTGTATCACTCCGAGCAGCTTGAGCCGCTGCGAGAAAACTATACTATAGAATACGTTGGCTTCGAAGATGCTATCAGAGAAGTCGTCGTCCGAGCTGTTAAGACGTCATTCACGAAGATATCGTCCGAGAGGTTGGGTTCTTACTTGAACCTGCGAGGTTCGTGTCTTTGGGCAGTTTAAGTTCCCGAGTGTGTAACCTTTTGTTTTCTTAGGTGCGGAGCTGGAAGCATTTGCTGAACAGCACGAGTGGACGTTTGACGCTTCTGCCGGAATTTTCACCATTCCTGCCAACCCAGACAATGAAATCGAGTCTATAGTGGTCCAAGAGCAGATCGAATTGAAACGTAGGTTTTACTCGTGTTATCTGGACTGAATGTCTTCTGATATCATGGTTATTTTAGAGCTGACAAATATTATCGCGCACACTACCTTGAAGCGATGATGGAAGACATGCGAAGAGGTTCACGTTACCCAGACTCTGGCCTTTTGTTAATTATAACTTTTAGACGGTTCTGGATTTTACAGTATGGTTCGATCAGCAAGGTGTTGGCCTATTGAACCATGTTTTACTTCTACGCGTACAGTATGACAGTCGATATTTACCAAAATAACACGCTTGAATGGGGTGATATACTGCTACGCTTTGATGCAAGAATCCGATGACAGTATTTGGCATTGGTCTTCGGCGACTAGGCCGGAAGAGCTTGAGCCGGCCCGTAAAATAGCCTATACAAACCGGTGCAGCCGCCGGACGTCCCGGAAATCTTCCTCATTTAGGCTCAGGACCCCGTAGGCTCTGAAAAGTGCCATTAATGTAGGCTTTAATATCAGGTTGGCGCTCTTCAGCCTCATGAACATCTTTCCTTCATTATCATGGCAAGCCTACAAGAAGTATATTCAACCCTATACCGAAACCAACCTTCAAAAAAAGACGTGATGGATGTAGATGACACTCCAACAAACGATCCAGCACCAGCACGACCACCTTCTCCAGGCCCAGGACGTGCTTCGTCTGAACCCCTTCGCATCCTAGAGCTAACTGTAGGATATGTTTATTCGTCAGAGATGTTGGAGCACTGGTGCCTGCGTGGCCATGAAGAGCAGCCTGAGCGTATAATTCGCATATGGAAACTAATCTCAGAGGCGCATCTCGATCAGAAAATGAAGCGGATACCTATTCGAGCGGCTAAACGAGAGGAAGTACTCCTCGTTCATAGCGAAGATCTCTGGCATAGGATACAAGCCATACAGTGTGACTCTCTTGACTTTGTTAAACGCAAACTCTAGCTGACTACGCGGCGGTTACTTCGTGTATTAGCATTGACTCTTCAAGATATCCAAGACTCTGAAGCTTACTATGATCTACTATCTCTTTATGTAAATACCGGTACAACACGCTCTGCTCTGTTGAGCTGTGGTGGTGTGATAGAAGCATGCCTTGCAGTCGCAAGGAACGAACTGAAAAAGGCCTTTGCAATTGTACGACCTCCAGGTCATCATGCAGAGCCTGACGAACACATGGGTTTTTGTTTCTTCAACAATGTAGCGGTGGCTGCAAGAGTAGTGCAGCTCCTGACGCCTGTGAAACGAATTATGATCTTGGACTGGTGCGTCTGCTCCATGTGTCCTCAATTGTCAACGCTAAGTGCAGTATAACTTATACAGGGACGTCCACCATGGTAAGCTATCCGTGTGTAACGTCTCAATTTCACCGTACAAATAGCTTGCAGGCAATGGTACCCAGCGTGCATTCAACGACGATCCCTCTATTCTGTACGTGTCTCTTCACCGTTATCAAAACGGCCAGTTTTATCCGGGTGGAACCTTTGGAGGGATCTCGTCCTGCGGAGAAGGCGCCGGCCGTGGATAGTGCGTTCTTTTGCTAGCATATACTCCACTCATAACAGGTGTTTTCAGTTCCGTCAATATCCCCTGGCCGGAGATTGGAATGGGGGATGCAGATTACCTCCACGCATTTACGAGTATTGTTATGCCCATCGCCATGGAGTTCGCCCCAGAACTAGTGATAAGTATAGAAAAAATCCCCAGCTTTGAGTGAATAGTCTGATGGATATTTTACTTGTAGTCTCTGCGGGTTTTGACGCTGTGGAAGGTGATCCACTGGGCGAATGCCGTGTCACCCCTATAGGCTATGCTCACATGACACACATGTTGTCGGGCCTAGCTGGTGGCAAACTTATTGTGGCACTTGAGGTCTCGTATATTTTATCAAAAAATATGGCACTTACTGCCATAACTCAAACTAATTTGTATAGGGTGGATACTGCGTCGATGCTACAGCTAACTCTGCTTTGGCTGTTACGAGAGTAATGCTCGGTGAACCACCAGAGGAATTACCCCCAATGACCGCAACGGAAGCAGCCACAGAGACTGTGTGGCAAGTAGCTTTAGAGCAGAGCAAATACTGGAAGAGCGTGAAACCTAAAGCCTGTGAACCTCGTGAAGGTATTTTATTATTGGCATCTCAACTTGCTGCACAATCGTTGATAGTCTTATTTAGAGCTAGAACCGCTCTCCTTCTCTATACCTGGTAAAGCATTTTCTTATCCGGTAATTTTGTTCTGATATAGCTTTTCGTGGTGTAGAAATCCTCAAAGCTCATCGCCAACACTATCTTTATACCACTTATGATATGTTGCAAATACCTTTGATGACTGAAGCGTTTGAAAAGGCTTTGGGAACTCAAGTGTTATGCACGTGAGTATGCCCATGATTTTCTGTTTACATGGCTCAGGATGATTATTCACAGTTCGGACTTGCCTTTCAACAAAACTCTCGTTATCTTTATACATGAATTGTTCGTCCTTATAATTCTCGAAGTGGGATGAGCAGCTTGACCAGTTTTTTAGTGGGAACCTCCGAATAGAACTGGATTCTACGGTCACATGCAATGTGAATTTGGAGCGCTCATATCTGGTATTTCTGTGTCTCGAGCCTTGTTTTCATATTGAGTTAACTTCTTGGTGGGGAAACTTAGATCGATTCCGCTAAAGAACTAGTGGCGTGGATACGACAAGCAGGATATTCATTGCTTGACCTGAACATTTTCCCAAAACCTTACGCTTTCGATGCCAAAGGAGTAAGTGCAGACTGCTCATGCGAATGTACATTGGCTGATTTCATTCAAGTCTCGCTGGTCCAAGGATGACTTGGGACGGAATATACTCGTCTATTTATGGGACAATTATATACAGTCTGTATTGCAACCATCTTTTGGTGGTATTTCGGTGTCTAATAAACCACTACAGGCTATCGGACGCGCAAAATGTAATCGTAATAGGTCATGGACCTGGGTGTCAACCTCTCATCGCGCTGCTCAGTGAACGCTGTAAGAACTGTGTATCTGTCATGACTTGTCCATATCCTAAATTCCAAATAGTCGCTGGTGTAAAGAAGTCTGTCAAAGCAGTCGTTCAAGTGGTGAGTAATGATTATCATGCGGCGGTACCAAAGGATTTAGATATCCGTAAATGGTACCAACAAGTACGTCCGGTATTTCCTTTTGCTGCAAAGTTCTGACGGTGTGTATTTAGCATTCCCAAGTGGTCGTCCCCTCAAATCACCGCATACTGACTCCTGAGATGAGTAAAAAGAACCACAGGTGGCATGGAGTTGTGTCGACTATAGGTGCGCCATGTCTGATGCTGAGCAACTTCCAAGAAGACTCATTTCCGAATGATAGACGAGCCATCATCATCAAAGCTTATGATTCAAGCTTTCCCAAAAATACAGAATTTCGTTGAAGAGAAGTTGGAGCACCCATAATACTAGAGATCACGTCGCAGGTCGGCGATCTTGACCAATGGATTTGTTTGTTATATAGCGACTTGTTATCTTTGTTCTGCTAAGTAGTCATCAGATTTTTGTATTCGGCCAAAAGACGTGCAATAGTCCCAACAGCAAAGCGCCACGCACTGAGCGGCTGGTCTTGAAATGTAACTTAAACTGACTAATTGGACCACTTGACCGGCATGTTTTTTTAGGCAAAAATTGTGAATGGAAGACTTGTTAATATAAGGTATCAGGCCTGGAATAAGGTTGGGTATAATGTAAAGGTAAGATGTGCCAACGATATACCATAGAATCCTCAATCATCAAAGGGGAAACAACGAGATATATCAATGAACGCAACCCTAAGAAGGAACCTATGATAAGAAGAACTATGACTGTATACTTCAAATGAAGCTGCCAATAAGCAGTGATGCGACCCCAAAAACACATGCAAGACCAGCAAGCTCAGGCTTGCTACCAGCATTAGCGGCCATAATTTTAGCGGGTGGTGTGGTAGAGGGAATAGAGGCAGATCCTGCACTCAAAGTGGGAGTGGCGAGCGAAGAAACTGAACCACTCGGCCCAGCCGTGGGTGCAGCGATAGGTGCAGTTGATTGCCCATCGATTTCAGCCTGAACAGCTTTGCTGAACTGACCAGTCATACCGCTCAAGCTAGCATGGTGAAAGTTAGTGTCCGAGTGTGTCCCAAGTCAATGAAATCAAGCACCTGAATTTAGCAGAGAAAGCCAAAGCAGGGTACTGAGGCTGAGTCGTATCTTTGAGATTGAGGGATTCGAATCGAATGAAGCTGATGACATTATGAACACAAGTTGGAGACGAAAGAGTGGGGAAGACTTACTACTCGTCAGCATTAGGGCCTATGGTTGGGTCGGGGGTGAATACAATAGATGTAGTCTTCTCTACGTCGGTGCTAGTTGAGATAGCTTGCATGAAAGTCTAGGTTCCAATAGCTCGCATGAGCAATGCACGAGTGGTACTCGTGACAGCGCACCTGTTCCTTAGCATTTCCAGCATAAATCGATATCTTGGAGAGACCAAAGTCGTGTAGAGATGGCGAAGACCCATTATCTTGCCAGCTGAGCGTTGCTGGTTGACCAGCTGCAAAAATAGTGGATTCTACTGGTTGAGTAACCTAAGGCAAAGACTCGTCAGTCGAGGTAGAAAGAGACTCCCAGTCTAAAGTGCTCACGTAGACATTGGCGAAAGCTGATGCAGCAAGGGTAAGAGCAATGAACACAGACGAAAACATCGTGATAGAACGAATGTAGATCAAAAGAATGTGGGATGGGGCCTGCAAAAGCTGGGGAGAATGATGCAAGTAGTAAAAACTTGATGCAAAGTCGACGGAGGGAAAGAAGATATTTACTGGGAGAGAGCAGGTTCAGGGGTTGATATGCAGTCGACAAACGGAGTTCGAACTAGTAAGAACCTCGTCCGATTCCAAAATTCGGGTGATCACGCTACAATAGAACATGTTCACATAAATCACATTTTGCCAGCGAACTAACAATCGAGTCCAGAACTTGCGTGGCTAACTTCTGTTACGCAAGTAACCCGACGCGCTACGCCGCGAACACGTACTATAAATAATGAAATGTGTCGCAGCCGTACGGTTGATGTCACGGTGCTGCATAATATCGTTTTCAGACTTTATGTACATAAAAACGCTACGAAACCCACTCTATTCAGGTTCAGGAGGTTCAAAGACCGTCTTCATGACATGGTCTGCTTTTCGTCCCGTATGTTTGATAAACCCAAGATAATCAAGCTCGTGCAACGCACGCACGAACCGCGCTTGCACCTCCATCTTCCACTCCTCTTCTGTTGGTTCTACCAGCTCTTCAACTACGTCATTGGTTGTTTGCCTATGCCTACTCTTGCCCTTTGATGGGGTGGACGGAGGGCGACGGGTAGTAGGTGTTGGCAATGGACGTTTGACACGACTTTTCTGGTTCTCCACGGTGGCAGAGAAAGATTCAAACCAATCATATACGTTGATCATTTTCCCGCTTTCCAGGTAGCCGCTGAACAAGATACTGGTGTCTGATAATTCTGACAGGTCTGCTAGATGAGTCTTGTTCAAGCCATTGGCCGATTCGAGTGTTAAGTAATCCTGAGGATATAGTAGCCCAGAAAAGATGGTAGCTCGTACAGAAGGATTGATTAACTGTGTGATATATAATTAGAGTGTTATCTAAGTGAGTTCGAGCACACTGACCTCCGACGGGAAAGGAGTAGAGCCCGTGTACCAGATGTCCCATAATGTTGTCTCGTCGAGCGATACCAAACGCCTCCTGCTCACAGGTTGAGCAATTCCAGAAATCAAGGATTCAAAATATCATTGTACCCACTGGAAGTAGGAGGTGAGCCAATCGCCAAAGAGGTCAGCAACCTTGGAGGCGTCTTCTGGCGAGATATCGCTCGCACGCAAGGCCTCTATTGCAGTGTCATTTTGCGATCTGATATCTTCTTCATCTAAACGAATATCTTCTGGGATACTTTGTAAGAAATCCTCCAATTCTTCAAGTAAGGCCAATAAAATAGATGAAGGCAATTTTCTGTTGACAGAGCCATCAGTAACAAATCACAAGACAGCGCAATCACTGAACTTGACCATCATACTCAGGTACTTCCCCTCTCTGACCAATGTCCCTTTCATCGCCGCACACATCATTTCTGGCAAATTCCGTTCTCCCTGAGCCGTTTTGTGACCCTGTCTCAGCAAAAACTGTTGAATGCTCCGATATAACTGGAAAGCAACTCTCATAAGCCTCGCCCGCTTCCTGAAATTGAGGTGGGCTGTGTCTATAGACTCGAGCAGAGAAGAAACACTCTCATCCCGCCATCGATCGACGTGATTTATGAGAGAGATCTCGTCCGGACATTGCATGCGAGCCAGGATAGATTCGAGGAACGCAGACGATGGATGATGCAACGTCATGGTAGCTTCCTCGATAGTCGTAAAGGGAGACTGAATTGCAAACACAGAGAGCGGTTCTTCAAAATGCTTCATATGCGTGAGCTGAGAAAAACAGTCAGCTTTCAATGGTGAAACACTAGGGAGGAAGTTAGAAACCAACCTGTAAGATTGACGCAACGGAATCAAGTGATGTATTGTGCCGAGTGAAAAGTTCAACCAAAAAGTCAATGGAAGACGGTCCTATCATGACATCTGGCTCAAAGTCTACGTCAAAAAATGTCTAAGTAAATTACACAGTATTAGACTGGTTGGATTTAACAAATATTGGTTTATCAACTCACTTTCATTAGAATCTCGTGCAGAGCATCTTCAGCTGGGGGAGAGTCACAGTTGCGGACATGCAACAGGGAAAGGCAGGATCGAGGGTACGTTGAATGAAGAAATGAAGGAGAAGAAGGAGACGACAAGGATAAGATGAAGACAAGTGGCAAGGCGGGAATATGAAGACTAGCTGGAGAGTGTATCATGCGAAAGCCACCATTGCTGAAGTGTGCTTACCTGCATATCTCAAAAATATCCTGGACAACCGTAGGTTCAAGCTGCTCAAAATCATGAAGCACAACCACAAGCTGCACAGGATCATCTGTCGACTGACTCGTCAATGTGGAAGGTCTAGATTGCATTATGAGGACAGACGAAGGTCTCACCATGTGACTCTGAGATAGCATCGTACCAGGCTTGCAGAAGTTTTATATCAAATGCAGCCAGAGACGTGCCGACTTTACGTTTGACTTCATCTAATGATCAGTCAGTATGGCATGGTTGACAAGCCTATGATTTCTGACCTCACCGTTTTCGTTATTTAGAGGCCGGGTTAAGAAACCTGCTACCAAGCTCTTCATAGCAGACATGATAGTAGAACAATCGGTTGGAAAGAGATGTGTTACGTATGTCTCGTTCAAAGTCTCAAACAGCCCGTCCACTGAAGAATCACCTTCCAAACGGGATGTTATTTGTTCAAGAAGCGTTGATCCAAGCGTTGAGGCTGTATATCATGGAATTAATAATAAATGTAAGGATAGCGTCAAGTGTACCAACCGGTAACGGTTATTACTGGTAACTCATAGTAGGGCAGCCCTGGCAGCGTATCGGAATAAGCACTTTTGACTAGTTCGACGACATTATCGATGACCGGCGTATGTAAAGTGTGTATGATTTCCTGCTCATATTAGAAAAGGGAATATTATGAATCTCAGACACGCACTTGGATTCTGCTCAAACATTTCGACCATGCTACTCTGTACGCGTTCAGTCGCAGTTGATATCCATCAGGAAGATCCCGATGCTGAAATAGCTGGTACGTGGCTATCTTATCGACGTCCTCGTCCTCGCCTTCTGTTTAGTTCGTGATTTAGTGGCTCACGTGGTAACAATCGGACGACGTTGGGTTACCTGGATCTGCATAGGGAATACAAACTACGGTCTTGGTTTTCGAATTGAGAGTCCATGTGTTAGCAACAAGCGAGAGAAAGGACTGACTTGTTTAACATCGTCCAAGTTGACGATAGTCATTGAGCGCAATTCGTGTTTGTAAAAAGTCAGGGAACTGGATCCAAGTCTTGTCAGTGCAAATGGCAGATTGTGACCTGCCCTAAAGTCCAGGCGAATTGACGCGTCGCGACGCGTTTTGTCTTGTTCCACATTTCCTTATCGTTCCCAAACGCAAAGTCGGTTCAGAAAGATGTCGTCCCCAATTGACTTTCCAACGTCGGAATTGGACGACATTGAAATGGATGTCCCAGGACAGCAGCAAGGTGGTAGCATCGAGCAGTCGATGCCAATGGCACCGCCAGTCCAACCTCTCTTTCTCGCAGGTACACCATCTGCAGCAGGCACCCCCGCGCGCCGGCGAGCTGTAGGTAGCATAGATGTCACACCGATGCGTGGCATTACTGCCAGGAGAGCACTTGGAATGAGCACACCGAAGCGGACACCGTTATTCGCGCGTTAGTTTTTCCATTTTTCCTGTGCTTCCAGCATCTGACCGTCCTTCATAGCCGGTAGCTCATCACCATTACCATTTCCTAGTTCATCCCCAACAAAGAATGTTGGCAGAAGAGCTGCGATAGACTCAGATGCTCCTCTCGACTCTGAACCCCTCGATTTCCCTTCGTGCGTATGACCCACGATCTTGTATGCATGATTCTGATTCCAGCATTTTAGAAGTCCTACTGGCCCCTCTTCCGTCAGAAATCGACGTGGTGATATTCATTCATCTTTGTCGTTGACACCATCCAGACGGCGAACTAGGCCTGTGGGTTACAACGACGAGTTAAACGACAATCTAAATTCAGATGGAACTCATTTATCACTTCCACCTTCATCAGCACCTCATCTGTCGGCAGCAGCAGCACCCTCCGATGAGCCCGACGAAATTCGTGCCATCTGGGGCACTACAGTCAATCTTGCCGAAACAATGAAGCTTTTCCGTGACTTCCTTAAAGGCTTCAAACCCAAGTATCGCGCCTCTCACGACCGTGCACTCGGCTTGCGTACACGTACATTCGCTTCCCCAGAGGAGGCTGAACTTGTTCTTTACGAAATGTACCTTCGTAAAATGCGGCAAACCGGGGAAAGCAACCTCAACTTGGACATGATGAACATGTTATCCTATCCCCCATCTAAAAAGCTTTATTCTCAACTGCAAAAATATCCACAAGAAGTCGTGCCTGCTATGGATCAGGTTCTGAAAGACCTCATGTTGGAAATTGCAGACATGGACCAACAAGCTGGGACGGAGGACATGCAAGGCGATCAAGGAGATGAAGAGATCGCAGATATTATGGGGAAAGTGTACAAAGTGAGACCGTTTGGCCTCAAGAGTGTCAATATGAGAGACCTCAACCCCGCTGGTGAGTGTAGTCATATATCTATTCAAAAAATATTGAATTGCCTTTAATGAATCTATAGATACCGACAAACTTGTCTGTATAAAGGGTCTCGTAATTAGAGCAACAGCTGTGATCCCAGACATGAAAGTGGCATTTTTCCGATGCCTCACCTGTTCGCATACCGTACAAGTTGAAATTGATCGCGGAAAAATACAAGAGCCTGCTCGCTGCCCGCGTGATGTCTGTGCTTCTGTCGGCACCATGTCACTGGTACACAATCGATGCGAGTTTGCTGACCGGCAAGTCATTCGACTGCAAGAGACCCCCGATGCAGTTCCCGACGGACAAACACCGCATACCGTGTCTCTCAGCGTGTACGACGAACTTGTGGATGTTTCAAAGCCAGGTGATCGAGTTGTGGTTACTGGTATATTCCGGAGCGTTCCAGTCAGGGTCAATCCAAGACAGAGGACGATAAAAAGCCTGTTTAAGACGTTCTTGGACGTTGTTCATGTGCGGCTTGGAGCAGGAAACACTCTAGGACTTGATCGCAGCACGAGACCTGCTGGAGGGGACAGGATACCTGGTGTGGGTGGCGTGGGTGACGGAGCCGACGACGAACTTGAGGATGGTATCACAGGTGGTGATGGGAGGAAAACGAGGAGGGCAGAGATGGAAGCGAAACTCATTGGTTTGAGCAGAAAGCATGATCTTTATGAATTGCTCTCTCGATCACTGGCCCCTTCCATCTGGGAAATGGATGACGTTAAGAAGGGAATTCTATTACAGTTGTTTGGGGGTACTAACAAGAGTATTGCGAGAGGCGGTGGTGGCGGAGGTCCGAGGTATCGAGGTGACATCAACGTTTTGCTGGTTGGTGATCCTGGTACGGCTAAGTCGCAAATTCTGCAGGTAGGGTTATACTCGCTTCAATATAGAGGTCGAGATGATTGACATGGGTGAATTAGTATGTGCACAAGATAGCCCCTCGTGGTGTGTATGCCTCTGGCAAAGGTTCGTCCGCTGTGGGTTTAACCGCCTATGTTACTCGCGATCCCGATTCGAAACAGCTGGTGCTAGAAAGGTCAGTAGTCATATCACTTCTTTACGTGCCCCTTTCTCATATTACCCGCTCACTGCCAGTGGTGCTCTCGTTTTGAGTGATGGTGGTGTTTGTTGCATTGATGAATTTGACAAAATGTCAGACGCAACGCGGAGTGTTCTCCACGAAGTCATGGTAAGCCATCTCCCTATACGCCCAAATGCTCTATTTCACATTTTCTGCAGGAACAACAAACGGTGTCAATAGCCAAGGCAGGCATCATCACAACCCTCAATGCCCGAACCTCCATCCTTGCTGGAGCTAACCCAGTCGAGTCCAGATATAACGTAGACCTGCCTATCACGCGCAACATTGATCTGCCACCCACTCTCATATCTCGTTTCGACTTGCTTTATCTCGTTCTTGACCAAGTAGACGAAGTCATCGATAGGAGACTGGCTCAACATCTCGTCGGCCTTTACCTCGAAGATACCCCACATACCGGTGGACAAAATATACTGGTATGTGTACCCCATACATGAAGCTTAGTTCGACTTTTTCTTACGTGCCTTGGTGTTTGAAGCCTATGGAAGAGCTTTCCGCTTATATCGACTACGCCCGGACACATATCCATCCAATTTTGAGCGAAGAAGCCGGAACAGAACTTGTACGGTCCTACGTCGAGATGAGGAACCTTGGTGCCGATCCTCGTTCTTCCGAAAAGCGGATCACGGCAACAACGAGGCAGCTCGAGAGTATGATCCGACTCTCCGAGGCCCATGCTCGCATGCGTTTCGCAGCCTTTGTCGAGCTGCAGGATGTCAAGGAAGCGTGCCGACTGATGCGAGAAGCCATCCGCACTTCTGCGATGGACCCACGGACGGGCAAGATCGACATGGGGCTGTTGAACACGGGCACTGGACAGGGACAGAGGAAGATGAAAGACGATATGAGACGCGAGGTGCTGAACCTCCTGAATGCCGGTGTGGGCACGAGGGGTATACGGTGGTCCGATGCCGTCAAGAGATTGGCGGAGCAGAGTAGCATCAAGGTCGACTCTGCGGAGTTTGCGCAGGTGATTAAGGAGCTGGAGAATGAGGGGATGGTGAATGTGGTTGGGGAGAGGGATAAGAGGATGATCCGCAAAATTGAGAATTAGGTGTATTGGTTTTTGTATCTTTTTGTTGCTGCTTTTATTGTATGTTATACCCTGTCTTGCTCTGTAACACTACCTACCTGAGATGCTTTAAAGCGTGACTGGGATAAATTTGGTCGAACAGATTCATATGTACAGAGAGATTTAGACGAATCGAACAGTTCCAAGACGTTTGGAATAACATGATGACCAGAGTACTAGTAATCATCATCCGATGAATAATGCGTACCCCAGTAGTTGTACGTCCAAGTACTTACTTCTGACACGAATGGCGTAAGACATCAGGATCAAGTGAAAGAGACAGGGGTATACGTGTGTCCTTTCGAAACGAGGCAGATTAACAGTATGTGCCAACGTCGAACATGCACAAGACAATGATGTGTTCATCAAGGTTACAATTCCGCATTCCCGGTATGCCAGAAAAGACGGTCGGTAGCGTTGATGCAACACAGACTCGAAGATGAACTTATACAGCATCCGCCGACTGTATAGCGCGCGCACCAGTGTATTGAGCCTACGATAAAAGAAAGCAATTTGTAACGACATAAGAGATTTCCAAGCATAATTTACCAAAATCCAAACAATCATAAAAAAGCATGTAGCCTAGCCTAAAAGAACAACAGCAACGTCAGTGCTCAGCGCTCAACACCCTCACCAGTCGTAGATCACTGTTCGGCCGGAGGCGTCTGACCGCGCCTCTTTGCCTCCATTTCCTCCTCAGTCACCGTACGGCCCTGCGTCTCCCTCGCCACCTCTGCACCCAGCACGCCCACTCTCTCCCTGTCCGATCCGATGAGCGAGACGTACACGCCTTTCTGCAAGACTGGATAGGACCCGACGCGTATACCTTCCGGATGAACGCGCTTCTGGAGGTCGGTGAGGAATGGCGCGATGGACGATTCGGGCAGTCTGTCGCGGCGCGTGGGGTTGCACGGGTGGGTCGGTTCCGGGTGTTAGCTGAAAGGGAGGTGGAGTGAAGGGGAGGGGAGACGTACGGTGTGAAGACCTGTAGCCGGAAAGGCCGTTCGTGATGTGGAGGTAGTGGTAAGAACGGGGTCAAGTTATCGAGCATCTTCTGGAACAGGGACGGTATACCAGGGAATATACACAATTTACCTTCTAGACGGACCACGGGCTGCTCAGCGCGGGCGCCGTCGAGATGAAAACGTTCAACACGACTGTGTGCGGCTGCCAGGGGAAGACGGGGGCACTCACCACCCAGATATCGCGAGCGACGAAGAGGACCTCGGCGCGCTCGGGGAAGAGGGCCATGCGTTTTCGCGCGGTGCGCTGCTCCTCCGTCTGCGTAGCCACCCATGAGCGGTGCTTGCTCATCTCCTCCATGCGCCGGAGGGTCTCGGAGTGGTATACGAGATTCTGGTCGAAGGACTTGGCGAGGGAGGCGTAGGTGATGTCTGAGCGGGTGATGGCGTTAGTATCATACCTCGGTGGGTGGGACCAGGTGCGGAGATAGTGATAGGATGAGGGAGTATGGAAAGAGAGGGCTTACCGTCATGGGTTGGACCTATTCCACCCGAAGTGACTACAAAATCATACTTCTGCACCATCCTCCGACTAGCCTCGAGGCTGGTGCGCTGGGGATGAGAGCCGTATAGGATGACGTAAAAGATGATATACGTACATCTCATCCTCGTCGTCTGCGATAACCTCGATGCGTTTCCTGCGAACACACCATCAAGATGTCGCACGCAGAATGGAGTAACACGATAAGCCAGAAGTGGGGAAATGCGGAGACGTACAAGGCGATCCCCTGCTCGAAGCAGAACCTGGCAAAATAATTCGAATTGCGGTCCAGAGTCTTGCCGTTCAGGATTTCGTCGCTACAAGGGCACACCAGAGCCTTTGTAATGAAAACGACAGGATGAGAGGGGTACGAAAGGGGAGCGCTCACCCTATGATGAGTGCGGCGGCGGTTCTGATGTGTCCCCGTGTGCTGCCTCGGGGGTGTGTTGGGACATGGGAGAGCGGGAAGTCGTAGTCGGTGGTGATGGGGGTCTGTGTGGAGGAGGAGGAGGGGAGAGACATGTGTCTGCGAGGGGAAGGTGCGAGGTGAGAAGAGAGGGAAAGCAGACGGGCTGTCGTGCGAGGTCGCATTGGACAAGTCTAACATTAATATTGGCTTGCGCACTCGGAACCACTCAGCTCATACTGTGGGAATGAACCCATGACCTGACCTCAACCTCGGCCATCCTCATACCACCCTCACCATCGTTGTTAGCCTTGGACAACACCTTCGCTTAGGAGAAAAAGGAATAGCCGATGCTTAGTATCATCACTTGTCTTTCATATCAACTACGTGCACTTGAACTGGCTACACCCAATCCACAGTTGATAGAAACAGCATACTCTATCACTCACACGCACTCGTGTAGCCCCTAGACAGGTCTGATACGCCGACACCATGAAAAGAACGGGTTATATCCAAGTTAATACAACAGGCATCGTATTAGTGTCATGTGCACCGCCTTCTCGAAGTAGATTTCCAAGCGGACAAAGAATTCACGGGCATCGGCTTCCAATGTCATGACATTGTGAAGAGAATGTACTTTGCTACCATTGACTTGCCTATTTTCCAAAATGCTCCAAAACTGCCAACACTGAAGCGACATGGTCAAGCTGGCAATGATAAGCACACCTAAAACGGAGGAAACAGACAAAAGCGCACCTTCGTGTGGCTTGAGTCTTGGTCAGGAACGTGGATTCTAGTACATTGCGTAAGAGGTGCCTACTTCAGGTGCCTACTTCCCAGAGCTGGTCTGAAGAAACTGGAACTTCATAGACGGCCTTCCTGTCGTACTTGCCGGTCACCGAAGGCTATCTCGAAGGAGAGCCTGGAGAAGGTGTAAACAGCACGCACGCTACCACTCAAGATCCTCTGCCCCCATGGGACTTTGGTGCATCCTGAATTCGAGATCTCGAATCCCTCCCAAGCACACCGAACGAATGACGAGGAAGGGGGTGATCGAGCTCTGAACGTCTTGACTGAGCCAGTTTCGTATCAAAGCTAGGTTTATTCACATCGTGATGAAGAACCTACGGAGAGTCAGACGAATAAGATAGTCGATAAATGTCTGCCCGAAATGAGACAGCTTTGCGTGGTCCCGTGCGCACGAATGGACAAAAACCTCGACGGCTTCGTGAAGTGCGGTGTGGGAGGGGAAATAGATGATCAAGGTCCATCTTCACCTGGGCAGCAGTTTTCTGCAATTCCTGTTATGCATCCTGTAGCGAGAGCTACAATGCAAAGCACCCTATTAAGTGTATTCAAGTCGACTTTCTGATAGGCCGTTTTACTGACACCGTCATAGCAAGAAATCGAGGCGAAAACAAACAATGCCGACCCCGCAGTGCAGGCTTCATATGGCCCGGGTTTCAGGCGCACAACTGGGATTTTATGGGGACTCTCTTGCGTGCGGAAGCACGAGCTTTGCACAACGAGTCTATGAGGGCTCACGCTCTTGCAGCACGCATCAATGCGACAGTGACCTCGAGCGAAACATCGAGTGGCTGGTGAGTGTGCAACATGAACAAATGTGGTTGGTCAATCTCGGCTGCCATCAGGAAACCTGTGAATATCGTGTGGATGTGTGATAGTATTTCAGAGTTCTTTGTCGCCGCTTTTTACTATTCTTTTTATCTACGTACCTATATATGTGTGTCGTTAGCGCGGTCTTCAAAGCATTCACGGTACGTTTCGTACCACAGACTCTAGGCAAGCCAGGCCGGTCATTCTGTGAGCAAATCTTCACATACCAGTTTCAGCGTCTGGCTTGAGACGGTATCGACCGACTCTATTTCTTACGGTGGGCCTTTGACTATAAAACAGCAACAGACATGACAGCAGGATAAAAGCCACACGACTCAAAAAGCCAAAAGCATCGGGTCCAAAAAGCTAAAGTGTCGTGGGAAGTCATGCGGCTGACTAAGCCCGAAACCCATGGTTGGCTTTTCATCCTTTCTTGGACCCGAAAGCTCCTTGAAAAGCTTGACGACCGGAAAAGCCCAAAATCCACATTTACATGCAGTAACGATCGATCTTTATTATTCGCACAAGTCTTTCCTCAAGCGCGCTATCAACATCTCTCAACGCAATCTCCAACGATCTTTGTTTCGCTCTCGTGTCCCTTTATTTTACAGGTTTCCGACGTCTTCAACTTTTTTTCGCAATGCACTCCTCTATCGCCTTTCTCGTTTCCGCTTTGTTCGCATTGGCGAACGTGACCTGTGTCTTGGGATCCATCTATGTGAGTGTTAAACAGTCTTGTAGCACTTGAAATATGTAGGAGGGCTCATGACACGGATTCGTAGGTGACGAGCCCTTTGTTAGGCTCGTCTTGCCATGGAGGTCAGCCATGCACAGTGCAGTGGCTCGACGACGGACAGCAGCCTCTTCTTAACACCATCGGCGAGTGCACAGTTGGTTTGTACGCCAATGAAGAGGTATCGTATCCCGTTTATATGGTGCGATTGGTACTCAAGCCGGTTAATGGCAGGTGCTGGTCCAATCAATCCGACCCATCGATGTCTCGAGCACACATTCTTTTCAATTCACTGTGAGTATCCCAAGCCATGTTTTACACCTTGTGCTCAGCTTCTCAATGGCCTGTCAGCCTGATCCCAACGCTGGACCGAATTCGAGCAGCTAGTACGTGCCAGTCCTGTCAGCCTCTACCTAGACTGACTGCTATCAGTTACATTGCCTTTACATCTTCCACTATGAAATCCGCCAACGGGAGCAGCCTCTTCACGGGTTATTCGCCCACCTTCACGTGCGTATGCGATTCTGGTCCGAGCGACGAGTGACGTGCCTACTTGTTATGCGTTGCAGGCTCGACCAGATGACTGGTTCTTTTGATTCGCCCATTGCGTCGGATACAGCCGCTATACCGGCACCTGTCGATCTGGCCTCGACGTCTGGACTGGTGACGGCGACTACGGCGGGCTCGCCTCTGGGCCCACCTCGCCGGTCATCGAGTGTAGGACCTGCGACGACGACGCCCTCATCAGCATCGCCATCGCCATCTGGATTCAGCACAGTGACAGCTCCCAGTTCCAGCGCGCCTACCACCTCTTTCCCAGTGTCATCCGGCGCGTCCACGACCAGCTCCTCCGCCACCGGCACTACCCCCACCACACCGCTTCCGAGCAGCAACGTGGGTCGTCGTAGTGCAAGTGGGCAGTCAGCGCTTGTGCTGGTGGTGATGGGTCTGGTGGTATATTCGGTCGGTAGTGTTGTTTAGTGACTGCCTGGGTCCTGATTTTTTGCGCTACCGTGTTATCCTTACACTTTATCTTTGCGACACCCAAGTAGTATGATAATGAGAATGTTAGTGGATGTACGTAAGAGATAAGCACGTGTGACCAGCCCGTTGCCCATTGCACGTTTGTGGGGAGCCAATGGGGAGGGAGAGATGCGGTCGTGCGAGCTCGCTGTTCCGCACGGTGAGATGGCCCGTGTGTTGTCGAGAATAAACACACGTTTCAGCGCACACGAGCACAATTCCGCCGTCTCATCCGGTGCACCAATCCCATTTCTGATTCCAAAAGTCACGCGCTCTCTCTCTTGCCATTCATTAGCTCCTTCATATAATCCTCACCCGCGCTCTCCCGATTCCTTCCATGTCTCTCCTTCGCCCCATCGCCCCCGCAACATCCTCCACACACGACTCCGACATGCCCCACAACGACCGCGAGCTCTACGCCGCGAGCTGCAACCCCCCACGACGTGCAAAGCGGCTCCGCTCTGACTCGGCCGTCGCCGCTGACGTCCCTGCCCCTGTCTCGCCTCTCCTTGCCCTTGACAAGAAGCCAAGGAGGGACGCAGCGCAGTCGGTCGAGGATAGCGACTACGACGATCCCTCCCCTCCCACCCCGCCTCCGAAGCGCAGAGGTCGTAAACCTGGTCCCCTATCCAGGGTCGCGCGCGAGGCACAACGCAAGATTAACCACTCGCTTATTGAGAAAGCCAGACGCACAAAAATTAACGACGCCCTCGCCACACTCCGCCAACTCGTCCCGGCTGACTACAAACGCCAAGACGGCCCTGCTACGCCTGACGACGACGACGGGAGCGAGGATGAGGAGGACGGTGGGGATAAGACCGCGATGAAGCAAAAGTCGCCGTCGAAATCGAAGAGTGGCGAGAAGGAGTTCAAATTGGAGATTTTGGTGCGGACCGTGGCCTATCTCCAGGATCTCACAGACAAACTCAGGCTACTGGAGGATGGAAAATGTCACCATTGTCATCAGGCAGCTGCGGGTCAGAAGAGAAAGCGGGATGACAAGTCGCACGAGGAATGCAACGCTGCGGAGGTAGCGACTGGCGTATATACCCAGGAAGAAAGCTCTCGAGCTGTGCTCCGCGACAGCCCCAGGAAGGCTGCCCACCAGTCCACCCGCCTTCCATCCATTTCCACATGGCTTCCCCACAAGACTCCCCTCCTCACTCCTTCCCAGTCCCCCTCCTTACAGCCTCTCTTATCCGCTTCATCTTACGCCAAACACCCCGTGCACCAGCTGCCCTCGCCGCCGACGTCAGGCACCTTCCACCCAGAGTCCAACGCCAATTTCCAGGCTCCTCCCATATTGACGTTGCCCTCACCCGGCACGCAGACTCGCGCATTCCACCCACCTCCCAAGTTCTCCATGAAGGGTGTACCCTCGCGCGCAAATGTGTCTCCACTTATTTCTCCTGAAGACGAGTCTGCTGCGTCTCTTCTTCTGCAGATGAGCGCGTCGCCCACGTCGTCTGTTGCCAAGCTCGGTCCTCCGTCGCCTTCACGCCACCATGGGCATATGGCGCTGACACCGAGCAGTCTGTTGGGTCTCGGCGACGACACATGACATTTGCAATTTCTCATTTCATTTCCCTCATGTCCATTCTACAGCGTTTTACCTTGTTTGATTCGCATGTCTAGATGATGTGCAAATGGGTGATCTTGGACGCTATGATACATTTTCCGGATGTCGACTTGTTGTCAGGTTTTGTGTCGTTGAAGGCCGCTTTCGTTCTTTCTGTCCCACCCTTATCTGATCTTCTGTACTCCGTGGTTGTACGATAGTAAGTTTAGCGTTCTATCAAATGTTCGTTGGTTCTCGTTCCGAATAGCAGATGAGACCTGTTTCAGGGTTAGGGTCACCCTCTATCCGTCCAATTACGAAATTTTGGCAATTTTGCAGTTTGTTTGAGTTGTCCATGTCTGCAATCGTGCCAGCTCGTTTCGTTTCTCAATTCCGCATATCACGCCCTAGACTATCGTTATCCTATTCTTATTCCACCCACCCTCCTTCACCCAGCCTTTCTCCCGCCAATAACCATCATGTGAAACCTGACACCGAGTCTGAAGACGATGCAGAGGAACAACGGCAGCGGAAACGAAAGACGGAGTGGAAGCGCAGGCAAGGAGTCAGTTGAGCCCCGGGACATTCGTGTCTCCCTCGAAATACTCATTGACATGGAAAGCTAACAGGGCCAGAGCTTTCTTGACCATCTCATCATCAACGTCAGGGGAGGTAAGCTCGTTTCTCTTTTCATTCCTCACCTCAAGCGCTGATTATCTCTTTATTCATTTTACTTTACGTTGCACATCAAACACAGGCAAAGGCGGGAACGGATGCGTCGCCTTCCATCGCGAAAAATTCGTGCCCATGGGCCCTCCATCCGGCGGGAACGGCGGACGCGGAGGAGACGTCTACATCCTCCCCACCCCGCACCTCACCACCCTCTCCTCCATCCCCAAACGCGTGCGCGCCACCTCGGGCGCCAACGGCCAAGGCACCTGGCAAAACGGCAAAAACGCCCCTCCCGTCATCCTCAAAGTCCCCCTCGGCACCGTCGTCCGCGAGCTCCCGCGCGACGACCCGCGGCGGACGAAGGACGAGTGGGAGGCGGAGGAGGAGGCGCTGGAGGGCCTCGGGATGGAGGAGAGGAGGATGAAGATGAGGGAGAGGCGGTGGGTGCATTATCCGAGGGCTCAGGACGATAATGTGAAGAGGGATGTGTTTCAGCAGGCGGAGGCGGCGCTGTGGAGGGAGGAGAGGGAGAGGAGGTGGGTGAGGAGGCAGAAGGCGCTGAAGCCTGTGTATCTTGATTTGGACAAGGTGGAGGATACGACTCCCCCGGTGGACGCGCCTTTGGGGACGGGGAAGCATGAGTTTATGGGCCATTTGGTCGTGTCGGGGGGTGCGGGGGGTATGGGCAATCCTCATTTCTTGTCCCAGGTCAATCGTTCGCCGAAGTTTGCGACGCGTGGGCTGGAGGGAGAGAGGCTGACGTTATACTTGGAGCTCAAGATATTGGCTGATGTGGGGCTGGTCGGGATGCCGAATGCTGGGAAGAGCACGTTGCTGAGAGCACTCACGGGCGGGAGGGCCAAGACGGAGGTGGCGAGTTACGCGTTCACGACGCTGAATCCTATTGTGGGGGTTATAAGAGTTGCGGAGGACGGGACGTTCGAGGGGGGTTTACAAGGCGGAGGCGTGTATGAGGAAACATTGATAGAAGAACAGAAATCGCGCGAGGCCAACGAAAGTGCCGCCCAGACCTCCGCGGATGCTGCCCCCCTGCAAGAGGGCGGGGCAGGTCCTGAATGCGCTGGCATACACGACGAGGGGTACCGTCCAGGCCACCACTTTGATATCGTAGAAACCTTCCGGTTCACGATCGCCGATAACCCAGGGCTCATATCCCGCGCGTCGGAGAACGTAGGGCTCGGCCACTCCTTCCTGCGCTCGATGGAACGTTCCCTCGCCCTCGTCTACGTCGTCGACTTGTCCCTCGACGCCCCCTGGGACGAATTGCGCGATCTGAGGGAAGAGCTGGAGAAGTACCAGCCTGGGATGAGTAGCAAGGCGAGGATGGTCATCGCGAACAAGGCGGATCTCTTGGGGGGAGATGGGGGAGACGAGGAGGACGTGAGGGAGGCTAGGGAGAAACTTGCTAAGCTGGAGGAATATGTGAAGAGGGAGATGGTGGTCCCCGATACACGACTACAGGATTCTGAGGTGGCTCGAGGACGGACGTTGGATGTGGTGCCGGTTTCGGCAAAGTATAGCCTGAATCTGAGGAAGGTGGTGGGTATGATGCAGCAGTATATAAAGGAAGCTAGGAATGCTTCTTGACGGTGCAATTATTATTGATTAGTTACGGAACTATAGCATCCCCCTCAGTACATACTTACACTACACGAAATACCGGTATCGATCACGTGCTTGATTCAAAGTTTTCAGTCTCCAGTTCTCTAAGACTTCTGTGAGTGAACTATAATCTGTCTCACACTTCTGGGGTTTGTGTTTGGGATATCGGGCAGCAGCTGTGATTGTCTTGCATAGGCAGACTGGGCCACCACTAGTCTGCCTATGAAAGAAAATCAGGGAATCGTGGATTTCTTGCGTTTCCATTTTACACATTATAATCTCTGGTGAGAAAATTGATAATCACATAAATTCAGATTTCATTGATGGCCCGCCCACTACATCATCCAACCAAGTGGGAATCCGGTATTCCGCCCATTTGCGCGATTACTAGCACTGCACAACCTTCCGAGGACGGGGCTGAGGTAGCATGAATCGAGGAGCGCAACGCAGCAAGATACATGTATCTTGCTACAGGGCTACACACGTGAACGTTGGGTTAAAAAACCCAACGTTCCCTTGAGAGCCGAGTCACGACAGCCTTGTCCAGGCTTTCTTGCTTGAACCACATCATATCCTCGGACCACCCAGATTGTATGCGGAAGATGTCGGCAGCCCGTATACACGTCGCAGGCATTCGCATCGAGTTGTCGTGTGCTTTAATACCTCCTAGGTCACTCAATGATTAGGGTTATTCCCAGCTATTTTAGTCTGGCGTGAATGATGAATGGCTTTGGTCTAAGTTTGTTATCTTATCTGTCGACTCGGTGCGTACGGTAACATTTATGCCCACAACGCATCACGCACTTTTTTTTGACGGATTCAGTTTGACATGGGAGCCATATTCAAGGTTTGGTTGATTCGCATTGATCGCTTCTGGCAGGCCAAGTATGAGTTGTGCTTTTACGTGCTGATAGGCGCGGTCCCCCTCTTCTTTCCACAGAAACCTTTTTACCTTGAATTACAGGTTTTGTTCACGCAACCTTCTTGATGTCTGTCGAAATGAAGAGTGTGGTAGAGCTCGAGGATGGGGAAAGTTGTGGACAGAAAGCTGACGTCGTCGAAACAAAAGAAACGAGCATGAGCATCACTGGCAGCGAACAGTCTAAATTCTCTCCGGCATCTGGGCTCTTCCAGAGGGTCATGCTCAAGCTCTCTCAGTATGGCGTCGAGATAAACGGGCAGGTCAGACGAGTCTATGTTCACGTCCAAGCTCTGATACAAAATGACCTCAGAATTGTGCCCACGCCGCCAGAAGATAGGGTGGACACGCGACTGTATCAGATGTTCTTCGTCTGGTTCACTGTCAATGCAAATATCCTACAGTATGTGATACGTATTCTTTGACTTGCAATATGAATGACCGTGATCTGGGTAGATTCAGCGCAGGGTCTGTGGGTCCTGTCGTTTACGGGTTGGGCATGAGAGAGTCTTTGCTTACTATCCTCGTCACCGATATCCTGTAAGTATACGGCTTTGTACATATGGATAGCTATTAATGCAGATATTAACTCAGCTCAAGTGCGATCCCCGCTTACCTGTGAGTCGGCAAAATCCCCTTTACCTATGCGCACTGCTTTATACATAGTAAAAGTGCTGTATTTGGACCGAAACTCGGCACACGTGCTATGGTGCTGTCTCGCTTTTCTTGGGGGTGCGTGTCCTCTCTTATCGTCTCAACTTATGGTGGTAAAAACTTATATCCAGCTACTCAGATATTACGGAGCCGCTATACCTAGTATCCTTAATGTGATTTCCATGGAAGGATATCTGATCCTGAATTGCATATTGGGGGGCCAGACGCTAGCAAGTGTATCAGATCACCTGAGTCCAACCCTGGGTATTGTGATCATAGCCCTTGTTTCCTTTGCTGTAGGTCTCCCCCACCCCCTGTATTTACCCGTAGGCATCACCTCTCTGCTCATCCCTCACGCCCTAGATTACTTTTTGCGGTTACAAAGTCGTCCATCTGTGAGTTCTCCTTGTCCTCGAGACGATCCTTAAATATGAGCCGTGTGCAACTTAGATACGAGATGGTTTGTTGGATTCCCAATATCATCACCTTTATCGTGATGCTGGCCGTCGGAGGGAAGAACCTTATCAATACCCCTTTGTCAACCGGCGATGCAGCTAGTGCTTCTTCAATCCTGTCCTTCGGCGCGGTAGTCGCTGCATCAGTTATCAGTTGGAGCACTGTCACTCCCGATTATGGGGTCTACCACGACTCGAAGGTCTCCACGTACGCCCCTCACATTCTTCCCTTGTATGAATGGTCTCCTAACGGCTTCTATGCAGCGCTAGGCTCTTTACATACACTTATCTCGGGTTCCTATCTGGTAATGTCAGGACTTGGCTCTTCTCATCCATGCACGCGAAGCTAAACGTCTTGATGGTCAGTTAATTGGACATCTCATGGGGGCCGCTTTCGCCGCGGGCGCACCCTCCGTTCCCTCATGGTCAGAGGGCCTTTCAAACGGTAGTTCGATCGGTGGACTGATCGGAGCTACCCTCTCACCATGCGGCAACTTTGGGAAATTCCTAACGGTCTTGCTGGCCCTCACAGTCCCCAGCCCTTCGTCCGTGACGATGTACACGACGTGTACGAGTTTCATGACGATCTCTCGCCTATTTGCAAAGATTCCAAGAATTCTGTTGGCCATGGCGTCCACTGCAGTGTAGGTCATACGAGCTCGTCGTCCCCCTGGCAACATCGATGTTAACTCTCATCGTCCGTTCAGCTTGATTCCAGTAGCTATAGTCGGTGCGAACAGCTTCTACGCCACTGCCGTCGATGTCCTCAGTGAGCTAAGCTTCCTTAACTATCATTGCCACCTATCTATGGTCCTTACATTCTTCTCCTCAACAAGATATGATCGGCTACTGGATGGCACCTTACTCCGCCATCATCCTAGCGGAACATTGGTTCTATCGCAAAATCACCTTTGGGGCATACAACGTCAAAAACTGGGATAACCCACGCAGATTGCCTCTTGGAGCTGCCGCCATCTTCGTCTTTCTAGCTTCATTTGGCATCATCGTCCCATGCATGTCGCAAGTTTGGTATACAGGACCTATAGCAAAGGCGGGTACGGGGGATATCGGGATGGTAACGAGTTTTATATTTGCGATGTTGGTGTATCCTGCGCTACGGACGCTGGAGGGTGTGATTACTACCAGGTGGAGAGGCGTCGATTCTTGAGCATAGCCTCTCAATGAGTACAGTTCAAACTCAAGGAAGAAACCGCTCGAAAGCACTATCTATCTATTGCTATAAAGGGCACTGGAATATAGTATGTATCTAGAGAATAATATAACTATACATCTGTGAATGAAGGAATCGAAATCCAGCCGGAAAGTAAGGAGACAGGGACTCATCACGAAAAACAGTAAGTCAGAGTAAAGTACGTTCATTGAGATAGGTATAGTTCCAGAAACGCACACTAGGGATATCCTTTGTGTATGAACACAAACTGTCGGGAAAAAGATTCGGGCATAATAAATTGAAAGATATCGAAAAAAGAGATCAGGAAACATGAGACGTCTTATGACCGATAAAACTGCCAGAACTCTGTGCCATTTTGACCATTGCTTGGGTCTTGAGCCCAGACTTGCGTCATGGACGGTGGTAATTCGGCAGGGAATGGCTGATGAGGGGTGCGACTGTGGTCTGGAGGCTCGACACCAAACATAGTCATATGTGGCTTTTCAGAAGAATAGGTGTACATTGCGTCGCGTGGAGGGTCGGTATGCATATTTCCAGGGCCTCCTGGGTTGCCCCGCCCATCACCGTTCGTATCTATCGAGATAGTAGAGTTCACATTCATGGGACCCAAGGTTAAGTTCTGGGGGTTCATCGATCGTTCATAAGTGGAGTCATAAGAATAGTAGCTTTGTTGAGGAGGATTCGGGAGAGGCTCTCTGTACGGCGTAGATCTTGGATCAGGTGCAGGAATATTGGGTACATAAGAAGGACCACCACTACCACCGTATGGTGAATTGGCGTTCGAAAGCTGACCACTGGAGCTAGTACCAGGGCCGCCATTATAAGATGCTGGGCTGGATGAGCCAAAGGTGGGGGCATGCGTGGGATCATACATTGAAGCAGGTTGCGGAGGGGTGACTGCAGAGAAGTTCTGCGAGCTTCGTCCATTTTGGCCGTGCTCGTTAATGCCGAATTTGCGGCGATTGAGTGTGTCCACGTTCATTTGTCCATGCTCAGCCCCACCGAACGGTAACGAATAGTCCATCTTTGCACCAGTCGAAGGTTCCTGCGACAAAGGAGGCGGCATCCTCACGTCAGAGGATGACGGAGGGCAGAAAGGTGACGAATCTTGATTTGAAGAAGGCTGATGGTGGTAGCTAGCATTCTCAGGAACGGGAGTAGGCGCATGGGATGACGTCTGGGAAGGCGGTGGGACAAAAGATACCAACGAAGGCGCCTGCATCCTAGGCTCAGGCTCAATATTGAAGTCAGATGACGCAGATGTTGGAGTCACACGCTGCCTTGTCAAAGGTGACGGTTCCTTGCCTGGACGCACGCGAATACCAACGGTAGGATAGGGTGCCTTCTTGTGCTTGTCCTTTGTTTTTGAGCACTCGCTAGAAGCAGTTGAACCACGCCTATAGTCACCCGATGATACGACAGATGTAGCAGGACGTTTGGGGATATCCTTAACACAAGACTCAGGGATTTGATCAAGATGTCCAATACTTGCAGTAGCTGAAGCTGGTGGTAAAGTCGTTGCAGGAGCATCCGATGGACAAGGCGAGCGGGCTGACGTTACGGCTGCACCTACGTAAGGGAACTGGAAATCGGTAAGGAGCTGCTCAGCATCCATATCCACTTCGTCATGTTTCCTTTTCATTCCTGCAGCGCACGGATCGCTCCCTCCAGTTCGCGCAGCCTCTGCCCTTTTCTTCATGATTTCCACGATCTTGACAGCCTCGCTTACATTACCCTCGACACCACCTCTCATAGAGCCACGCCCTGTCACGATTAAAGTATCACGCATCACCTCCAAAGCCGCATTAACATCTTCGAATGCAGGCCGGGCCCAAACGCTGGTGGGCTGCTTGATCACCCCATGCGCGCATATGACAGCCGCGTCAAACAGCGTCCGTCCAAAGGAGTAAAAATCAAATACTCCTGGAATGGGACGGCGGTGTCTTTGATCAGCCTGTTGCTTCCAAGTGAAGAACAACACCCTAGAAGCATAAATGATGACATGGGCAGCATTTATGGTGCTCATAACGGCTTGATAATACGATGCTGTGCTGCTGACATACGAGGATCTTAGGAACGGTAGATAGGCCTTTAATATAAGCCGGTTGGCGGTTATCGCAAGCTCACAGCGCTGAGCCATTAGAATGGGAGAAACCGATGTCAAATCGCCCGGGAACAGAGACGATGGAGAACCGCTAAGATGATCGGTGTATTGTGGACCAACAGTACCCGGGAATTCGGCGTTCATGTCAAGGCGGAAGCCAGGTGGAAGCTCGGTCAGCCACTGCTTGACTTCGCTTTCAAGCGTAGCCACCTGCTCAATCGAAGGTTGGTCGTGCGAAGAGGTGTCCCGCACTGGATCTTTGAAGGGACGCTTCTTGACATTTTTAATGATCTTGGCCAAACTGGATACAGTAGCATATGATGAGCAAAAGCCTACAGAAAAAGATAAGATTTGCCGAACGTACTGGCATTTCAACCCAAAGTACTTGAAATCCGTCGACTCATGATCTAGAGGAGACAATGAGCTCCGCGGTAGTGGGACCGAAGTTGAAGCTGGCGAGAATAAGTCTTCATCAACGTCCAAAGGCATCTTTGTGGTGAATGAATTATCGACAATAAACGGGAGCTGGCCCATACAGTCTGCCACAAACCTGTAGTAAAACTAAGTCTCCATAACCCGTAAAGGAAGTGACAGACAACGTACAAATCATAATAAAATATATCCCACCATACTCTTCGCCTTGTCTCGGCTTCAAATAAATTATATTTTCCGGGAAACTCGTCTGGATCACTATTGAGCCCCATTGTGCGGGCAATGCTAACCATTTGGGCCACCTAGAGAAAAAAGAAGTGTTAATACCAACGACAATACGACATCTGCAATTTATAACTGTCAAACAAGGACTCACAAGCGGAGGTATTACATGCGAGAGACTCGGCTTCCCGTCATGTAACAAGAACAAGACTTGTAATATGGAGGCGATAAGAAAGTCGAGATCATAGTTATTCGAAGCTTTAAAAATATCTGACGCTTGCTGGGACAGGACAAATAACGCGGTGGAAGACGATGTAATATCTATACTCTTTGGGTTTCCTTTTGGTTTCCTGGCTGAACTGGCAAACTGTTCGATTTTTCGCTGATAATGCGAACGCCCGCTGGACGAACCATCGTCAACAGACATATTATCTTCCTTGCCGTTACTTCCATGGCGTGCATCACTGCGCTCGTCCGTGGCCTCCTTGTCTAGTAACGTACCTAGTGCAAAGGCCGCAGCAACCGCTGCGAAAAACGATATAGTCGGTTTGGGAGATGGAGGTCCACGCGGCGTGGGAGGAGGATCCGGAGGTGGGCCGAAAAATATTGCACGCGCAGTCTCGGCCTTGCTTGCTGAACCCGAGGTAGAACTGGCCCTTGAAATACCTGGATATCCAGATGCAGACTCATGGAGAGCACCTTCTGCTAATTCCGTTTCGGACGCCCATTTGAATACACCCTCCGCACGATCCTTGAAATGTTTCCAATTGAAGCAGGGACGCATCTTAAGAACATCTTCGATAATGTCATAAAGTTTTTGGCGTTTCCTCGGAGAAAATGATAAGAGAGAAACGAGACGGGGTGTAACAGACGCCGCCTCTGATGGGGTAGGTGAAGCTGAAGAATAATATACAGTCATAGGAGGCATCAAAAGAGGGAGTGGAAGTTCGAGCGTGCTTGAGACATCGGATGATGGTAGAGACACGGGCATGGGTTCGAGCTTGATGTGAGCCGAAGTAGCATATGTCGAGTTGGAAGATTGGGATTGATGAACATTTTGGTTAGTGAGCGTATCTTTACTGAGGTCAAGCTCGTCGAGCCAGATTGCTGAAACGTCCTCGAGAGAGATAGCCAGAGAAGAACCAGATTGACCCACCGCCAGTAGAGCACGATCATTATGTATAGACGGTGGTCCTGCATTGTGTGCATTGTGTGGACGAGCACCTGGAGCACTGAGTTGGGCCAGCTGTGACTCGACCTGAATGAGCCTATTGTTGAGGGAGTGGAGATCACTGTAGAAATGATATATGGAAAGCGATGTAAAATTGTAAGCACGAACGGGTGAATATACAACTCCAAATACGCACACTTTCTCAGCTGCAGCAGGAGAGTAAATACATCTGGCAATAGTATCGCGCTTGGTACATGATCCACACGGATTTCTCCTATCGCATTTGAGCTTTAACCGTTTACACTGAGGGAATGGAGTGCGGATATATCCAAGAAAGTTGTGAGACTGGTGTGAATGGCAGAGAAGAGTGGACAGCTTACCTCGGCACATACAACAGTGATGCGAGATCGGATTTGGCTGATCATAGACAGATGGAGGGTCAAGGAATGAAAAGGAGCGCATATATGGAACGTACGGGCCACCAGAAGGAGGAGCTGGCTGTTGCGATTGCTGTTGAGCTGAAGATTCGGCTACCGCAGAGGAAGGCTCCATGTAAGACATAAAGTTGGCGAGACCAGTGCTCCCCGACGGTTTGTAGGAGTATTTGTGGCCTTCAAGGGCCTTTGTAGGGGTGGCCTGCAGATAAGTGGGAGGGCGCTGGACGGGGAAGCGAAGGATGGTGTCTGGAAATGCGACTGGCGGGCTCCGCCAACAGAAAATGGGCAGGCAATTATCGGTGCCACCGGGTCTCTGTAGGACCCCAGAGGCACCCCGAATCGCTTTAACCCTTTTTCACCTAATCGACAATATTGCTTCCGCATATATGCTAACCGACTTGAGTATGGATCCTGTCATATTTCTAACAGCCTCACGTCAAATGCGACTCCCCCCTCGTGCGCCTCCATTGCTGCTTGCTGGCTGTACTCGCAGCTGGAATCCCGCCTGAGAGCTGGTGTAGTATTCGTGTGCCTTGCGGACCGTTTCTTCTGTTTCTACCACGCGATCCGAGCAAAAGCCAATCAGCGTGCTCTCCCGCGGCAGCCAATGCCGTCGCGTGTTATCTTTGCCCCGGACTGATTGGGGTCCGATCTGGTCTTGTTCGCCAAAGTCTCATCTCAGCGGTCTCGACTCCGACAGCTCCAATACATCTCAACTCAGGCTCACCGTTCCCAGCTACACCTGTTGCCTGGTTGTATAGCAGTCGTATCTGTGGTACTAGGGTTGTTGATTCAGTCCAGTGTCTCCCAACACGTGTGCAACCCGCGGGCGCCAACTCCTCAGGGTAGTCGTGCTTGTTGCAAGAGGGCAATAAATAACAGTGGAAAACAAGGTCCCCGTGAACTGCAATCATATTGCTGATATGCACCATGTCTGGTTTATAGTTCTGCCATGGTCACGCTTCCGAGCCCATCTCGTGGCCAAGATCCTCCTCCCATCTCGGCGTATCTGATCGCTGTCATATCACCCATATGTCTGAAACACTCTGTTGAGTTCAGCACTGCGATAAACGGTGAAGTGAAGAACAAGACCAGCACCACTCTCTCTACCATCATGGCCGCCCTGCGCATCCATGTTTCTCTCACCGCTCCGGAAATACAATAAGGCGGTACCTGTCATCGACTCTTGACTCACGACCGTAGCCTTTCATATTCAATGACATGAACAGGCCGGGGCCTTTCTTCTACCCGCGAAGGTCCGTCCCACCTCCCAAAATATGGACTCCTGGAATAAGCGTAACTTGACAGATCGCATTCCCATACACACCGCTCCTAGCATCCAAAAGCTAAAAGCCACGTTATTGGCTCCTTCACACCAAGTGTGAAATGACTGGATTCGACTCAAAACAGCTTTGCGCCCAGTGTTGTGAATAATCACCGTCCAAAAAGGCAAAAGTCTCGATCCTCAATCGGATCATGGTCAGCAACAAAAATGCTGACAGTCCACCTTTGTGAGTCTTTACCGCGCAGCTCGGAAAATATCTCTCCAGGATGTACAAAGCGTACTGCAAGCTGAAACCACACTCACTACACGTCGACGAAAGGTGACGTGAAAATCATACATATCTTATTCCACGGTAAGACACGATCCCTAGCTTTGACGTTACTTCATAAGATGCATTGAGTCAATAGCTTGAGGTACGGCAGTGGAAACTATCCGCAGTTCACTCGACATGATTCCATGATTCCTACCATTTGTTGCGCAATTATGGAGAAAACCAAAGGGGTAAACATTATTGATATTACACGATAATGTATTTCGTCGTTCAAAGTGTCTATTCTCGTTGTATGAGCGCCAACAGCCCCAAACCACCCAATAGAGCATACTTCAACTGCGGAAAATCGTTCTGTCGGAACCGTCCGATTAGCCTCTCAATAATAACATTCATCGGAACTTTGCATGAGCGTCTTACCATAGCGATAGTTACGTAGCCAATGTACGGCAAAAACCTTCAAAACGGCCAGATAAGAGTTATTCGTCAGTCTCAGCGTTAGTGCATTTTGAGATGCCGGGATGAATTGAGAAGCGACAATGATGATGATAACTGATAATAGAAGACATAAGAATAGAAGACATACCCTCGGACTTTCCCAACAATGTGTCGACGTTCTAGCCAATCCAGACCTTGGTATAGCTCAATATCATCCACGGCATTATTGTCTCCCTTGGTCAACAGTAGCTGGTTTTGTACGGGCGCAAGTTCGATGTCACTGTCGCAGATTAAACAAGAACAATACAGTTAGCCCCCTTTTCTAATAGTATTCGATATCGTATGGCGCACCCGTTAGAACTACTTTTGGATTTCTTCGCAATCACGTCGTGAGTCTCTAGAACGCGGTGTACAATCGGGATGTCGCCCCCAGGGACCTTGTACACAGTGATGTCTCCGGTATGATACCGTTCGGTCGGTGGGTTGGTCAGGAAGAGAAGGTCTCCGCGGTAAAATGCAGGTTCCATAGAGCCGCTGGAAGAGCACGAGTGGTACACGTTCTTAAGCAAATGTCAACCAAAGTGAGATTGAAAGAGTACCTAAGTACAACAACAATTGGGGATTCGGTGTTTGTGATTAAACCCAGTCCTTTCCATATCATCAAACCTGACGCGATGACCGAAGCAAAATTGAGGACTTGTAGGAGGAGCTGAGTGGGTGATGCATAGATAATATCAGAGTAATCATAGATGTAAAAAAGACGAAAAGAGCGGTGAAATGTCAGTTCATGAAACCCCCACTATAGTGAAAAGACGAACATGACGGAACCCTAGTCTGCGGAGTGTCTTGATTTCATCGGAGAACATGTTTAAGGATAGGCTCTTCTGAACGAGCGGTATAAGGTTTCAAGCGCCAGAGAACGGCCGTAGTCTTATTATTGTGTTCTGACGGCCAACACGAACCTTGTTGCGTTGGGGAAAGCGTCAGTGACACGTCGAACACGTGGCTGTACCGGCGTACAGTGCCACGTTCATCGCGGACTCTGTCCTGTCTGGGTAAGCTGATCCTATTGCTGGCAGTGGCAGTAATCGCAAGCTAACTCGGACTATCGATAATTTACTACATCTATTCCTCTTGTTATATGTACTTGCCCCATGATATACGATGTAAAACAAGACAAATGGATCTTAAGCCCTCTCCCTCAGGAATGAGCTACCCAAGCAAATACTTCGTCCCTCCCTTGAGCAAGCTGACCCTTCTTCCCCGAGCTCGAATATGCAACTCGCAGACGCTCAGTCGCCAACTCGTCAAGCAGTTCTACATTTCGTGGGGCAGTTGTCTGCGATGACGAGGACGTCGACAGTCGGGGGTCCTGACGTAGTCGTCGTGCACACTAAACATATCGTTCACAACATTCGGATACGTCTACGGCAACACAGGAGAGCACATACCAGTTTCACACCATACCACGCCCGCACGGTAACGCCAAGAGGCGTTGACTCAGCTAATGTCTCGGATTCATCGCCGTGTGTCATATTAACGACCACGAGGAACACCTTGATGGCGAGCGGTATATCTCCAGAGGTGTAAGCAGTTTCCGCAAACTGCAGCGCATAGAATGGATTTTGAGGAGCAAGAATAAGAACCTGGGAGAGAGCTTGGAGAGATTGGTCGTATCTGAGACGTGTATCAGGGCCATATACTGGCAGAAGAGAGCTGAAAGAACTGACTGATTACATGTCGCGTAAATGTCTGCAAGCTCTAGCCAAGCCTCGACGTCCACATAGTATGTGTCAAGGAACTCGACCAGCTCGTTTGCTGCCTTGTCGACCTTTCCCATTCTTCTAAGTACGGATATCTTCCGTTTCCATATGCCCTATGCCAGAGAAAATGCCTTGAGATAGATCACTAAAGGGATATATAAAATACTTACTTCTCTTGCCGAGTCCGTACTCAGGAGATCATCGTAGTATTTCAAAGCAGTTTCAAGCGAGTCGACTGCTTCTATCCGAATACCTGTAAGACATTCGACGCGTGCAGACTCGGGGAACTTGTCTGAAAGCAATTGTAGGCATCGCTACGCATTGAAATCAATATCGAGGCTGGAAGAACAGGAGGAGACGTCGACATACGTCAGCTACATCCGTACGTCCAACATCTATCGCCGCCAAAGTCAGCTGTTCCAAGAAATCCCAACCTACGAAAGTGGACGCAAAAACCAAGCGTAAGGACGAGTTCAGGTTACACGTCAATTCGATATATCAGAAGATACACATACCATCGTCGCCCATATTTTTGTGGCCATTCTTCTGCAAGATCAAATATCCCTTCTCGAATGTTTCCTGTGATGCTCGTGTGTTCTGTGAGCGATACGTCGCCAATTGTTCCATGGCGGATGGAAGGCTCAGCGAGGAGACTATAATGTTACATAAGCTTGAGGCCTTTTCCATCTGGTTTTATTTTCTCATTCTTCAGTTCTGCAACGTTACCCACCTAAACACTTTCTGCAGCTCGATGACCGCAATTCCGAGGTGAGACGACCATTTCCTTCACTAATAGCTTATATCTAATGTCGCTAAGTTATAGTACTCAGAATCAAGATAAAATCCGCATAAATGGTCTTATCCTCCAGTTAAGCATAGGCGGTACTACACCTAAGGAGGGATCCTTGCAGCCAATTCACATATCTCTGGCCATTAAACATGACGTATCTGTGGCAGCAACTTTGGACAGCATAAGTCATTCCATCGATTACGCCTCCATCTGCAATACCGTATCCGACTGTTTGGTTTCCCAACATTTTACATGTCTAGAGACTTTGATCGATCATATATTCACGTTCATATTCGGGGCTCATGCGGAGATCTCAGAGATGTTCGTCTCAGCTTTCCAAAATAGTGTCCCGGAGAGCCTTCCAGTTTCTTCCTTTGGATACGAGTCAAACAGGAAAAAGGATGGAACATCACCAAGGTCGGACTGTTTCACCATGAGAGAAATCCAAAGCGCCACAATAGTTGGTATAGAACCCCATGAAAGAACGGCGATCCAGCCTGTTTCTTTCGATGTGGACATCCAACGGTCCCTGAGATCTTCTCGATTTTGTGATTTTTCTGGACTCACGAGATCAATTCATGATGTACGCCAGTCGTCAATCAGATTCAACTTCCTGTTTATAAAATATCTATTGGGCAGCAAGTCGCGAAAACATCTTTCTATACATTGGAAGCACTGGCATCGTTTGTTGCCCTTGGTGTGTTGAAGCATACTGGTGAAAGTCAGGATACTGTCACCATCAAAGCAGCGAAACCCAACGCTCTAAGTCTCGCAAAGTCCGCTGAAATTGAGCTGGTCCGCACCCAAAGCCACTACCCCGATATCTTTTCGATAGGGCCAGAGGGTCGCAGTCAAAGCCTATTAGACTACACACCCTCCCCTCTCGGTTTATCTGCAATGATATCGTCTATAAGTCCACCCAATAAAGCTTCCCCAGCTTTGCATGTCGCTGCCATAGCGCTGGGATCCAATCTAGGTGACAGATTCGCAAACATTGAAACTGCTCTTCGGCTGTTGGAAAATCCTGCTCGAACGCTTGACGAACTCCAACAAGATGCAGAAGTTGCGATCATCGACACCAGTTTCATGTATGAAACAACTCCAATGTACGTTATTGATCAACCACTTTTTGCAAATTGTGCATGCATGGTACGTGACGATTTGGCGCCAATAGAACGGTACTTATATTCTTTCTAGGTCGAAACGAACCTGCGTCCTGAGTTACTTCTTAAACTGTTAAAGCAGATCGAGACTACTGTGGGTCGTGTCCCGTCAATTCGAAATGGACCCCGAGCTGTGGATCTGGATATCTTGATTTATGACATGGACATGATCGACACTCGACCCAAAGAACAGAGATATCACTTAGGAGACCTCGAGGGTCAATTACTCGTCCCCCATCCCAGGATGGCCGAGCGAGAATTTGTCCTAAGGCCGTTGAACGAGTGAGTGCTTGTGTTGTCCCCATAAAGCGTGTTTCGTTTACATATATCGCAGTATGATTCCAAACTATATACATCCGGTTTACAAGCAGTCCATTCGATCTATGCTGGACTCACTGATGGAAGCTCATACTGGAGACGATTTTCCGATGCAAAAAGTCATTCCGTTTCCCCGATATCCTTTATCTGATCCTGCAGTACCAAACCTTCTCGACGTCCCTGTTCCTCCTACCGCCAAACACTGGGCCTTTTCCGTTACCAATTCCGCGAATACATCAACGAATTCTCTGCCTCGAACAACATACGTCATGGCTACCCTAAACGCTACCCCAGACTCATTCTCTGACGGATCCATCCATAATGCCCTGCCAGACGCTCTTTCGTATGCCACCACCTCCGCAGCATCCGGAGCAGATATCATCGATATCGGCGGCTACTCTACGCGGCCAGGAGCAGCTTATGTTTCTCCTCAAGAAGAAATAGACAGGATAGTGCCCATCATCAACGGCATTCGTTCCAATCACGACGAAGGTTCCAAAGTGAAAGAATGTTTAATCAGCGTGGATACGTTCCGCTGGGATGTGGCGAAGGCCGCTATACTGGCAGGGGCTAACTGCATCAATGACGTGTATGCTTTCACTGGACCTGATTACCCTCTCAGTGCTTCCTCTGCTGAGCACCTCCTGGAGATGCGACAAATAGCAAGGGACCTCGCCGTCCCCGTCATCCTCATGCACTCTCGTGGAGACGCCGGTTCAAACAAAGATGATGGAGACAGTGACGCGAGCGGGATGCAAGGCAATGCAACCGAGCGAGTGTTGGCATGCATTCGAGAAGAACTAGGAGAGAAGGTGAATGCGATTGTCAAAGGGCGAAACGGGGTAAGGCGTTGGATGGTCATCATCGACCCGGGAATTGGATTTAGCAAAACATTAGAGGGGAATCTAGCGGTACTGCGACATGCGTCTTCCATCACGGCTGATGTACAGGGCAACCATCTAACTGGATATCCTTGGCTTATCGGCGCCTCGAAGAAATCTTTCCTAGGAGCGATTCTTGAGCAACCGAATGCACAAGGTTCATATGGCGGAAGGAAAACCCAACCTAAAGACCGAGGATGGGCTACCGCTGCTACCGTAGCCTGTGCTGTTCAACAAGGAACAACGATAGTGAGGGTACACGATGTAGAGGATATGCATGACGTTGTTTCCGTAGCTTCTGCACTCTGGCACAAATGATCACTTAAGAAATTTCTTGTGTTGCGCATCGTTCTGACTTCTCTTAAGATGGCCGACCAACAGCACAGGATCACATCTCAGGCCTCAGTGAAGCAACAAACAGAGCGATATGGCCCTCATAGATGTAAATTGGGCATAATGTGTGGCATATCGTAGCATGAGAATATGCAGATAATGGTGATGCAATAATAGCAGGACAAAACGGATCGCGAAAACCCTCCAGTAAGTCTTTTCTATCGCGACAGTGGTCTTGCACAGGCACCTGATATGACTGTGCCACTGGATCCCGGGTGGTGGTGTTTTTTTACTTCTCGGGGTTCGGGTTCCTGCGAGTGAAAACCAGTAAGCAACAATTCGACAAGGGCAAATTTTTTAACGTAGGCCAGGAGAGAAGATCAGATAGGAGCGAAAGACGTGATGCTTGGTTATCAACACGGTAGTTTCAGTGTGAACTATGCTTGGTTATATGTTATATCATCATAGAGTGTCCGGAAAACGGAGTCCCAGTGACATGGGAAAAGCGAGAAAACCTGCAACAAGAAAATTGAAACTTACATCCGCCGTTTGCCTCCAGGGAGAGTCGTAACATTGACGAATCTAGAGCAAAAAAGTCAACAAAATCTCCAAATTTCTCGATTGAGGACAACGCACCTGCGGTTGTAGATGATGCGCTTCTTAGCACGGCCCTTGGGAGTTTTCTTCTTCTCCTGCTTATCAACCTTTGGTGTTTGAGACTTGACTTTGCCGGCACGGGCAAGAGATCCGTGAACTGGACGACAACATCGGGGATTAAGACCAGACGAACAGAAATGAGGTTAAAGTACCTTTTCCCATATTGTCTTGAGGTTGGGGAACTTATTGACGACGGTGGTGAGTAACGAAGGTGGTGCTATACAGTCAGGCTCGTTAAGGTTTCGGTCTTGACATGCATATCACGTAATCAACGCAAACAGCCGTCTTATTCTCAGGCTCTTCAAGTTCCAGTCAGTCTTCATGAATAATCTTGGTATGTACTAATACGACATCAGCCAGAAAATCAAAACTCTATGCATTATGGCTGCTTCTAATGATTCATTCTTTGTCTAAGTCTCCCCATCACAGTTTAGCATGGTCTGCCCCGTGAGGTGGATTTCCACTCGCATTATACTTCAAGGCTCTTCTGTTCACGTCCTTCGTAATAGATCGATATCCAGCGACGGTCATGGTGATATCAAGATCCTGTGCATAAGTTGAGCAGATAACCTTGACTAGCCTTATATCGAGTGCTCTTACCGCAAGAAGCGATTTCATAACATGCCTGCATCCCGCCTCTCCTTCATGTGACATTCCCCAGACGTAGAGCCTTCCTACTTGAACAGCATGTGCTCCAAGCGCGATAGCTTTGAACACGTCAGACCCAGTCCGAATACCCGAATCAAAGATGATTTTCATCTCTGTTTGCATAATCAGACTACTGGGCGATGATTTCACGAGACGCGAGTACTCACTGTCGCCAACGGCATCCACAATATCAGGTAATACCTCAAGGCTACCCACTGCGCCATCGACCTGTCTACCTGCGTGGTTTGTGACGACGATTCCTTCACAACCTATTTGATGTGCTTTAAGAGCATCTTCGACAGACTGGATGCCCTTGATGACGAACGGGCGTCCTCCTGAGATGCGCTTCCACTAAGGATGGATGTGTCATGATGTCATCTTCTTGTGCAACAGATTCTAGTTATTCGCTACTCACCTCTTTGATGAGCCAAGGTATTTTCTCCCATGTGTGTGCCTTCCCGTGCCAGACTGACGAATCAATCCATTTTCCAGAATCTTTCTTCAGCTCATCTCCATGCTTTCGCATGAACACAGGGTCCGAAGCTCCAATTTCGTTCCCGACCTGTCATTTTAATTATATCCAGCAACTGCGGTTATCACTAGTCAAACTATCATTACTTACCGCTCCTGGATAATAGAACCTGTCAATCAAGGCATTAGTATCATGGACCCAAAGTCAGTTCTCGTGACATACACATAGTTTGCTATATTGATGTCCGTGGGTCGCCAGCCCAATTGCCAGGTGTCTACAGTAAGCATGCAAACATCGAATCCACTTTTCCAGGCACGTTCCAGAAGACTGATGGTCTGTGACTTTGAATTAGCAATCACGCGACTAAGCGGAGCGATGTTAAAGCCTCACAATCTCGTCATCGTGACCCATGTAAAGTTGGAAAAAGCGAGGGCCTTGAGCATTCCCTCCATTCGGACCACTGTACTCATGAACGGAGTTACTTTCATTCTTTACCGACGCACCCAAGTCATTCGCCTGGGCGACTGCCTCAATTGGCTGAGAGGCTGCTGTGGAAAGACAATACTGGCTCTTAACTTTAGCTATCATAAAGAAGGAGAAAAGGATGAATAACGAACAGGAAGACCGAGTTCTCCGGCAATCTTTGCTGGTATAAGCTCGCCAGTGGGACTATATAACTTGTTGATACCAATCGGCGCGAACAAGATTGGTGCGGGGATACGGTGTCCAAAGAGCTCAGCTGCAAGAAAAACCTTGAACCTCCGTTACGTTGGCGGTGCAATATTAGGGCTTACTAGTCAGATCTCTAGTATTTGTGTCTACTAGCATGCGAGGAATAATGCGCCATCTGTAAAAGGCTTCCCTGGGAGAAGGTGAGTCATTTCAGACATCTTGTTGACATTCATTGCAGCTGACCTATTGGCTCTGTCAGTCCATCCTAAACCCGCGTTCGAGTTAGCGTAAAAGTACGATCGGTCGTTGAGTTTCTTCTTTGTCGACTCTGCTAATTCTTCCGCGTGTACAGAGAAGCTTGGTACTAATGCCACCAAGGTTTTCAGCAATCAATCACTACTGAGCAGTCAAGAAGTATACACTCACGCTCCCCCTTAGAGCCTCCATTCTGGAATACTTCTCTCTGGTAAAGAGAGTAGTGAGGTGAGGGTCCTTTTGGCTTGTTAGTTGGATCCATGTTCTGAAGTTTTTTGACTGGTGTAAAGCAAATGAGTTTTGAATGCCAATTGCACCAACCTGAAGTTCTCCAATTTATACTCGATGTATGGTCATGAAGTACGTCATTTGGATTTCAGATGTCTAAAATAACATACAAGTTTGATCATGACGGAGCCGCTTCCTTCTCGGAATCTTCTCTCCTTCTATTCCTACGAGCTAAAGATGGCTTCCGTTTTGCGGAACTGACAAAGTCATTATGAAACAAGCTCACACAAGTGAGGTCACGGCCATCCAGTGATGCTCAGCGGAAACGGGAGCATTTCGTTCCTTCTCGGGTTCGGGGGCTTTGGCGCTGGTGGGGACACTTTTGGGCGTCTTTGTCATCGGGCATATGGTGTAGCTGGTTATCACATCCGCTTAGCACTGGCTGAGTTGCGGGGGGTCTCCGGTTCGAGTCCGGATTTGTCCACTTTTTGCTATTTACTTTGAGGAATCTTCTATCAAGTTCATAGACTTGAGTCACTCGAGCGATAATCGGCTAGCGCTTTATGATCATTGCCTATCATCCTTTCAACATTATTCATTGGTTCTCCCCTAATGGCCTCTGATACGCTATCACTGAAGATCGAGTTCGGCGGAGGGCTCGAGTTACTTTTTTCCAATATACGCTCACACAAAATAACTCTTCCACATCTCGTTCCAATTGATAACTCGATGGATGGCACAAGCCATGTACCCTCTTCATCTACTCCTCCCTCCGCTACCGATGGGGACAAACCAATCAAGACGAAGCCGGCTGATGTGACATACTTAATGCACTATCTACGCGATAATCTCCTCAAAGAAAGGGCCGAACTTTTCATGGAGAATGGGACAGTGTAAGTAGCTACCCGCATATTATCTCATCAAGTCGTTGCACAGACACTCACTTGCATTACTCTCAGTCGTCCAGGAATCCTCGTCTTAATAAACGACACCGATTGGGAGTTGGAAGGCGAAGGAGAATACGAGCTGAAGGATGGAGATGAAATTGTTTTCATTTCAACTTTACATGGAGGTTGAGCGCTGAGCTTTCATGAAGTGATACGATGAAGACGGCGATCGATGGATAATCTACCTTGGGGTGCAGAACTGTATTGGACATCCATAGGTGCAGCAAATTTTACCATCTAGAGACGGGCAGCAGGATACTATCCATGTCGTGGGTTCCAAAGAACGTCCCTGGATGGAAAAAAATGGTCGATGAGGGAAGGACTATGTCACCACGGCTAGAAGAGTACCATGATGGTCCTGTGGAACATAGCCCCCTCGACCCCATCTCAAAATATTCTGATGGTATACTATATTAGAAGTGTATGATATACTCTATAGAAATCAGAAGTGGAACAAAAATATATTTTAGCTGCGTCGATAATGCAAGCACTGTCTGTCCTCCCTCGCGTTCTCTTATTCATAATCTCAGAAGAAAATGGCAAAAAGTGGACAAATCCGGACTCGAACCGGAGACCCCCCGCAACTCAGCCAGTGCTAAGCGGATGTGATAACCAGCTACACCATATGCCCGATGAAGAGCTGCACTTTCCGTTCCATGATAACGCAGTTAGCCCCGTTATAGACGCTCCTTCAGATCCCTCTGTCGATCTTCAGAAATAAATTCACTCAGGCCACCGTTCGCTCACTCAGTTACAGGCTGCAACTTGGCCTGCTAGAAAACAGCCTGGCTAGAATCATCAAGTGCTTTATGGTTCAACGCATTCCTTTGTTCACTCACTGACCAGTGGTTCAATCCAGATTAACATAAGCTCACTTGCCAAGGCCACCCTTTTACCATGAGTGCGCTACATACGGGAGAGACGTATAAGGAGAAGGCTCTCCGAAAGTTCAAGGAGCAGCCCCTAGTCCCACTAGGTGCGTCTGCTGCTGCCCACACGATATACTGAAATCATAACCCGTGTCCAGGTGCCGCTGCAACCACATTCGCCCTCGTGGTCTCCATGGTCAAGATGCGTCGTGGGGAGTCCCGCTCGTTCAACAACTGGCTTCGAGTCCGTGTGATAGCGCAGGGTCTCACCATCGCGGCCGTGTGTGCCGGGACATGGGCTTTTGGTCACCAGCGTAGCACAGACTCGACGAATACACGGATTTTGGATGAGATACAGGCGAAGCGGGAAGAGCGGGAGGGGAGAGAGCGAATGGAGTTTGAGGGACGGTTGAAGGAAGCGGAAGAGGTGTGGGCAGTGACGGAGGGACAGCCGAAGGAGAAGATGATTCCGTCCGTCAATGGACTGCCTGGTATCGCTACCTCTGTTCCGGTGAATAACACACCGTCAACGTCGGAAAAAACATCACTACCGTCAAGCTCGAGTTGGTGGAGATGGGGAAGGGGTGGTTAGTGATCTTCGAGTAGTAGCACATTGGACACATCATGTTGTGTTATCATCTTAGTATCTCATAGAATTCGCATATGCGTATAGCCTGTGCATCATGGTTGTATAGTATCCACGCATGATCATCCTCTCACGCATTAGAAAGCTTTGCATATACAAGAAAGTAAGCTGAAGCAGAGGGGATGTGAAGGCAAATCAATCATCTACCAGCAAATCTTCCCCAGCACATAACCATTGCAACGGCATGCCTCCTGAGTAAGCTCTACACCAACCAAGACAGCCATTCCCCCCTCCGTACTACGGACAATCCGGAGACCCGTCTGACGCTCTACCCCCTCAGATACCGTTCGCTCTAATGTGAAACAAGAGGAGCCTTCATCCCTTCCGCATCTATGTGTCACCCCTCGTCCGGACCTCCGTCTGGTCTTCCACTGCCAACTTCCACCCGCCATAGAGTTGATTGACGACCGCACTCCGTCGCAGCACAGCCAGCTCTTTCACAGCTTCGTTATACATAGACGACACCTTTGCAGGGTCTTGTTCCTCCTATCGAATATTGCTATAAGTTAGGACTAGGTTGAAACAGATGACGACAGGAAATGGTACCTGTATAGTTCTGAAAGTGTCCTGCGTGCGGCGTACGAAGTAGTGCCTGAAGTTATACGAACTGAACGAGCGGGATGTACGCAGGGCGGTAGCGTAAAGGTCCAGAATAGCCTTTGAGCTTGGTGTTGTCGCCATTGAGGTCGTTTAGAATAGGAACTACAAAGTTACAAACACACTTTAGAGAATGACAGAACTGACGAAGCCTGTGCAAAATCCACATGCGGGGAAATGCCGAAATGCCGAACAGCTGACGTTAACTATTCCGAAATTCCGATTACTTATAAGCGTACTCTCTCCAGGAGGACGCAAAGTAATGGTGCTTTCAATCGATTACAGCGTAGGTATGTTCCGACAAGAACCGTAAATTGGTGGGGGTAAAAGAAACATCAGTATATAATTTTCTTGTTCTGCATATCCTGGCTCCAAGTCGCAAAGAACCACTTCTGCTAGTTATGTCAAGGGTTGTATGTGTAGACGAGCACAGAGTATTATAGCTGTGCCGAAGGGCCCTCCATGATACGACGGAGAATTGGCGCACTCGTCTTCCGCGTCGCGTCCGAATTTTTCTGTTTATATATCCTGGCTCGCAGCGACGAATCAATCATCGCATGATGTACACCAAAGTCCTCGAAAGCCATATTTTTCAGCCGCAGCTCGGGATCACCTTCGAAACCTGACCATACTCTCGATGATAATTCCTGTGCGTCTAGTGTTTGCATTGCACCCTCTGCGCCGGTATCGCGAATAATCCACATCATCTCCCGCTTGTGTTTCGATTTACCACTCTTTTTGCTATTTCGGCGGAACGTAGTCAATATTCCTAGGACAGAAAGGTCTCTTTCTTCCATCCACTCCTTGGTTGAAGAGAAGAATAGTTCTTGCTCCTGGAAGATCCAACGCTTGAAACCTAAAGGAACGGTAGACATACCCGCGTGAATCGCAGATTTCGACGGCGCCCATGATGGAACGAATTCGTATTCTTTATAGTCTCGACGGAGAAGATCTCGAGTCTGCAGATGAGATACGGAATTCTTTTTGTCTCTCAAAGTACCCGACAAATCATTTAGTTCGGGCATGTTTGGTAGATCTTCAGGTTGGAATGAGAGGAAGAGGAGTGTCGATTGTGGTATCAGGAATACGACTGCATCGTGATCAACCTGTAAAGCTTTCCCTCCAGCCACCAGGCCATTAGTATCGACTAAAATGGCGCATAGCAATAGGTTTGCAAGCTCAGGAAGTAGGTTTGGGGGACAAAGATGGGCGATATGTGAGGCACAGCTGCCAGAAGGGGCAATGATGCGCGGGTGAGCGGAATCTTTGTATTTTTGCTCGTCATCGTGATGATCTACGATAGCAACTACTTGGGCGCCGTCATTGTGAGATAAATATTCGGAGTGGAGGGAATTGTGATCGACAAGGGCGAATTTGTTGGAAGGGAAGGCCTGATCCCACTGAAGGTCGTCTTGACAAAGGAGCTCATCCCAGTTGCTTTCTATTCCAGCAAGCGATAAAGCATGGGTGTTTTCAGCGCGGAGTACAAAGTCAGGTCGTTTAGTGCGGATGAGCGGTATAGTGAGTTGCTGATGAACCTCTGTGCGAACCCAGGAGTATGCGATGCAGCTAGCGACAGAATCCAGGTCTGTAAAAGTACGGCTGGAATGAGCATGACAAGCTTCTTTGAGGGCACTGGCGTACCGCCCGCCTCGTTGCCGATTACGACGGTCCAGTTACGCCCTTTTCCGTTTTTGATGTCTTTGAGATATCGCGATTTGTGAGATGATAGGTACTGGGAGAGAGTGGACATGGTTGTCAGGCGTCTCTGAGGAGTGCTCCAGGTAAATCTGATGCGATCCTGCCCTAAGGCGAAAACCCGAGCGAGAGGTCTGAGTAATTGTATGACTGGAAACCTAGCAGATTGATGATTGCATTAGAAGGGACGAGCATTGAATGGGCTTCTGTACTCACTGTTGACTGCAGAGACTGATAACAACAAATGCGACCGCGACGGAGACTTGAAGACACGCTTGGGTGGTTCGGCGGCGATCAACTCTGAACGCTAAAGTGATCACGAGATCCGCTCCATCGGGTCGGACCGAGGAGCCTTCTTCGAGTCCGAGGACGTTCACGCTGGAAGGCTCGACGGCGAACTGCAAAATGACACTCAGCCTTGTGAACGTCCCCAAGGTTAGTCTCGTAATCATATCACGCAGTATCTGCGATGAATGTAGTGGGTCACCTCCATTTCCCATACTGAACGGCAATAGTCATTCGGTACTCATCTACAGTCTGATTTACATCCGATGGGATACAGATAAGTCCTGGCAGGTGAGTGCAACTTGTATCGATGGCCCCTCCTTTCCAATTGACCTACTTTATGCTAATTTATGCAGGAATTAGCCCGTGCAAACGGATGTTTTTAAAAAACTGTGCATCAACAATTCAAGTACTCGCCTGTATGGCATCCCTAAGACCCCTTCCGTTGGAGAGCGTGTGCGTACTCTTGAATTTTCACAAAATCGTCTTGCTGACTGTCTCGAACTACAGAGAATGATGGTGGACGTCGAATGCGTAAAATGTAGCTGCTCGTAGTCGCTATTTTCGTCTGTATTCGTCCTCGTCCGCAGGGCTCTTCGCAACGTCACCGATACTGTGTCGTTCACATCAGGGGGACTTCTGTTCACAAACAAACCCGGAGATGGCCACCATTTACCATAATAGCAGATGGCCCAGCATCCTTTCCCGATTGGTGTGCTTTGAGCTTTGACGCTATGCCAAAGCGTCCATCGCGTCCACCACCACCGGTCGATACCCGGTCCCCCCATCAACGCTTTGACCACAAATCCCTGACAAGTGGCCACAGGGAGTAGCTATATAAACCTGATGTCCCCTCCTTCTCACCGTTTTACCTGTCTTGTCCCGTTCGTTCTATCAGGGAGAAAGCAGTCTGTCCCTCATTTACCCTTCGAACTTCTGCTAAATACTTCTTATATTATACCTTCTTCATCATGCAGTCTACTACCTGGATTCCTCGTCGCTTCTTCGCACTCAACGCTATAAAACGCGATACCCAGGGCTCCTCCACGAGCAACTACTATAACGATATCTCCAGCGCCAGAACCGAGAATAGACGCGACGAAGATACCAAAACTCCTCCCAAAAAGAAGCTTCGCGTTGTCACGAATTTGCAGCACGCGCAGGACGCGATTAACCAGCATGAGGGGCAGCGGGATGCTGTTGCATCCCCACGATCTGGAGGAGATTACCCATTCAGCCCTGCTGGTATTCCTGTAACGTCCCCCGTCCGCCCTGGCTTCCCTTCCTATCCATCCGTCTCCGGCCCCTTTCGACTCGTGGCGAAGCTTCAGGCAGGGTGTTGTGGGGAGGCAATCGCAGCGGAGGATTTGTTTACGAAGAGGATGCTGTGTTTAAAAGTATTCAAAAAGGAACGTAAATCGATTTCGGGTTTGGAGCGAGAGTTGCTCGCGTATAAAAGGATCGCGACCTCGAAGAACTGGACGAATGGCAAGGCCTTCATCATGGAACTGGAGAGGTCGATGCAGGATGATCATTTTCTCTGCTTTGCAATGGTATGTCTATCGCTCAGTCAAATTAAACTTTAGTTCTGACATACATTACAGGAATTAATGCAACACGATTTAATGGAAGTCATGATGGATGATCCATGTGCATGCCGAGTTAATGCGCGGAGGTGGTCCGCTCAAATAGTAAGTTTATCTTCTAACTTTTACCGTCAAGCCATCACTAATGTATTGATAAGACTCTAGGAATTGCCTCTTTACACGAGATGGGGATCATCCATCGCGACATTAAACCTGAAAACGTTCTCGTCGACGCGAGGGGCAACGCCCGTATCGCCGACCTCGGCGCGGCGTACATGCACTCCGGTGCTCTTCATTGGTGGGGGGAATATAGCATAGATCTCGTAGGGACCTGGCAGTACATGGCCCCCGAGGTTATCCAAAACAAGGGTCTCCCGAAGCGTGATAAAAAGTCCTATGGAATCGCAGTGGATTATTGGGCGCTAGGATGTCTCATCTATGAATTAGAATCCGATGACCACGACGTAAGTTCATCTATTCCTTATTTATTTATCGCGATGCTAATCTGACATATCTTTGTTTGACAGACCCTCTTCAATAGCGACATGGGGTGCGCTGGATATCTTGCTTGGCGATCCTCTCACTTTGGAGTAGTATATCCACCATTGCAAAGTCTCAACAAAGATGCAGCGAGTGTGATCACCGGGGTAAGTATTTATAACCTTTCTTTTCCATCAGTTCGTTCACTGATTTCATTTCCCTTTGACTTCAGCTGTTGCGTACGGCGCCTGGTTATCGTTTTGGAATTCGAGATCTTAGAAGGCATGCGTATTTCCGCACAGAAGCTGGGTATGTCTTCTCCTTTTTGTATCCATTTGGTCTCATTCTAACATAACGCTTCCCCCCGCAGCATGTCAGAGTTTGCGGATACTGAAGCACGGGGTATGTCTTATTTTATTTCTATGTGGTTTCACATTCATACTGACATATCCTTCTATTTTCTTAGCTCTTGCACGCCCAATCAATCCCGATTTCCAGCCCCACCTGATGCGCTCGACATACACAAGCGAACTAATATTTACGCCGGTTCGATGTTCTCGACACTCTAAATTGGGAGGGGAGGCCGACTTCTCGCGCTTCGACTGGGACAACCCAAGATCTGGGGTGGTTGTCGACTCGAGTATAAATTAACGTAGAGATCTCCGGGCCGATGACGTCCCCTTATTGTTGTTGTGTGCTTCCGTTATTTTCGTGACATAGAGTGGGCCATGTTGTATTTTTTCCTGGATTGGATTTGTGCGAATAGCTGGGGGATACTGTATTCCAGTTTGAGAATGTTAGTGTACTATACTAGACAGAATTGAAAAGTGTAATCTGATAGAGATTTGCCTCCGCTTGTCGCTGGGTTTCATGAGTGTGTCGGAATAGGGAGTTTAATTGAACGGAGAAAGGGACAGCTCCCGTGAGTGTGCAGGGCCTTGTCGCGTATCCAAGAGAAGGCTGAGCACAGATCTCTGATCGACGGGAATGGAAAATAATAGTTTACAGAAATCCAGCCAAACCGTGGCAGCTCAGCTTATAATCCCGGCGCCAAATGGAATGGTCTCCCATTCTCCTTTCTTTCTGTTCTCCCCGTGTCCCATGACCAGCGTATTCGCATCTGCCACCTCTGTTTCACCAGCGACAGAAGGAGGTACTACAATCACTGCAATTCACGTCCTCTCGACAGCCACACTGCCGCTCAGACACTAGTCGCTACCGATTTCTTGTTCTAAATAATTTTTTCGCAACAAACTTGTTCAACACTCTTTCACGCACGCTCTTTCATTGCTGCTCTCTTCCCTTCCTTTGACCACATCTCTCTGCCATGTCTGGTCTCTCCCCAGCGCATCGTATACGCACGAAGACGTCTGATCTCTCGGAAATATTTCGTAGCAGCAGTAGCAATGCCTCGCGCCAGGCTCTAAGGCCAGCCCCATCGGTCTCCAATCTGGGCACGCAGAGATCAGGAGGAACTGAGACGCCTACCTCACTTCAGAAACCGAAGCGAAGTAGGATACCTTTCTTGGGACGCAAGAAAACCGCTGAGCCTGCGGTCCCTCCTCTGCCCGCGTCATTGAAGAAGCCAGCTACGAGTTCGGACGTCCATGCACCGAACACTGTCCCGAGATCACTTGGAAATGGGTGAGTGTTCGAATACTCTTCGACTGAGATCATGGCTACTGTCTTAATCCGAACAAACGCGTTCGGTAAGGAACCATCACGCCTTGCAGTGTTACTGATATGATGCTTTCTGTTATTAGGCACACTGTCCTTATGATCTCACCTCCCGAAGACTCGTCATCGTCTTTGAATGATGTCCCATTATCCTCCACGCTCCCTACCCTGAACGTCTCTTCCCCCTCTCTGGGCTCGAAATTCGCAGCTCATTTTACCCCGCTGAGGTCACCTTCCAAGGCTCAGAAAGCTCGCCAGGTCTCTCCACAGAAATCGGTTCAACCTCCCAAGGAACCGCCACCAGCAGCGTCCCTGTCTCCGCAGGTGGTCAATGTCCGGTCGCCTTCTTTCGAATCGACGCGATCGAGCAATCAAAGCAGATCTTCGACGCCTCGTCCCATACGCGCCATCATCCCAATCGTGAATCCTGAGGAGGAAGACGAATTCCATGGGCTGTTCACGCTCCCCCGTTCAGCACCGAGTCTTCCTAGTTATCTATACAAGCCTCACCCTTCTCCTCCTACCCCTCGTGCGGATAGCACCGACGTGATTCCTCTCGCGCCTACGTCTCCTACCAGCTCTAGTCCCCCCATCAGTCCGCCTATGCAGTTTCCGGTCCCCCCCTCTCATGTGGGAGGCCATCACGTCTTGCCCAGCCGGCTTCGCTCGAATTCGGCGTCGTCGTACCAGCCGTCGCGGGAAAGTGTTTCTTCCTCCAATCTCAGACGCCAAACTACGAAGGCCAAGTCTTCGAGAGTGCAATATACGGCTTCTGTGGTTCAGGAACTTGAGAGTGTGCTCGGTACTAGTGTAGATCTGAACTCGGATGAAGAACACGATGCGGAGCCTGCAGAGCGGCGTGTTAATGCGAGGAACGAGCCAAGCCAGAAATTTAGTACAGATTCTCGCAAGAGTCATAACAGACGAGGGAGTCTACTCTCAGGCACAGGTCCGTCGAAGGCATCGTTGTTACGACAGCCATCGTCATTTCAATTGGCCAGTTCTCCCAGTAGAGCTCCTACTGCCCCCCCTTCTCTCCCTCTCCCTCCACCACCTTCGTCTTCCGTCTCCTCTACCGATAGCCTTAGTTCGGTAACGTCTGTACCTGGTAACCCAGTGCTTCCTGCTGTCATATCTCGGAAGTCATTGTCCGCACTACACCCTCGTTCGTCTTCGCCTCGTCCCAGGGCGATGACGATGGCCGCGAAATCGAATTCCCGACAGGTTCACGCGCTCCCTTCTTCGGTGTCAACACCGACAGTTCAAACATCTGAAGAAGTCCGTCATGCGGATAAATCGTCTGCTGCGATAGCCGAAGACCTGCGAGAGGCGCTGCAGTTTCAAAGAGCGCAATATGACAATCTTCAAAATTACTTGTTAACTATCACCAAGAAATACGAAGAAGAGAAGACGGCAACTGACCAGACTATTGAGATGCTGGAACGAGACGTACGGAAGAAGACGAGAGAGATAGAGGGCCTTCGGTGGTTAGTGATGCATAATGGTAAAATTGGGGACATGGGTTCTGTGGATCACTTGACGGAGCAGCTTGACTCCGACCTTGACAAGGGCGAAGACAAGGACGCAGAACTGGAAGGGGCTGATAAACCAGGCTCTCCTACGAAACTGAAAAGGGCTAAAACCCTACCCGATTTTTTGTCGCCGCCCACCGGTAAACCAAGACAGCAGAACAACTGCATTTCGATGCCAGTCTCGATCCAGTCGCAGGGTCTTTGTATCGAATTTCCTATCCCTCGAGACGAATCCGTCTCGAGCCTGGAGTTACCGGCATTTGAATCGAGCTCTGCAGCTTCGTCTCAGTCATCGCTATCTCTCCCTGCACTGACGCCGTCAACAGTGTCATCAGGTCTTTCGGCTATTCCTGAGATGCCTCGGGCTTCGACGAGCAGGCCTGATCGAACTAGTACTGCGAATAGTGTCTCTGAACAGCAAAGGGAAAAAGAAGAGCGACGCGCTTCTCGTGCTCTTCGTCGTATTTCCACGTCCTCACTCTCCTCTTCGGTAGCGTTGTCTACCTCCAAGTCGCAGCCCATTTCTTCTAGGCAACCACGCCCGTCGTCGTTTGGGCTTTCGATTGAGCAGCCTCGGAGCATGGAAGACGTGCTGGAGAGACTCAAACCGTTTGGAAGCACATGATGAATGTTTTGTTCTTTCAAGTACGTTTTTGTAGTGAACTGAAATTTTATTCACTCAGTATATAGTATCTAGCTTCGAGTTTAGCGTATCACGGGGACGCCTTGTTCTACTCAACCTGAGACGTCCTTTTCCTCTATTTCTCCCATTCAGCTGCCATTCGTTATCAAGTGGACATTCAATCGTCATTATTTTCTTCTTCTCTTCGCATTACCCCCATCGTTTCGTTGCTTGCATCACTGTTTTGTCGAACTCTAAGAACTTGCATTTTCCATAATTCATCTTATCGCATTTCGTTCCTATCCTAGAGTATTTATTGGGCCACATTTTGAGCGCCATAGTACTCATATTTTGTTCGTCTTCATGTTCATGTCTGTATACTTGCATTGTATATCTTAAGATTCTTCTCTCGGGCTTTTTCTTCTTGTGCCCCGTGTCAGTGGGTGGACGTCGTACTATATATGTCGGTTTTCGTAATGCACACTCGTATTGGAGGTTTTGGGTTTGATAAACAGGTCGTAAGAGCGTGGGGTAAGTATACTGGGTAATGTTGGGTAATGTGCGTTCAGGGCCAGGGGTGAGTGTCATAAGTTAAGGTCCGGGGTATACTTATCGTACGCACTATGTACGCAGGTGAGACCAAAAGGTCTCGTGAGCACCACATGTAGCTTGAAGTGCGTGATCAAAGGCGTCGAGAGCCTAGATGGGCCTTGCAACTGTAGATACGACGGTGCTGTAATTTTGAGATAAATTTAGGATAAATTCTCTCAGAATTAGAGGTATTGATTAATATTAAATACCCATGGGAGTGTATGCTGTACCAAACTTTGTAGACTTTTGGGTAATCGATGTGAGGGAGTGCGGGGGAGCTACGAACCTGAAGGGCTCATTAACGATGCATTAACGGCTTCATGCATAATTGAATGGTGTGATGGAGGTTACCTGTTTTGGGGTCCGACGATGATCTGCGTGCGAAATTTGAAACATTGTATCGCCTGCGAGGCAGTGCCGAGTCTCTAAAGTAAAGTTTTGGTGTAGAATGGATGAACAGACCGCTGAAAGGTATTCTCCGTGTTTTTACCGTTGCCGTCGTCACGGCGCGATCGTGATTGAGATTATGATCGGGCGGAGGCGTATGGGCACTGTGCGAAGTGGCAGAAAGTGGCAGAGTCGCAGCGGGCCAGGATGACCACTTCAACGATGAACTTGAAGTAAATGACTTTTTGTGTGAATGGAGGTATAGACAGCTACAGTTGATGTGACTGATAGCAAGCACGCTGTCACGGACCACCCACGAGCAAGAACTGGTAAATTGACGTATGAGCCACTTACGATCCGAGGCTGACTATTCACAGCCTTTTCGGTTAGCGCCTATGAACAGCTGATCGGGCTAGTGCTGTGGTGAGATACGAACTAGAGGAGGCAGGGATATCGGTGTATATGTTGGGAATTGAAACAGAGATGTAGGCTGAGGTGCGTATCTTGAAGGTGGAGGTGAGATGAGGGGATGGTCACGTGCATCTGACGCGGGATGATGGGGAACTGAGCTGGCATCTTCAGCGTCTGTTTTCCATCCCGGATACTACTGGACCAAAGAAAAGGACGAAATAATTATGAGACAAGATATGTGGAGAAAGCAACCGGCAGGGCCAGGACAGGTGCGCTGTATTTGAGAGATTAGATCAGATTTTCAAATAAAGACAAATATACGCCATGATGTCGGAACTGCCATACGTTGCTATGAGCTGCTCCAACCCGTTCTCCTCCTCTTCGCTCTACCTTTGCTCTTACGCGCGTTCCATCATTTGTCTCTTTGACATTATACTTTCTTTTTCAGACATCCTCAATACAGCAGTCCCGGGCTGGCTTCTGACCAACATCCATCTTCTTGCGAGCTCACCACTATGTTAATATCTTCTTTTATTCGTAATGCAAAGAATGGTAAACGGAAGGGGAAGAACAACAAGTTTGTCCCACCACAACCACCCATTGTACAATCTCCAGCATCCATAGATTCTTTCGCGTCCCCCGAGTTTTTCAATATAAACGAGAGACCTGGCGATTACCAGCACAAAGACTCGTATTCGGACCACCAGAGTTCAGACTCTTATCACGTCCCAACCTCTCTCAGACCAACTCCTCCAATCGCGTCCCCGCTCCAGCTACAGTTCTCCTCCGAACCGTTATCTGACTGGTTTCCTCAGGAACTTCTCCAGATGGGAGAGAGCACACCAGAGGTGGGAAAGTTGGGTGGCGATTCAGGGACCTCTGTGGGTGCTAGTGGTCCAAGTGCTGTTGAACGACAAGTGATATCACAGCAGAGCCATGGTCGGGTTGGCCTCGGCCCTTCAGAAGAAGAAATCGTGATATCCCATCCCAGCGATATAGAGGTGCCATTCTTGTTTATATCTTGTTCTCGCGACTTACACCCGACCTAGGAAGCAGAGAATTTTGTTGACCTCAGCTCCGATGAGTACACGACACACAATGTACGTGCTCGTTCACCTCATATGTATTATGGATTGTCCAGACAGACAATGTATCAAAGGTGATGAGATCACATTCGTGCGCTCTATCCACCGGTCTGCATGGGATAAGAAAATACATTGGTTTAATATCTCACTCTTCGAGCGCATATATTGACCCGTATATCTTTGTTTTAGGGTAACATCGTCCCTTTGTGGAAAAAGCCTGCACCGGCACCTATCATGATACCCAACTCGGAGCTACTTGGCGGAAATGTACAAATACAGCGCAGTGCTTCTGCTACCGACACTCCAGTATCGTCCAAAGCTGCCCCTCACTTGGGAGTGGCATCTCGTCCACCTTCCCCTCTATCTTCGGAGGACATGTCTGCGATATCAGGTACAACGCTAGCACGTGCACTAATAGCAAACTCTTTCATTCTTTCGAGCGACCATCGTACGTCCCGCCGTAGCGCAATGATGAGGCAGGATTCTGCGACTCTTCCTCGGGGAGATCATCCGCTGATAAACTCGCCATATTGGCGCGACAAGAGGATCAGTGGTGGAGAGATCGTGATTGAATCAGGGAGAGGTTCACCCATCCCTCCTGTACCTCCTGTTCCCATTAGTGCAGGAATGTTGTTTTTGGACCAGAAGGCTCTTCGCAATCTTAGCAGGGCTTCAGATGCCACGGATAGATCGCGTCGGCACTCTTCTTCAGATCTTAAAGGAGCTTCTGGTGTTCCTAACGTTCCTCCATATCGAGATCATGAGATTCCTCCCATCATTCAGCCCACACCAACTCCACCTGACGCGTTATCAAACCAGCTCTCAGTTCCTCGCCGTATCTCTCGAATACCTGAAGTTCCGTCGCCCGCTCCAACTACTCCTGGGACTCCATATATTCTACCCGATCATCATTCTACAAAAAGTGGCAGCAGCCCACTCGCCAAAAAGAGTGAAGTTGATGTATCAGAGGAGCCATCGTCCTCGTCCCCTCAAATAAGAAAGCCGTCGCCGCGTCGGTCATACTCTGAGCCTCTTATTTCCCCGACCTCAGCTGATCATAGTTTGGATGAGTATCAATTTGTGCCTCTCGGTCATTCACAACACGCTACGTCTCCCGGGCCAGGATCAGCCTCTAGCGGCTCGTACATTGCCCCGCTAAGGCCTACCAATGGTAGTAAAAAGAAACGTAGGACCGGAGTACCAGTGGGGATGACGTTGTCTACACCAAGTGGTCAAGGTAAGTTTCTTAGCTGGGAATGTTTGCTTCTTTACGTTAACGTTGCGTAGGGCGCGTTGACTGGGCTGTTCCTCGAAGTAGTTCTGACACGCGCCTGGACACCAACGTCCAGAGTGGTAGGAAACAGGCGAGACTTTTACCCATCGGTGAACGCCCTCGCTCATCGATGTTCCCTCAAACTCCTGTCACGTCCGGCTTACTGTCGGCATCCCCTGAGCGCTTTTCGTCGGTTTCACAGTTCCCGTTGGTACCATCGTCAGCCGTATCTGCTGGTCATCTTGATATGCCATCTACCTCGAACGATAACAAATGCAACGTCATGGCACCTGTTACTACTGGCATCTTTGCACGACAGCGGTTACGTGGCGCTCCTCAGTCCATTGTCGTCGCCCATGATTTAAGCGATTTATTGGACTACAATATGGCTGTCACCCCTGGATCGAAATCCTCGTCACATTACACACATGGTAGTGGTTCCGCTGGTTATCAAACGTTCCCCGAGACCCCAAATGCGTTTAGTCCACTGTGGTCCCCTCAGTTCCCTCATCATCCGATGCCAACGAGGCAGTTATCCAATGAGACTGCGCCTATTGGCGTGCATCAAGTTGCGAGATCTGCGTCTTCGCCAGCTCCGGGTGACGCAGGAGTGAGCGGAGCCAGCCTTGCACAGCAAGTTATGCTATCACGGGCGACGACGAGATCAGATGAACGAAAAGATGCTGGCGACGTATCTCTGGACAAATCACCATATGCACAGGACTCAAGCGCTGCTGTTCCGGAGCCTCCTGTCACTTCTAAAAGTGAAAGTCAATTATCAAGCATCTCGCTATCTACTGCTGCACCGCCGAGCACTGCCACGTCTGCTACATCATTGCAAGATCGGGATGCCTCAATGGATGACACAACTTCATCACCCCGGATTGAAATAGCATCTGTAAGATCTCTTCCTGCTTTACCTCCCTCTCCAGACCCGAGCGTCAGTGTCCCGGATCAGGATGCAGAGCCTCAGCCGAGTGCGCAGTCTTTGCCTGTTCCCGCGACCCAGGCTGTCGAGAGTGTTAACTCAAGCAGCTCATCCCCTGCCCCAGTCTATGCAGGATCTCTCAACGGGTCTCCTTCATCACATGGTCGGGAGTTACGCCAGTCTTTCCTCCCACTTCCACCACTTCCTCAGAGCGCATTGCCGGCTGATGCCCCGAAGTCTGATGGTGATGCTCATAATATACTTCATCAAACGCCATCACATCGTACAGAATCACAGGACGGCGCTAGTACATCCCAGGTAATACAGGTACCCGTAGTGGTCCCTCCACCTCCTACTGTATCACCCATCCCACCACCCCTCCCGCTATCGCAAACGGTATCCTTGACTCGTTCTCCACCATCGCCACACGATTCATCACCATCATTCACTCCTTCGTTCGTTGCGCCTCCACCGTACCATTCGGTCGTCTCCAACAATGATTTTCACAGCATTCCTGTTGATATGTCCTCCAGCGTCACTTCGTTCGCTAGCCAACCATCATTGTCAACACCACAGGAGGTGACCGATGTGCCTCCCACGGTCCAAGTGCGCGGTTCGCCACAACCATCTGCCCAGACAACGTCATCAACGTCGTCGACTCAGCCATCCAATGTTAGGACTCGGATAAGGTCTCGGCCGCCATTGCCTATTGGACCTCGGAAGCCTAGTGGGCCAGGACAGGGTTTCCCACCGCCGGCTTCTTTTGTACCTGGCATCAGAGAGCGGAATGGGTCTGTCTCTTCTATAAGTAGCAATGTACACGGAGGAGCGAGTCTCAGCAGTACCACTTGGCGCAAACTGTACACCGGAGCCTCATCCTCTCCCCCAAAATTCCAAACACCGCGTCCGAGATGGCGTGGTTTCACGATGGAAGCTGCACAGTGGACGTTTACCTCTCAACAGCTGCAAGCCATTGTGTCGGGTGCGATTAGGCAGTCTGCAGAAGCCTCTTCGATACGGTTACTGCGTTTGGAGACGGTTGATACTGATATTCCCGAAGAGATGCATCGATTGGAGATGTTACGGATGGATATCAAGACGCGCTACAAATTCTTGACACGGAAACGATGGACTTTGATGGGATCGTTGGCCGGACACGTCGAAGGTGCAGAGCTTACCGATACGCCCACCGCCATCCGGACCATGGAGGAGTTGTCTGAGGTTTCCATGACTCTTGATCAACTCGCTGATGAACTTCATAGCGTCACAGATCAGCTTTCTCAATTAAAGAGTTTGCGGGACGTGCACTCAGCCAGTGCCCTATCAATGGCATTGCGAAAGTTGAACACGAGTTTCCTCAAGCAGGTGGCAGAAACTAACATGTTGAGACAGCAAATTAGTTCTTTGGAGGCCGAAAGAGATGAGGCTTGGAAGCAAGCACAGGACGTCGCGCAGGATTTTGATAATCTAAACGATGCTATGCTCGATACTGCCAACTCTGAGCAACCTGCTCCACCAATCAAGTTGTCGAACAGCCGACGTTCGAGTAGGATCATGGCGGTGCGAAAATCTAGTATCCGGATTTCTAAAGCAGGTCTTCGTTCTGCAAGTACGCAGCGCAGTCAACGATCATCTGTAGGCAGCCAGCGAGCTAGCCTCAGCATGGCTTCGTCGTCCGCTGCTAAATCTACCTTTTCTACCCAAGATATTCCACCTGTACCTCCCATACCCCGTAATACTCCGCTTGGTATTGATACTTCGGGCTTACCAAGCCGGAGCTCTATGGGTGAGTAGTAATTTCTTACATATTGACTTGGGTTACTGGTACTAACGACGGGATTTGATGCCAAGGTATCTCCCCTGGTTTCAATACTTCTTCCTCAGACGCTAGAGCTCTCGCTCAAGCCCAAAAGGAACTTTACGACATGCTCGGTATAACGATAAACGACACCAAAAACGATAGTCGATCAAGGCCTCGATCGTTGTCTGGCCCTGGTAGCCCAAAACACACATCACTCAATCAGAGACCTATGTCAGATATGAGTGCTGGTCCTATTCGCTCGCCTTCTCTTCTTGGCAATAGACGATCACGACTATTCCCCAGCGTGATCACTGACGACGTGAGTTTTGTTACAATTTCTTATTTTCTTCGTGGCATATGTCTAAAATGCAATTTTTGCAGCGTAAAGCCATGCTTGCCACATTGGATATGATCCGTGACTGATGACCCGATTTTACGACGGACCTTCACTTATTTATTTATACCATTCGTTCGCATCTCTCCCCTCATCCTGTGATACAACTCTGGTTGTATACTGGTTTTCGCAATACAAATTGCAGAACCAAGTCCTGTCATATATATATTGTCGTTATTACAGATGCTCTAGTACAAATATTCTTCGGAACTGAATAAGCCACAGCAATATGCAAAGCACAAGAAAGAAACAAAAGGAGGGAAATACTGAACATGTTAGTGGCGAGCTCGTTTACGTCTCATCACGACCTCGCTTAATGGTGTTGCCTGCGGTGAGGGTAGCACATTGGGCGATGGATCACCCGGAACATTATCTCCCTCCTCCTCGCCCTCACCATCATCGTCAGTCAAGTCGCTATCTTGGTGTGCCTCTGACCTTCGTCGTTTTCGAGAAGACTTTGCTGCAGAGCCATTGGCCAGCAGTCCGGGGTCTTGAAATGTGGCTTGAGTTGGTGTTTTCACAGGTGATTTAGAACCGTATACCACACGAGGGCGTGGCCGATTGGTAGGAGTTTGGAAATCATTGGGATCCTGTACATCGTGTGCACCTGACGGAGGAGGCGATTGTGCGGATGGTGCAGATGGGCGAGGTATAGGCCGTGCTTTGGGCTGTGGACGAGGAGGTGCTTCCGTTTCTGACTGAACGCCCAATGCTTCCCCATCACTTTCACCCTCTTCATCACTTGTCACCAAAGCGGCGCTCTTCATCCCTTTTCCTTTGCGTCCCTTGGTTCCAGCTGAGAAAGTGACGTGAGCCTAAAATCGATCAAAATACAAAGAGCTAGCTACCTTTGTCCTTAGACATGATTGAAGTGAGTCTTTTTTCATAGGCTCGCTGAGGCTCCCAGGCTTTAGAAGTAGGTGGTATCTCGATTTTGCTTTGAGCTACTACTTGATCCATATGTGCCTTTCTGTGTACGTGTAGGAATTAAGGGATGGATGATACGAAAAATAGCAGAAAGTGAGCATACATTTTCAAGGCATCCCTGCTCTCTACGCTAGTTAAGAGTGGCAACATCACTCTAAAGAAGAGGATCGCGAGATTTCGAGATTTCTTGTTCTTGTTAGTCTCGTATGTCGTCAAACGCTTGACTATCCAGGTAAGCAAATTTGTGTGAATTTGAACAACGAACTTGCTGTCAAGCCTCCGAACGACCGAAAGCTGGGCGCCGCGAATGATAAAACTCGAAGCAAGTTGCTTCGCCAGAGAAACCGAGTGTTCTTCTCCTTGAACGACTCCATCGAGTACCAAGGTGAAGGACTGAGGCAGACGTCAGAATAGATTGGAATGCGCGATTGCCATACTGACCTCTCGTAGCGCTTGGGTGATCACAGCAACAACGATATCACCATTCTCTTGGTACATGCCTTCCTCACGCAGAACATCGACGATGATTTTACAGCAAAGATCGAAGATTGGTCCTAATCGCCCATGATGCGCAAGCAGAACTGAGCTGTGCTTGACATGCACAGCACCTGCACGTATGGCGCGCAGGAATGTCGATATAGTCTCCATGAACACATATTCCTGTTGGAGGTGGGAACGAGAAGTGAATTGGTCTTAAAATCGGATATCAAAAGCCGCGTAAGTGACATGAATAAATATTGCAGGAAGTTATCATACCTTTGTCAACTGCACGCTTAGTAGTCTTGGAGCCTTTGCTTTTCGCCGTTTTCTTGACTGTAACACCTTCGTCATCAGAGCTATCACTCCTGTTGCTTTCGCTATCATCGGCGATAGCAGGACCAGCATCATCAAATTGTTCGGAATATTGCTCGATTTCAGACTGAATATATCCTGCGCAACGATACTGCACCTCATCATCGAGTTCCATCGCTAAAGACGCCGTGGGTAGCGGCTGTCCATCTGCTGTAATAGCTTGAGTGGGGCAAAACAGGATGTGCAGGTTCATGAGATTTTGGAAGGCCTAGCAAGCATCAGTCAAGAAATCAGCGGAGTGACAGAAGAAAAACTCACCGCTCTCTTTACTCCATCGGCTGTATTTGATTGAGTGCCCACCGCATACTCGACCAGTTTTTCGACAAGCGAATCGCGCTGCTCCTGTAATGTCTCTTTAAAACGAATCTCGTCTGGGGATGGGTCTGCAATATTGGTCAGGCTCCGTGTTTTCCATATAATATGGACACCAAGCAAATGGAGGGCGTGTTCGACCATCTTACAGAACCAAACATTAGTATAATGGTCCTTCTAACAAGCAGCAAACATATTACCTTTTCTTCCTCCTTGTAACCGAACCTTCCTCGCTCAACAAGCGCACTAATGATATCCCAGGCGCTGCTCTGCTTACCACCTTCGTCTTCTTCCATCCAAGTAGTCATGTCCCGAGAGCCTATCAAAACGCTCAGACGAGCACATACTGCACCAAGCGCCAATACTTCGTCTTCTGAAAAAGAAGCGACTTCTATTTCCTGTCGTCCAGCGACAGCATCTCGTAACTGCACTGAGAGTTCATCCTCCAACTCAAGAACTTTCGTGCTATTGGTATTTGACAGACTGGTAGCATCCATGAAGTGGCGTACGGCGGCAGCGGCGTTAAGAAGCACGTTCATAGATGAGTGCGACAAAAATTGCTTCATAACATCGTCCCAGAGATTTGCATAAGCCTGTGTGTGATGACATATTCATTAGAGAACTTATGATGGAAAACGGATTAATACTTACGTTGATCATTCGCATTTCTAGATACATATCGAGATTCATGAGCAGGGGGATAGATAGAACTTCCAAAATACGGCTTTCGTCAGTTTGGTATTTAATAAATAATCGCGGTAGCCCTTTAATCAAAGCACGAGTGATATCCGAGATTATGGTTTCTTCGGCACCCTGTCGTTATGGACTATGTCAGTAAAAAAAAAGAAAAAAAGATAACGTGGATAAACACTGAAACCTTTTTCGAGCCAGCTGACGGTATCTTTGCTCGTCGAAGAGTAGCCACTAATACTTCCAACAAAACAGATTCCTCGACTTCCTGCAAGCGCCAAACATCGTCTATTGAGTTCTGTTTTGTTGGGCTGAGTAGCGAAGGACTGCCATCCAAGCTCTCATCATCGTTAGCAGAGTGGTCCAGAAGCAATACGTCTAGCAATGCCTCCCAGTCGTTGACAGCTTCGACTTCGTCCCACAGAGCCTCGACAGCAAGAGCTGTGCGTCCTTTTTGATTTGCGTCAATAAAATGTGCAGCCGGATTTGCGCTACGTATCCGGGTAGATCTGCCCTCGATAGAACTAACACTCTCGTCATCTGCTCCTTCCATGACTTTATCCAGGGCCTTGCTCCATTTTACGAGTAGGATACCAAGGGCCCTGATGCCTGTACGCTCCTTGTCCTTATCGCTCGGCTTTTTCCCCACTAGCCTTTGCTGTATCAGATCCTTCCACACCCCCCTCACGAACCCACTGACCGACTTCCTGACCTTGGCTTCTTCGTCAAACACAAGTAAGCATAGCTTTTCTCGTTCTGCATCCTCCAGTAGTTCATGTCCATCGATCGCACTCAGCACTTGGATCACCGCTATGCGGACAGTCAGCTCTGTGTCGCCCGTTGCCATCTCAATCAACCGTGGTTTGAACCGCTCCGTGAAGTGATTGAGTGAACCGATGTAGTCCACTTGTTCATACACTCCAGTGAGCGACTTGACCGCTTCGAGTCGTACCTGTGTGTTGGAGTCTGACAATACCCAGCCAACATACCGCAAGTAGGACGCATCCAGGAAATGGGCTGGGTATCTCCTGAACCAAAGTCCCATGGCACGGACACATTCTGCCCGAATATTCGGATCCAAGTCGCGATACCTATGCACAAATACACTGCGAGCAAAAACGTTAGTCTTGACCCTCTCCTTCTCATATAGAGGCTAGAATGCACCCATCGACAACTTCTTTTATGAACTCGGCCAAATCTTTCCGTCTCTTTCGCACTTCTGCGGCCTTGACTTCTAGGTCCTTCTCTCTTGCTGCTCCTGCCTTGTTCGACGATGCCTTTCGCTTCCTTTCACCCTCTCTTTGTCTCCCAACAACTTCTGCTTCCTTCTCCACCGATGCCGCTACCTCGCAAAGGGCTGTCTCCACCTCCAGTGCTATTACCGTTGCTGTATGTCGGAAACTTCGAATCTGGGAGGAAGACATAGCCACTACCCATGTCTGTAGGGTCACCATTAAATCTGTGGTGTACAACGACCCAACTTCCGCCGCAGCCAACACTATCCGCTCAATCAGCTCCGAGAGTGATTTCCGAAATTTTTTGAATACGGGCAGCTTCGATGTAAGCGGGTATGTAGGAGAATCTTCCTATAATAAAGATAAGCTTTCTGGGTGATATAGATAACATAAGGCTTGAATCTCACTTGCTTCATGCCTTCGGTAAAATCATCCAGTGCATCGACTACTCCATCGTAGTCCAACACTTGATCGGCGTCGACTGAGTCGTTGCAGCCACAAGAGCGTAACACACAATTTATAAGCTCAGCTTGGGCGACTCCGGGGGACTGAGAAAGCGATTCCAAAAAATCCTCTGCAGTCGTCTGTAAAGCAGCAGATGTGTTCATGATGGCGTCTGTCAAAGGGATTTTATGAGACACGCTAAATTAAGACGCCAAGACTCACTGAATAATGGATTGTCTCCTGTGATCTTGGTATCACTGGCTACTTTGGCTGCATCAAACGCGTCATTTGTCGCTTTTGTTTTTCTTGACCTTTGCGTGGGTCTCTTTGGAGGTTTAGGTACAAGAAATTTGGCCGTTGACCTGCCTGTGCGTGGCTTCTTGGCAGGAGGTGGCCCTTTTGCCTTTGCCTTGCCCTTCTGCGGGCTACTTGATCCCTTCTTTGATTTTGGAGCCTTAAATTCCTCTTCCTCTTCTTCATCTTCCTCTTCATCGGGCTCGTCTTCTTGCTCCTCGTCCTCAAAACCCTGCTCCTGGCCGTCAGTGTCTGTCAGTTCGGTTAGTTCGCTAAGGGACCCATCATCTTGGGTCCTCTTTCGTTTCTTTGGTGATTTACTGCTTGATGCGAATGGCTTGACCCGCTTTCTCTCGCGTTGAGAACGCCTTGGAGCTTCAGAATCTGACATCGTATGGATGGAATGATGGTTTCTGACAAGAACGCGCAAATGTGAATCGCGTCGCGCCCGTTACAGCAGGAGTTTCCGCGGTTGTCACGGTCACAGGTCACAACTTTCTCATTCTCATTCATGTGACGTCCACAAGTCACGCTAACTTTACAACTTGAAGTTGGGTGGTGTCTTCAGGTTCAGGTTAGGGATTCTGCAGTTTACTGCTAAGGAGCATCATCTAGTATGACACAGTAAGTGCGGTGCTCTCAAACTTCGAGCGGGACATAATGCCTCGTTTTGTAGACCAAGATCAGTCGCTATAACGCTACGTATGTCTTAAATGCAGCCCTAGCACTATCCTCCTTTCGTCATTGTGGTCGCTATGGAATTGTCTTCAAGGTTAGTGTAAACCTTATCGTTTACTATCAAGGTTCTGCCCTGTCATTGCGTTAGCCCTCAAATGCATAGGCTGCATCAGTCGCTCATGAGCTTAGAAAGATTCAGGGTGAGGAGTTCCAAATTGCCTCCAACACGGTTCTTCTCTCCATGTCATAAGTGATCGCAAGACTTCGTCGAGAACCCCACTATAATGAAGCTCCACTGGCACGGATAATGCAGGAACGCCCATATATCGACTTAAGGTACGGTTATACCTTTTGTCGGCTGTTACAGTATGATGGGCGTAATGTGATATGGACCAACACCAGAAAGCGTTCTACTTTTTTGCACTCCAATGAAATGGTGGCAGCGCTGGCTATGTCAAATATGGCATCTTAGAACGTCACTCGAATAAACAAACTAAGGTACCAACGCCCACATGTCATCAGGTGAGTGTTCCACGCATTTCGTACAGAACGACCAACAACGGCTATACCTTTTTAACCGTTGACTATTTGCTTTGCCGAATGAGGTTATTATGGATGCCTCTGTTCCCCATAGAATGTCGGCACTAAGTTATTTCCTACGTTGCTTATCATGGTACGCAATTCCCAATACACGGTGTCGCCGTTTTCTGCTGCAGAGTGGAATGAAATGACAGCACACCCTCAGAGGCGCTTTCAGTGGCTTTTCCCCGGCGCTCTATTTAGTAGGACTCGTGGTTCGTTGATACTTTGCCCAAATCCACCGATAAAGACATAAAAGTGAGCTGCATCGCCAGTAATAGTGGCTGAAAGGTAAGATGGTGTAAAGCAGGCGCGGATAAATGGTCCCGTTCGAGGGTTGCCTAATGTCGATCATTCTCTCGGCACCGGGCAACAAGCATTACTCCGCCACACCAAAAAGTTCCTGGCTTTCCTATAATTTTCGATACGAATTAAGCGGCTCAGATAAAGTAGTTGCTCGTTGCAGTAAATATCTAGGGACCAATTCGAAAAGGGACTGGAGTGAAATTTAACTTTCCGCAGCCTGAGATCCAGCGTTGTGCCCTCCACGAAAACGTCGGGTCTTCTCAGATATTTCTAATCACCACGCGTCTAACTGACGATTCCATCGGACTCCCTTTTTCGGCTGTCATGTAAAGGTGAGCATAACCGGAGACTTTCCAAAAGTCTTTCTTGCCACGACATGACTTGTCTACATAACGGCCCTATTGTAAGATGAATAAAATGGCTCCAGTCACTTTCTCTCAACCGACATATTTTCCCCCCAAAGTCTCGGCAAAGGCCCTGCAAACCAACTCCTCTTCATGCCTAATCATAAATTCAGAGTAGCTATCTGGTGAGTACTTCCATTTTCATTGAATGTTCATCTCTCACAAGGTATTCTTGAACAGCGGTGGTGGTATCGGAGGCCTCACGTTGGCTGTAGCTCTAGCAAAGCACCATGATATCGATGTAGTTATATACGAAGCTGCCAAGCGTCTCACCGAGATCGGTGCCGGTGTTGGCTTGTGGCCCAGAGCGTGGAAAATACTAAAGGCTCTGGGACTCGACGGCGACCTCGCAGCTGCTTCACTCGATCCCCCTACTGAAGACCTAGGTGATTGATTTTTCCACCTCGTAAAATCAATATTTTTTCGTGGCACTTACTGAAGTCCCCCCCCCAAACAGTTACGGCTTTCCAATATCGAAAGAGCGATCGGCCCAATGGACTGCATTTTTATGACCTCCATACGCAAGGTAAGCACAACCCCATCGATATGTTTCTTTGGCTCACGACGTTCGAACAGGCAACCTCCTCAAATTTCATCGAGCAGACTTCCAAGGGGTCCTGTTGAAGCATCTTCCACCGTCCTCACACACGCACTGTTCCAAACGCCTAGAATCATATAGTCAGTCAATAGCGGGGCCAGTTGAACTGAAATTCCAGGATGGCTCTACAGCGACATGCGACCTCCTCATCGGCGCGGATGGTGTCAAGTCTGCAGTACGAGGTTCGCTGCTAAGGGAACTAGCTAATCAGGCTGTTATGGAGGGAAAGCCTGACGTAGCACAGGAAGCTTTGGCTGGAATTGATCCTGTATGGAGTGGGATGGTTGCCTACAGGGCTCTCATACCTGCGGAGAGATTGAGAGCGCTATCCCCCTCTCATCGTGCTCTTACCGAACCAACGCAGGTGGGTGTTCCGGGCCTTTCACTCTTCGCTTCAAGCTCACTCACCGCCAATTGAAAAGTATCTCGGTAAAAACGCGGTGCGTATAGCCCTTTCATTCCGATCACCTTGATTCAGTAAACTGATCATTCAAACCCGTTAGTATATTATCGTTTACCCAATCTCACAGGGCAACATTATCAACCTTGCGGCGTTCAACGTAAGTGGTACGGAAGGTGCTCGATTTGACGGCCCTTGGGTGAAGGAGGCTACGAAAGAAGCTTTCCAAACTGCTTTTGCAAACTGGGAGGATGATGTACAGATATTACTTCAGGTGAGAGTGCTACCGCGGCAATAGTTTCGGCACAACTGATATACATGCATTATCATAGGCTGTCGATAAAGTCAGCCATTGGGCTGTTCACACTGTCAGACACTTACCTGCTCTAAACTTCGGGAGAGTTGCTATTTTGGGCGATGCAGTACGGGGACCTTATCTGCTTCACCGCGCATGACACTCACACTCGCCTTTCTTGCGTCGTAGTCACATAGTATGGAGCCTCATCAGGGCTCGGGGGCCGGCCAAGCCATTGAGGTTCGTATTACCTATTGAAGCCGCCGTGCTAAACTAAAAGGGATGTAATATCAGGACGCAGCCATTCTGGCGGCGCTTCTCAGCCATCCTCAGACCACCAGGGACTCGATACCTTTGGCTCTCGACGTCTACGACCAGATTCGTAGACCATATTCCATCAAGATATCCCAGTCTTCTCGACTTAATGGTCGATACTTCACGTTCCAATATGATGGTGGAGAGGATTTAGAACACTGCACGGATGAGGAGCTTAAGGCACGACTGGTAGACTTGGGCCTCGCTTTTACGGATAACTGGAAATGGGCGTGGTCGACTACCGTGGATGGGATGCTAGCTGAAGCTGTACAGACACTGAATGACCGGTACGATAACGTATGAAGTTTACGCCCGCAAGGTATGGATGGAGGTCCAAAATAGATAACCTAATTATCGCCGTTACCGTGTATGACATCTATATGTACCCATAGAGTAACGGTGACCTGTATATTATTGGGCCTTTTTGCACGATCATCACTGAGCGCGGCCTTAGATATTTGCTGACGTTCTCAATTGTGACGAAAGATAAGAGGATGGTATGATACCTTTTTTTCATGCTTCCTTGTAAGGATTCTAAGCCGAACATCGCAGTGATGAGTCGAAAATGTTATCGCTATGACAAAACTCACGAAGAGTGGCGACACGAGTAGATTGTTATTCCACCGCTCAATCGTCCTCCACGAAACGTATGTAACGGTAATAAATTTCCAAGTTTGGATGCAAACTGGAGAGAAGCCTGTGTATTAGACAATTCACCGATCTCGTCGCAACGCCACCCGCTTCTTTGCAGCAAGGTGTGATCACTGTAAGAAGTGATCAGATGAAAGGGTGGACAAAAAACTCAATACTTGCTAGAGCAACCAGCAGCGATCTGCTCAAGAAATGGGATCCAAACACGATCACATTCAAAAAAAAATGCCGGGTATCGGTGTGAGAATCAATTCATGTAGCTTCAGAACTGCCAATGCGGTGGGATTCACTGAGATCCAGTGACTTGACATACCTTTCAGATGAGCTAACCAGAAAACCCTGTTCTTCCCGGGTTGATAGTGACGTGTACGTTCCGTGTTTTTTAATTCAAGTTAGCTTGATTAAGACCCTGTATAACAAATCACTAACGACTCGGAGCAGGCCTGTCAATCTTGATTAAGTGCGACAATCGACCCATCAAGTCCTTGATTAGATTCGGCGTAGGAGGATAAGTCACTCCAGCGCTATACCGCTGATGGCAGGCAGCCAACGAATAACAACAATATTATATCTCCTGTGGCCGTCACACCCGACCGATGCGGCGACTTGGAACCCCTTTACAGGTAAGTTGGATCGATAAATTGTGCCCTAGTGATTTCAGATCCTAAATTTTAGACGAGGAGCATTTCCACTACCACCATAAGTACGCCAGATCCTGGGAGTAGATTCTCATGATCTGCTGCTAGGATAGGAGACAGCCGACGAGTTGATTGTGGATCGCAGAAACATGTTGTTAATTACGCAATGCGAGATACCAGGCTACTCACAACGCCAATCAATATCAATGATGATACTGCTTTCTTCTGGAGAAATCAATTTAGTCAGACTCTGTGTTAGATATCAAGATATCGCAGATAAGCTTAAGCACGTACTAGACATTGCTTGTTTATGCACGGTATGACAAGGTATGACACATAGACGTGGTTCTTGTATCCAAGCGACGAGTAAAATTGATTCTTTTTTAAAAAGGAACGACGATGCCTGAACTTGCCAGTGATCCATATTGTTTGTACGTCCGCCACAGTTTCACTTGCAGAGCGCCGCTTGGTGAAAGAATGAGTTTGATAGTGATGCAGTGTAGGGGCAATTGAGCTCGAGGTTTGATCCGAAGTTAGGTTCAATTTTACACAGATGAAAGCTCTTTATTTTATAATATCCAAAGCCTTGTGATGGTTCAAATGCAAGAGGAGAACGAACGTGCATGGTCGGTGCCACATCTCCGAACAAGGTCGCTGCAACCCCGATAAGGAAACCACGATTGATTCGAGTCACCGAAAACTCAAAAATGAAAAGTTCCTTTGGTTTCTGCATTTTCTATCAGGTTCTTATGCAACTTTTCTAATTTCTCTTCACCGTCGTTATCTCGATGAAGTACTTTTCTACACGCGGAGGGAAAGAGGAGCTCTCTTTCGAAGAGGTTAATCTCATTGACATCGGGACGAGGCTCTTCTGAACATGAACATACCCCACAGACCGTCCTGACAGGTCTCGCTCCAAATGGCGGGCTGTACATCCCAGAACACATACCATCTCTCCCAGAAAACTGGCAGGAAAAATGGAAGTCGCACTCGTTCATGGACCTCTCAGTGGAAATCCTTTCGCTTTACATATCGGAAGAAGAGATCACTCGAACTGATCTGCGCAAGATCGTCGAGAAGTCGTATAAAACCTTCAGGCACCCAGAAACGACCCCTCTCCAAAAGCTCAATGACAAAAAATACGTGCTGGAACTGTTTCATGGCCCGACCTTTGCATTCAAAGACGTAGCATTACAGTTGTTGGGCAACCTGTTTGAATTTTTCCTTCTGCGCAGGAATGCACGAAAGTCAGCAGACGAAAAGCCGGAAAAACTTACAGTGGTGGGAGCAACGAGTGGTGACACTGGAAGGTGCGTATCTTAGCTGGAACCTCTGAAGCTGTCTCTCACATCGGTCCACGCAGTGCTGCCATCTATGGTTTAAGGAACAAGGCCAATATTTCCATCTTCATCCTTCATCCAAAGGGTCGCGTATCTCCAATTCAAGAAGCTCAGATGACTACAGTCACCGATGCCAACGTCCACAATCTTGCTGTCAAGGGTACTTTCGATGATTGCCAAGTAAGGTCATTTTTTACATGTCACCAAGTTTCCTAATTCGATTCGAATACTTGTCGTTTAGGACATCGTCAAAGCCCTATTCGCCGATAGGGAATTCAACGCTACCCATCGTCTCGGTGCTGTCAACTCCATCAACTGGGCGCGTATCCTCGCACAAACTGTCTACTACTTCTTGTCTTTCTTCCACGTACGATCTCAACTTGGCGACTCGCAAGCAGAACTTCAGTATGTCGTGCCTACTGGAAACTTCGGGGATATCCTGGCAGGGTATTACGCTAAACAAATGGGTCTCCCCATGGGCAAGCTTGTGGTCGCAACAAACGCTAACGATATCCTTGCTCGGTTTTGGAAGAGTGGCAAATACGAAAAGGTGGATACAGCCGCTTCTACGCAAGAGGAAACCGCCACAGACCCTGTCAATGGCGCCTCTGACGGGAAACAAATGACTGCGTCTGGTGGCAGTGGCGTCAAGGAAACCCTTAGTCCCGCTATGGACATTTTGGTATCTAGCAATTTTGAGCGGCTTCTGTGGTATTTAGCGTACGAGGCCGCTGCTAGTAGCACCGATGCCCATGCAAGGAGACTGGAAGCAGGAGATATTGTCAATGGTTGGATGGGTAAGGTAAAGCAGGATGGTCGAGTAGAAGTCCCCACGGCAGCCCTCGTTGCTGCACGGAAAGATTTCTTCGCTGAAAGGGTGTCAGACGATCAAGTATTTATGAGTTTTCTTGCTTTGCGTAAGCAGATGTCTAAAGATCTCTACAATAGATTCTTGAGACTATTCGGGCCCATTTCACTTCCGAGCCATCGTATGTGGCAGACCCCCACACCGCAGTCGGGCTTTACGCTGCTGGTGTTATAGCTCCTCAAAAGTAACAGTCGTCCGCTTCCTAGATTTTCTCGTGATTCTGATGTGTTTTATGTTTTCCAGCTCAGCATCCACTTCGCAGATAATTCTGTCTACGGCTCACCCAGCCAAGTTTTCAGAGGCCGTCACACGTGCCCTTGGGAATTCGCCCCAATTCGACTTTGCCCGTGATGTGCTGCCTGAGGAATTCCACGGCTTGCTAGAGCGGGAGAAAAGAGTCATCGACGTAGAAAGACCCGACGCCGAGCTCATTAAAGCTGTTATAGCCAACAAGGCAGACAAAAAAGATGCAGGCAGTCAAGGGTTACCTAGGACAAGCATTTAACGCGCGAGGGGTAGGATCTGTAATAAAAGTTGAAGATGTAACAGGTGCATAGTATGCGGAGCTTTTGTTGTAAGTTTAGATCGCTACCTTACATCTTAATTGTCTCCATTTTAATAAGGGGAGTAAATTTGGAAGTACAATTAAAAACCAGTATGCTATTCGCTCTGAGATGAACCGACGGCCTCTTCCAACAGCTGAATTGCCTTCTGCCTCAGGTCATCGACAGTGCTGGTCGTATGCCAATCCACGTTCCGGGTTATCGCATCGCCGAGTTCTGTTAATTTTCTTCGAACAACTTCTTGGCTACAGTTGTCAAATTCCATGCCTTGAAAGCTGACGAATTTTCCGTTACGAAGGGACCGTTGGGCAACTTCAGTAGCAAAAGGTCGGCGAATCTGATCGTATATCTCAAGGGCACGGGTAGCAGTGTGCAAATTCGTTAACGGATGTCCCAGAACTGCAGCAAGAACGTAACCATCCTGCATGGGTTGTCTTGAGCGAAACTTAGGAAACATGAGTCTAGATAGCAAACCAACCTCGATAGCCTGGCCTGCACCCGCTCCTTGGAAGGGAGTCATCGCGTGAGCAGCATCTCCGAGTATGGCAACCCGTCTATAGTTCACAGCATGGAGCGGCTTGACAATGTTTACTGCCCACAAGTTTGCTTTGTCAATACACTGTGCATGTTAAGATGACTATGACGCCCACAAGACTAAAGAAAATCATTGCTTGCCTGTAGTATAGACTGCGCCTCGGGCTCGAAGTTCACAAATGGAGCAGATACCTCGTCCCTCGATATTTCTTTCACCCAAGGACCATCATACTTCGTGTTTTCAAGATCAAAGTTCAACGAAAATCCAACAAAGTTGATTTGCTTTCCCTGTGAAACAGGATAGACTACGAGGAACTGCAGCGACATACCATCAGTTCATGAAACACTGCGCTAAAATCAGGTAATAATGAAAACCTTACCGCGTTTTTCCCCAAATACTACAAGCAGCGACATCAGAACAACAAACCTTTATGCAAAGCTGAGACTAACCTGTGTAGACTTTGTGAGTACGCGGTGGTCAGGTGCATGTGCCCTTAGCCGCTCGGCGGATATGAGAGTTCTGTATGCAAGAACCCCACTCCATACTGGGTCGACGCAGGACAATATATCGCGATGCAATTCAAAGTTACCGCGGTTCAACGCATCTATGGCCTGCTCCCGGAGCATACAACCTCGTACAACTGACTTCACACCATCTGCACCCACCAAGATGTCGCATGTCGCTACAGAGTCATCCTGGAATAAAAGTTCGATGGGACCTAAAGGGTGTTGGCTATACGATCGGAGCCGCTTGAAGCAATGCGTATTACAGGTAGATGCGGCTTCAATGTGCTTCAACAACACGCCGTGAAGATCTGCTCGGTGAAATCGGAGTAACTCGCCTAATTATTGTCAGAGCTGTGATGTAGGATTCGTGATAAAAGAGACATACCCTTCGTAATAAGGCTATAAAATTCAAATCCCTCGGGCTGATCACTCTTGCGACAAGTGAATGAAGTGACTGTATAAGAAGTAGTTAGTAAGTCGTGACAGGTTGCTTCGAGAGGAATAGCAGGGTTAATTCACCATGGTCATCTGTTACCTCTTGTTGAGCAACTTCAAGAAGTTCTTTCTCGAGTCCCAATTCTTTCAAGACTTCCCAAACTCGAGGATGAACGCCAACACCAGCACCTACTTCGGAAAATTGTGATGCTGCTTCATAGACATCCACTTCGATCGTTGGATATTTGGAAAGGGCTAAAGCAAAGGTAAGACCACCAATCCCGCCTCCACTGAAATGGGTTGTATTGAATGACAGTTCGCAAAAGCATCAGACTATACGTACCATATCGCGACTCTGAATTTTGTGGATTCCATTGAGAGAAAGATACGATAACTCCGCGATAAGTATCAAGGCGTAGAGCTAGTCTCCTGAATGGTCGAAGTAGATAAACAAAGCTCGAAAGGAAAGCAGTTTCTGTATATTGAAAATGACATTGATGTCGGTTTAAAAACAATCATGGGATAGGCTTCAAGGCATTTTGAGATTGTAATCTTGATGTGTCCTGTGGGGAGCGTCGCAAGAAGCCCGATTTTGTCGCGTTACTTCATCGAAGTAAGCGGCTCGAGAGTGGATGCTTACTACAAGAATCTGACTGAAAAAACTCATGCCAGAAAAGTTCCAGCTTGGGTTGACCGGTAAAAGGAAAGGCGAGGCACGCGGCAGAGAAGTAACTTACAGCCAAGTGTATATCTGTCCAGAATTCGCCGGAGAAATTTCTGGTCATCACTAGTACGGGGCGCTGAGCATTCGTAACGACCACCCTGACTCGGATAACAATGATATCAGTTTGGCATGTGCCCAAAGGAAGTATAAAAAACAACATTTGAGCAGGAAACTACTACAAACGTGATCTGGGGATTACTGTAATCACCAAGCTTCGCATAATGTTCCACGTCAGGAATTGGAGGAATCAGAAGATCGAAGTAGGACATACATGAGATACTAATTTTGAGGCTGATATAACTACCAGAAAACTAGATGCATAGCACTGCAGAATGAACCACGTTAAAAACGGAAACTCAACCCTCAAGTTATCCGCAGCTGGATGGCTGTCGTTGTTTTGTTTGATTGTTCGAAAGCGTTTGTGCGAGAAATATAATCTTGGCAGAGCCGTATCAATCAGAACTTGGTTAGTATCCTCTCGTGAAGGCGATCCTAGAGGGGAGATATTTTCTTGACTCCTTGAACCAAGGGAATATTCTGCAGCGTGCTTATTGATACGAGACTTCTGAATCATGAGATAATCGTGATATGCAGTGCCAGTTTTACCGACGGGCACGCCTTCGGTCTCGGGCAAGTAAAGACGTTATTGTCAGCAGAGGTCAAGGCTCCTTATGACAGGAATTTGCAGTCACCGAAGAGACTTTGCATTGCTTGTATATGTGAAACCGCAAAGCGGATACGAGTAATATCAAGAAAGCATGGCATTGACATCATGAAACAGAACGCAGCTGAGATTTAAGGTATTAGCTCACTCCTTTGATCTTCGGAACCTGCTATTAAGCTGTACAAAGGATGTATGAGAGATCAATATTTAACACACTGATATAGATTTGCACGTACTGTGAGCAGAATATGTTCTTGATCGAAAGAAGGAAAAGAATAAGCCCCGAACTGCTACTCCAGCAATACTCGCCGCATAAAATTCAGGGAGCTTGAGAAACTCGAAAAGATACCAATGCAGCAATGTAATTCGTTCATCACATACAGTTGGGAACGCCAAACGCCATGCGTTATCATGGTAAATCAGATAACGAACGGTTGAGAAAGTGCTTCAAGCCTTCTAATAGCAACAAACGGGAAGGACCTGAACATCGACTAATCCAATGTGACATTCAATGGGCAGACAGATCAGTCACTTCTCTGGAGTGAGCCAATTTCTGTACGGCGCCGAATGACATATAAACACTGAAGTCGTGGATGATATTTCCGCTACATATTACTGGTCCCACCCATTGATCTTTGTATCACTTACAGCGCTTTCTCTCGCGCGCATGAGCTTGTCTTCGAAAACTGCCGTCGTCGTCACCTTGAGAAGAATGGTTTGTGTCCTGTCGTAAAATGATAGGCTCCTTCTCGTATAACAGTGACTGCGACTTGACTACGACGTTTTGTGGCTTGGAGGAAGACAAGGAAGAAGGACGTGGTGGTGGCATATTAGGGAAGAAAAGGCGCGGAATGGGTCTCGGCGTACTTAAAGTTGCAACATGAGAGTCCTGAGAAACAGGAGGAACTGGAAAGTCGACTATTGTCTGTGGTACATTATTGATTACTGTTGTATGTGAAGGAGTTTCGAGGGGTGTCGATCTGTCAGGGAGAGGAGAAATGGGCGAGGGATCCTTTGATGGCAGCGGAAGGCGGGGTGCAGATGGTAGAGTATATGTCTTTTCCCATTTCCGTTCTAGGAGCTTGGCTTTCTCGCTGATGGTTTCCAGCGCAGCACGAATATATTGTACAAGCTCGGCCATGGGCATGCGATAAACAAACAGCGTTGGCACAACGAGATATGACCAATCTGCTAAAATCCAGTCATTTCCAGACGGCCCTTTTCCCGGTTTTGAATCAGTAGAAATTAGGGTTAGCCTTCGAGCACTAGATTTCGTTTTATTCTTTCCATGTGCGCTTGTGTCCTCTACCGCATCCGCTCCATGAGCGAGGATGAGACCGATAGCAGACTTGAACCGTGTGATGATACGATGGCGAACGACAGCTCGTTTATCGATATTCTTCTTGGAAACGACTGAGAAGAGGTTCATGTCAATCTTTTTCCTGCCATGAGTATCTTGTGCTTCGTCCAACTGCAACGCTCCTTTGCCTTCTCCTAAATGGGTATAAATATTGAGGCGCGTCGCTGGGTCCTTGTGGTCTATGTCTGAAAGGAGTAGTGCAGCTTTTGGCGCAGCCCTGAGAGTAAATGCTGGGCATGTAAAGCATGGAAGGTCGCGTGACTGGAGAAGCGTTGCAGGATGCGAGGGGTCGACTGCACGCTTTCGATTGTAAGGTACGGAGCGTATGAGCAAAGGAAGTGGAGATCCTGGCGTCGTACGACGAAGCTATAGAAGATATATGGAATGAGAGGCAATTAAGATATGAAGACAACTATGAACGAGGAACATTACATTGATGGATGTGACATGTTTTGCCTTTGGAAGTCTTGAAAGGTTAAGACATTTGTGCATCTATTAGATGCAGGACCTAAGTGGTGGTTAGTGACTTGATGAAGACTGGAAACGAAATAACTCTGTGTTCAACCTTACTGAAGTTATAAAGTGTTTGCCAGTAACTTGAAAGCTTTCAAGTGCGCAGCGGTACCTATAGCGCATGTAGCGTGGGCTTTCCCACCTGAAAGGCAACGGCAATGAAACTCCGACTGCAGTTTCCTTCTCTTCCCAACGGATACCTGGCCTTTCAGTTGCTCAAGGTCGCCAGTGATTTTGGGACAACAGCAGCTGAAAAGCCCACAGAACTTTACAATGGACAGCTCAGCATCAACGTTGGAGCCTTTGTTGGCGTTCTTCGCTTACTCAATGTCGAAACTGGAGTCAACTTTTTACAAAGTGCCAGGATCTGCGGTTCTGGCACGCTATGTTAGATCTTCGCACCAGAACGACCCCGGACGAACATTACTTGAGCTTATCCTTATTGTTTTTGCTATTAGAACACTTTTACAGTCACGCACTCGGACGGATAGATCAGGGAAGAATTTCATTAAGTTCAATGAAAAGGTGCGTCCTCAAGCAACCTTCTTGACACATCTTACCCAACCTGTTTATAGGAAATAGACGAACTTGTAGACGAATGGACTCCAGAGCCTCTCGCACAGCCCCTCTCAGAATGGGAACAGAAGGATCTTGCTTCAGTTCCCGTCATCTCTGGCGCCAATGGCCCTAAGGCCAAAATCTTGTCCACTGGCAAGACGGTCACCAACCTCGCCAGCTTCAACTTCACCGGTCTTGCAGGCAACGAGCAGATCAAGCAGCATGCTATAGATACTCTACGCAAGTACGGCCTGGGCAGTTGTGGACCCCCTGGATTCTATGGAACTTTAGGTAACTTTTCCTCGTCTCGCGAAGAAAATATATATATATCTGACTCCCGACTTACAGACGTGCATCTCGATTTGGAGCGGGACATTGCAGAATTCCTTGGAACAGAGGCATCGATTCTCTGCTCCCAAGGGTTCTCCACAATTTCATCGGTTATCCCTGCTTTCTGCAAGCGTGAAGATTTTATAGTCGCGGATCGTGCTGTGAACTTTTCCATACAGAAAGGCATTCAAATCTCACGTTCAACGGTTCGATGGTACGATCACAATGACCTGAAGAGTTTGGAAGACGCCTTGCAAAGTGTGGAGAAAGAAAGGAAGAAGAGAAAGATGCCGCTTACCAGAAGATTCATCATTACGGAAGGTATATTTGAGAGGGATGGAGAGATGGTAGATCTGCCTAAAATAGTAAGAGGAGAATTCTTTCATGCTTGTCGGTGTGATTTAGCTTAACATTGTCACAGATCGAACTGAAACTCAAATACAAATATCGATTAATTTTGGACGAAAGTATCTCCTTTGGTACGGTAGGTAGAACTGGTAGAGGACTGACAGAATTATATAATGTACCTGTGAGACTTTCCCTATTTCCAGTCTTTCTTCGGAGGCAATGCTAACCGTGATTCAGGCCTCTCAAATCGACATGCTAATCGGATCGGTGGCTAACGGACTTTGCTCAGGGGGCGGGTTCTGTGCGGGTTCTATGAACGTGGTCGACCATCAGGTAAGCAAGTATGATTCGGTTTGGCAGAAAGGCTGCTAAATGTTTTTTGTAGCGTATCAACGCTCCTTCGTTTGTATATTCAGCATCTATGCCTGCGCTCCTTGCGACGACTGCCTCTGCAGCCATTACACACTTGCGCAACACCCCCTCGGTGCTAACAATGTTGCAAGAGAATATCCGTACGCTACGAAGTGTATTGGACAAAGCAAATGGGATTACTGTACTTGGACACCCAGCTAGCCCAATCGTCCACTTCCAGCTGCGTTCGTCTCAAGGTGGGAGCTATGAAGGGGAGTCACGTGTTCTGCAAGAGATAGTTGAAGATGCGCTCGCTCAAGGGGTGCTACTTACTCGGGCTAAACACCTGAAAGGCCAGGAACTGATAGAGATGCCACCAACGATCAGGATTGCGGTTACCTCGGCCATGACTAAGAAGGAGGTTGAGAAGGCCGCGGGAGTTGTGAAGACATCTATTGCGCGGGTCTTGGGTAAGAGGAGATAAAAAGTTTATGGAGTAGCATATGGATCGGAACGCATCACTGGGTACATTTATATAAATTTATGATAATAGTATGAAATCTTGAGCTCGCAATTGGCTTCTTTCCGAACGAGATATGAGCCCAAATTTGGGTGGCGGACCGACAGTACACGCGCCAGTTAGGTGCTTCTTGAACTCCGAGTCTTCATCACAGTTATCGACATCCATTATCCATTGGCTGTTGGATACATTTGATCTTCCTAAGCCGGTCACCTATCAACATACGTACTGAGTATAGTAACCGGTCTTTCAAACAATATGGGATTCATATACGCCATTGGTAAGTTTACTGCTATCTTGACACTCGGTTGTTTGGTATTCCTAGACCCCGGTGATCATGCAATCCTGATCTGACGATTATACGGCGTTACAGAGCATATGGAGGAAGATGAGGCGACTCCCAAGTCCATCCCTCCATGGGTTGAGCTAGAGTATGCGGTCAGTCTTGCAGTGACCGGTACCGATTGACCTCTTTGATTACAGTATTAATAAAAATATATACAGCACATGCGCACCTTGGCGGGCCCTTCAGCACACATCCATTTCACGCACTTATCGCAGACATCTTGCGATTCTCTTTCAAAAGCGTTTTCATCGTCTCCATCAACGGCCACAGGCTCTTCGGAGCATCCACCAGCAGCATCTTTTCAAACTCATCCTGATTCCATCCTCACGCTTCTCGAAAAAAATCATGTTCCATTGTCCAAAGTGTGTCTTCTTGATCCAAAGGCTGAAAAGGTGCTATCACCGGAGGATGAAAATGAATTCGCCTGGTTTCTTTTCGGTGTAAGTAGTCCTCTTGACACATGTATCAGGCAGATCACTCACGTCCTTGCTATCGCTCCTGATCCTGGTAATATACTTGCCAATAGGGTATCCTAGGTTGGCTTGGTTCTTTCCATTGTTCCAAACACATTGACTTTGAAACCCAATACAGGTGACGATCCCCCCCGTGACCGGACATCCGAGCTCCGTGTTCTTGGGTTTCCAACTCGGCACCTTGGTCCTGTCCAGATGACGACGGATACAGCATTAGGTGTCACAAAAATTGTAGTGCAAGATAAAGGTGCCTGACCAGATGGTGATTTGTGTGGACCATACGCTCACATTCTTATCGATGCAGTTCCCCTAGATAAAATACCTTATATTGTGAGTACCGATGGGTTACTACCTTGTGGGTGTCTACCGGCGTCAGAATCTTAATGGTGCATTATTAGGACTATCCCACCATCAGATTTAATTCCAAAGAAAGCGTTGAGATGCCTTTTAGTGCGTTCTGAGTCCATCACGTACTGTACAAATATGTCTCTCTGATGTACTATCTAATTGCAGGGTATATTGCAAAAGCCTCAGAGCCACTATTGCCTCCTGGGATGCGCGAGTTACTGCACGAGGACCTGAATAAAAGTTTCGATTTTTGATATCGCCAACACCAAGGACCGGTAGACATTTCATCGGTGGTGGAAATGGCAGACCGAGAAGGGCCTGTATAACAGAACGGGAATAATGGTTTATCCTCGTTTCATACTGCGACGCTTTGTTGAATATGTCCAGTTTCTCCTAATCCTTCAGTCCTGCCCTTCAGGAAATATTAAACCGTAATAGGCGAATGCAGGAAAAACAAATGTCATCCCCGTGATAAAACACCAGTCTCCGCACTTCGTCAATGCCTCATTAACTGACAAAGCATCGCAAGACTAGTGCTCAAACAGGAAGCCTTGGACAAAAATTCGTACTATTATAGTAAGGAGCTTCTTTGCCAGGGCCAGTGGCCAGTACGACCCCGTGGTGATTAAATCTATGTCAGGTCTGTCAGATCCTATCAGAGAAATAAAATCTTATTAGGGGCAGATGGTGACGTTTTTGGCAGCGTTGTGGACACAGGCGAACATCCCTGACAAAAAAAGGTAGGATGGTTAAATAAGTCCGACGGTAAGTGATGCGGCGCACCTAGTCCATGTAACCTCCATCTTAAAGCGACAAGTGCGTGTTGTAAGTTGCGATAGAATAGATCTCGAAGCTTCTCAAGTATGATACACCTCAAGTAAATACATGGCGTCAGACGAACTACCCCGCGCCTTTATGGCTCTGCATTAGCTTGTTTTATTTTTTCTGGGACTGTTTTAGGGATAGAAAATGAAAGATACTCTGAGCATTACCACGGTTCGGTGATATTAAAAATGAGATACTGTCGTCTTTCGTGGGCTCTGAATGGATATTATATCACTTACAAGTAGGTTTTTGCGTATCCTCGAATTTGAACTTGAGGGTCTTGTTTATTTTCGAACATGCATAGCAGAAGGCTTTCGTATCGGTGATTATCGCCATGAGAACGACTATCCACATTATCCCTACTGCCCGTTTTTATCAGATGTAGCATTGGGCTGCTAACAATCAATCATGATAGTACTTACCAATCGGCAGAACGGCTCTGACTTCCCAAAATGGAAACGACGACAGATATTCAACTCCGCGAATATGCAGATTCAGCGATATGACATGTTTGTTTGTCTCTGGATTATATTTTATAGCAGACTATGAAGAGCGCTTCAGTGATGAAGTTGAAGTATCCGCGTTATTTTCCACCATACTTAGGGGGAGGGGTGTATATATACCGCACGCTCTACATACCTGCCCCCATGGACCCAGCTAAAGTGATCTATCTAGTCCCTTTATAAGCCGTTCTCTCACAAGCCAGGATGCTGTCCTCCGACTAGACAACAATTTCGAGCGTACGTGATTCTAGATGAAGTAAGTCACACTGTGGGCAAGGAAGACAAGGGAGCTACGAGACCTGATAAAAGAGGTAACTAAGTCGTTTGGAAGGGAGAAGGAGGCTGAAAATTTGCATTCATGCTGCACTCAGTTTTCCTTTTGGCTCAGGACTGAGAGGCTTGTCGTGGTATAGTAGAAGCTCCATGAAAAGCTCTCTCAGGCATGAATTTCGAGAGATATAGTAGGGTTAAGTCTCCATGTTCATTAGTTAGCTGTTGTTGAGCAGCCTTCGAACCCCAACCCCTTCAAGACCTCCTCGAGGATGAACACCTACACTAGTACCCACTTCGGAAAATCGCGATGCTGCTTCATAAGACATCCACTTCGATCGTTAGATACTTGGAAAGGGCTAAAGCAAAACCCACCAAGCCCACCTCTACTGAGATGGGTTGCATTGAATGACAGTTCGCAGAAGCATCACCAAACTATACGTACCATACTGCGACTCTGAGTTTTATGGATTCCATTGAGAGAAAGAGATGATTATTCCGCGATAATATCAAGGCGTACTACCTGGCGTAGAGCTAGACTTCTGAACGGTCACCGAGGTAAATAAACAAAGCTTGGAAGGAAAGCAGTTTCTGTCTGTTGGAAATGACATTGGTGTCGGTTTAAGAACGATCATGAGATAGACCAAGATTTTTTGAGGCTGTAATCTTGATGAGTCCTGTGGAGAGCACAGCAAGAAGCCCGATTTTGTAACACTACCATAGTCAGGCGGCGAGTCTCCATTTTTGTGGCCAGCTTAGTCATCCGACAACTGCTTAGTCAACCAAAGGTGTGCTTGTGGTTCAAATTAGGCAACCTGTCGGCTGCTGTCCAACTTCACTGGGGATGGGCCACTGCGACTGTAGTACTCTCTAGCATCCTGAGGACTTGAGGATTCCTCTTGAACTACTACCACCATCTCATTTTCCTTTTTCTAACACGCATACAAGCCGTCCTCCAGCCTAGGGCTGTTTGTACCTTGTTCACATATCGTCACTTGAGCTACAAATCCTGTTATGGCTTCAGATAGGCAGTCATCGTCCAAGCGGACTACAGAGGACGAAGAGACGAAGCCATACATCATCGTAAGTGACATTGGCAAGGGCAGCTTCGCAACGGTATACAAAGGCTACCATGAGGTATGTCACAACACACACACCTTTAGGTAGGTAGGTAGACGCTTATAGTCGCGTTCTCAGGAAACTCACCACCAAGTGGCGATCAAATCCGTCCGGAGAGATATTCTTACTGCAAAGCTGCTTGATAACCTACAGAGTGAAATCGATATCCTCAAATCTCTTTCTCACCGCCACATCACTAAGCTCATCGACATCGTTGTACGCATATATCACCCCCCCTTTCTGCCACTGCCGTACTCAAGTCTCGTTCTTTAATATTTTCCTAGCGCGCAGAACGTAACATATATCTCATCATGGAATACTGTTCAGGAGGCGATCTCACAAATTACATCAAGAAGCGTGGACGTGTCGAAGGGCTAGAATATGCCCCTGCGCAGAACGCTGCATTGCAGTACTATCCTCACCCCCGGTCGGGTGGTCTAGATGAAATAGTAGTTCGTAGTTTCCTTAGACAGCTTGGTGAGCACCGATTTCGATCGTGTTTCCGATTGTTTTGACTTGCAAGGCTAGCCCGTGCACTAAAGTTTCTGAGAAATCGTAACCTCATTCACAGGGACATTAAACCACAGGTTGGTAACATCGTTTGGAGCGCAGTATATCACATGATACACGATCTCATATATGTACTATAGAATCTCCTCTTGAATCCAGCCTCTCCAGAAGAACTTGCCAGGGGCCATCCACTTGGAGTTCCAATCCTGAAGATAGCAGATTTTGGATTTGCCAGGTCGTTGCCAAATGCAATGATGGCAGAGACTCTATGTGGTTCACCGTATGTTTATTTCATTGATCATGGTAGTATATTGGTAGTCTAGTCTGCTATAAAATACCTATACATGATTTTCGATACTGATTGATTTCCACTTTGATCGTAGGTTATACATGGCTCCAGAGATTTTGCGATATGAAAAATACGATGCCAAGGCCGATCTATGGAGTGTTGGGGCAGTACTTTACGAGATGGCAGTTGGAAAGCCACCATATCGTGCAATGAATCATGTCGAGTTGTTGAAGAAGATCGAGCACTCGAAAGGGGTCAAGTTTCCTGACGAAGACCCTTCGCGAGCACGTGCGTATGGAACCCCGCCGGCTGGCACACCGGGAGCATTGACAGGAGTTGCAGGAGACGAGCTTATACCCGTCCCCAGCGACGTGAAAGATCTTATACGCGCACTTCTCAAGCGTCAACCGGCCGAGAGGGCAAGCTTTGAGGAGTTCTTTGGGAGCGTCGCACTTGCAAAGTCCAAATTTCCCCGTCCTACGACGTCCCGTGAAGGAGGCTCCGCTGCGCGTGTACCCTCCGTCTCTCAGAACGCAAAGCTACCTGTAGTGGAGGATGAGACATATGAGACTCCTGATGGGCGGATACCGGAGCATCACATGATTATACCACCGGAGGTACTCGATCCAAATGTAATGATCCCACCAAGCAAATTTCACTTCCGGAGAAAGGAGACAGGTGTCACAAATGGTGCCAACGGTGGGCATGCAGGTGAAGCAGGTCCTTCTTCGCGCAGTAGGTGTGTAGCCCTTCCCCCGCGTTTCATGGCATATTATGAGATCCTAATATACGCCCACAGCTCCTCATCGCATGGTAAGGCTCCTTCCACCTCACCAGCTAACCTTGCCCGGGTACGCACGAATTCAAATACGCGCGCGCCTGTGTCTGAGAAAGCACTGCAACGACGTCCTGGGCCAAAGCCACTTTCAACGGAGGGCTCTATCATTCCAGGCGAGTCAGAGGAAGATGGTATTTTGCGACGAGAATATGTCCTCGTGGGCGACATCCGCGCTGTGGAATTCAACAGAGCAGTCGATGGTCTGTCAATTCGAGATATTCTAATGATGCAGTGGATGATTGAATTCAATTAAAACAGAACTAAGTACAGCCCGCCGTCGTCCACTCCGTGATCGCAAACTACCACCATCTCCACTAACAGACGAGCCCTTACCTCCAGATTACGTTTCTGCGCGATCACCATCACCTCTTTCAACTCCTTCGCGCCCGGGCACAACTTTTCCACCTCCACCACACCCACTCGCACCCCCACTGTCCTCCTCCCCTTCACGTACCGCCTCCAACGCGCTGACTCGTGCTCTAAGTCTTGCCTCGCGAAAACTCTTTGGTTCATCGGCACCTACAGTAGTTTCCGGGCATTATCGTACACCGTCATCGCCCAGAAGGCAACAAATTCTACTGAAGGCTAATTCGGGAGCGGGCACTCCTGAAGGAGAGAAGGATGGGAGTGGGGAAAGAGACCCTCTGGAGGACGAATTGTTAGCAAGATTAGAGGAGCTAGCGCAGAAGACGGATGTGCTGACACACTGGGCGGATGAGATGTATGAGTATGTGAAGGCCGTGCCTCAGAGTCAGTTTCCTGTCACCATTGTTTTGATGAAGCCATGAAATGCTAACACACTTCTCGTTGTCACCGTAGAACCCTTACCTGATCCTGCCAAGTTCGTGAAACGCGAAGGCGAGGGTGAAAAGCACGCACAGCGACGGAGGAATGCGGACCAAGAGGCCGAGATGAGCGCCATGACGTGCGTTGCGGTGTACATGCTGCTCATGTCTTTCTCGCAAAAGGGCATTGACAGATTAAGGAATCACCAAGAGCACATGCGGATGCGTCACCCCGATGGCGAGTTTGTTGTGAGCGAAGGGTTTGATGACGGTCCGTATTTTTCTGTCATGCTTTATCAAGATAGTGCTGATCGTCTTTGCTGATAGCTTTGACGTGGTTTAAGGATCACTTCATCAAATGTAATGATCGTGCAGCGCTTGTGAAAACGTGGTTGCCAGCACAGTATGATGGCCCCAAGACTTGGTTAGATCAATTAGTATACGACCGTGCACTGATGCTTGTACGCCAAAATTTCTCATACTGTATTTATTCTACCTCACCACTATTAATTCAAATCGCACATCAGAGTCGTACCGCTGCAAGGAAGGAGTTGCTCGACCAAGCAACGCGTCCAGACGAATGCGAGAAACTGTACGAAGAATCCTTGTGGTGTCTTTATGCCTTGCAAGACGATCTGCAAGCTGGGAATCCATTCATGGAAGAGGATCGCAATACCATTTCCACCTGTAAGTTATCTTCCGGGAAGATTTGCTGCTCTTTTATCACCTCGGTTTGTTGGATTGATTTCGTTGCTTCTTTTTAGGGATAACGAGGACGAAACTGCGTCTTGTACGCTGTCGCGCTCGAATGGGCATGACGGACCGGGACAGAATCAAGGATGCCATGGCGGACCAGAACCTTGTCGATGCCAGGTACCCACCGCCATGGGAACCTCAGGCGGTTGAACAGGTGCAACAACAGCAACAGCAAACGCAGCTGCAACAACAACAATCATGACAACAAGCGGGTTTTGATTGTCGTATTCTTCTCCAATTCTCTTCTTTTTTTCTTTCTTCTTTTCTTTTCTGAGGTGTATATTTCGACGCATATTATGTTATCTATTATTGTAGATGAACTGCTCTCTGCTCTGGACTACAGTAGATATATTCTTTTTTACATTTCTCGTCACCAAGGTCTTGCGTTAGCTGTACTCTGAATTGATCCAATGTGTATCTTAACAATTTCATTTCTTCGAACTGGTGACCAGGTTCTATCATAGTGTGGCCTGGGAAAGACACAGTAGGAGGTTGTTCGTCAAAGTGCAAAGGTGCCAAATTAGATTTGCATATACTTCTGACAACTCTGATAGAGATGCCCCCATTTTCCATCGTTTCTTTCTTTGATCCTTTCCCAGCCCTTCTCTGGGCCCGACTTTATGAACCATATGAGCAAAGAGCACAGTGCAAAGTCTGCATATGTTGGCGTAGTCGAACCAAACATCCACTCCTGACCATGAGGACGCCCATCAATGTATTCAGATAGACTGTCCAACCCTCCGTACAGGTTGGCCCACATAGCGTCGGCCTTTTCGGGGGGAAACATCTCTTCCACGCCAACCCCTGTAAAGTTATTAGGATCATTCGTACCCACTTACACGCCGCATCACATTGACTACTCACCCAAAATCCTCTTCCTACTGTTTACAAAATATTCCTTATCGCGCCCCTCAAGAATGTTTGGTGTATGAGGCATGGCCATGAAAGCCATGTTACTCCTAACGTGCTTCATAATAGCATCGATATGTTGCAGTTGTAACTCGCGCGATCCATCAGGATAAATTGGGTTCTCCGGATATGTTGATTCAAGATAGTCAGCGATGAGGGGGGAGTCAGATATAGCTTTTGGATCGGCTCCTTCCACTTTATCGACAATGGCAGGGACGGTGTACAAGGGTGCCACTGTGCGAGTGGGGGGAACACCAGCAGCAGATAATACATCAGTGATGTCAGGGTACGGAACCCATTCCGTCCGATAAGGAAGATTCTTATAGTTTAAGACAAAACTAATCAAACATCAATGTTGTTAGGTGCATGATGCCACAGAGAATCTCTAGAAATGAAACCCACCGTATCTTCCAGACATTCGGGGACCAGGCTGGTGCTGCTAGTGCAGACCGGACGTCGAAGAGAGTTATAAGGTGTTTCGTGGCCATTTGGAAGGTTGATTACAGCAAGTGAACTGACAATCCCAGTAGTAAGTTATGTCAAAGTCAGCGCTCTTAGTATACCAGAATATACCGTGACTCACTGTGAGTCCGAAGATCTTAGTAACGAATATGCTGACAACAAAAGCTTCATGGGGACCTGTCTCAAGCCAACATACTTATCCGTGTGATTTGCTACGTTCGTATCATAACCTTCGCCATCGTATTCAGCCTGACCAAGCACATAATCGTAATGACTCATATGAACTGACTATACGAGACTGGCATGGCTGAAATAGAAGCTTGCTCGCAGAGGTGGTGGCTATAATATCATCCGCTCAAATTTTAGGCCAGAGCAGAGCTGGTTTAGGCTCCTACTTTAGGGCGTGGCGACTGAGCTTGTGGATACGGAAAAGTCTGCGAGCCTCAAATTATTCATCATGACGGGTGTCGATTTGATTTCGAGATATTCCAGTTCTGTTTGTGCAGGCACTAGCAACAGTTGAAGGAGAAAAAGTCATGGTAGACGATGTTATGAAGAAAGCAGGTTCGGATGTTCCCGAAATTCAGTGGTGATGGAATAATGTATCAAGATGGGAATTAGGGGCTTGTAGCCTGGATAACATTCTATGCGACTACTTGGATAAAACACATGGGGAGGATCTTGTAGGAAGTCCAATGCTAAGAACGTAGTACGAGTAAGTAGGTGTGCGCAACACATCGTTTGCAAGAAAGAGAAAAATAAAAGATTGTCCAACGAAAACCAATGAATGTCAAAGAAATATCAATGTTCACATGAGCTCGTAAGAATTAGATCCACTGTCAAAACAAAAACACAAAAGGTCCAATGTTTTCCTCCACAATTTATTCTTGCTCACTTCATTTGCTTAAGCGTGACTGAGTAGAACCCGGTCTATCGAAGCATTAATTGTAGCTTTTCTCGATGTCAAATCCATCCCAAAGTGTTCTTCAAGCTGCCTGCGTACTTCACGCTTCGTCACAGAGTTCAAGTCGGCGGCGCGAATAAATTCTTGTACTGCATGATCCAGATCAGCGTCCGTTGGGCCATTATAACCCATATCCATATTTTCAGGGCTGCGCGTCGTCGGTATTGGCATATCAAGGTAGTTGGTCACAGGCCTTGATGGCATAGGCTGGTAAAGCATGCCAACATCGCTCATTGGTCGCATTTGAGACATCGAGAGCGGTGTATTGCGGCCAGATTGATACCCAGGCGGGGGCATCATTCCCCCGAATTGCGAAGGCGCCGGTGAGTAGCTTCGTGGATCGTAGTGGGTCTCGCGGCCGTACAAGGAAGCAGTGCGTGACTCGGCATATCCCTCATTCTGTAATTTCGTTGGAGGCACCCACGAACCGATGCTGTGATTGGACTCCTTATCCCAGAGCTCATTTTCCTATGCAACAATTAAATTAGATTGTGCGACTGGGACCAAAGTCAAAACACTCACATAATCACTCCAGGACTTCAAAGGAATGACGCGTGGGTCGAATTTGCCTTCGTCCTGTGTATATCGTCAGCCTATAGTGTAAGACCAAAAAAAACATAGACGTACATGCACGATTATCTTTTTACCAGACTCACCCAACACCACACGGGTAGCACCCCACGAGAAGTCGTCCATCTTCCAGAACGAATAAAGCGGGAGGATGAAGGAGAAGATCGGAATGGCCAAGATGTAGAAAAACATCCATCCCACCATGTCCCATTTGCGACGCAGAATGAAGACTAACGCTTGTAAACCGTAAATAGCACCAATCATGATGAGAGAAATGGTAGGGATGGTGTTTCCTTCACCAACGACTGAGACGACGAGATAAACGATCTAGAATGGCAAGAGATGATTATTTGACCAAGAAATATGTGGTGTGAAACTTACATATGCGACCGTAACAGGCTGCGTCAAAGTTGACAGCAAATCCATCATAACGATGAAACGCATAGAGAAACAACAGAATCCACACAGTTGCTCCAAGAAGATCAGCTCTCCAAGGTTGTGGACTGTAGAGTTGATCCATCGACGACGCTGGGAAAGCAAGATCTTCCAATCATCGGGGGCTACAGTGTACGCATGTGCATCACGGATCATCTGAGTCTTATGCATTGGGTAATGTTTGAGTAAGAGCGTAGTGAGATAACGATCTTCTCCCAAATGCAACAAGTTCTTCATATGCAGAGTGTCGACACGATTTTCAGAATAGTCTTGGACCATTTGATTCGAGATCAAGAGAGGCTTGTGTGTATCGGGCGTCCTAAGACGGTAGAGCGTGAAACAACCGGGAAGACAAGTGACGGAACCAAAAAGACTCTCGAACGCTTTCGCCATATGATGAGAAATGAAGTATTCATACACCTACGAAGTGCATCAGAAAATTAACGTATAGGAGCGAATAGAATAAAAAAGACTAACCTGCATCATAGTGATGATAGATTGCTTGGCGTTAGTAAGCTCCGTCTCTCCACAAACACCGAGAACCTTCTTGTCGTGAATCATCCTGAAAAACTTTGTGAACTTGGGTATATCGCATATTCAGCAATAATACTCACGCAGAAATCAAACGGTTGACGGAAAGAGGTTCCACCGTTGTATCGGCATCGACAGTGAAAAGATACTCGTAGAAAGTAGGGTTCACTCCAATGACGTTTTTGATCTGGTGGTACATCTCCAGTTCCATCGGGTTCATGGGCGAGTTGAAATGGACCTGACCGACAATATTTAGTTTCCGATGCAAACACGGCAAAGAAAAATCAACCCACCTTGTTGAGGAAATGCATGATTACTATCTGCGAGTCACGCTTACCACGATTGCCTGGACGTGAACGCTCTGTTGGCTTGCCAACTTTGACAACGACGAGGTAGGGAACAACGTGTCCAGCGCATTCATAGAGCCCAGAGTACACTTTACCCATGTTGTGCTGTCTAGATCCTTCACCGAGAGAAAGGAAACTCAGAGGCTCGGGATCCAAGTTAGGATCTGCACCCAAAATATCGAGGACGATGCGAGGAGTGGGACGGTCGTTTCCGGAACCAACGATATTACCATCACAAATGACAAGCAGAAGCTTCCTCTTATCGTCATATTTGAGCTGCGCCAGCGAGTCAATAGTTTTGCGCAGGGATCCTTCGCCTTCCGTATAGCAAGGAACCTGACAGATAACAAACTTGTCGTGGTCTTCAGGCGCACGAGGAGAACCGAAATTGAGAGATGCTATGAATTTGAACGCGATGATGGCGACCATGACAGCGGAAAGGGCGAGGAGGAGATACGATGAGAATTGACATTGAGCAGATTCACGGTGGTCCACCATGCCCATCAAAAACAAGTTGCGCAAACAGACTTTTTGACGTTCTAAAACGGCGCTATCGATGTTGAGGTTGTCCAGTTGCTTCGTGAGATCTTGACCTGAATTGTATTTAAAGAGATCGACAACGGAACCGTCCATGAAGAATCTGTCCGTATCAGCAGGTGCGTTTTCGCCATTAGGAGGGTGTATTGCGGGACCGTTATTGACATACGAAGTCAAGTCGTAGATGAGGTTGTTGTAAATACCTATCGACTTGCCCGAGCTTGCGAGGTTACCGATTTCCTGGGGAGTGTAGCCACTATATCCGACTCGGTTTTTCCAACGCATCATGGTCATACTTTCAAAGTACCAGTCAGGGCGGGAATCGTTAGTCCAGGCACGGAAATCATGATATTGAGAGTTGGGGTCGGTGTCGTTGCTGGAATCGAGGATGACCCATGGACTAACAGTACCACTAACACCGTTACACAATGCGCTGACCTAATAAATCATTAGTTATACGTTCAAGAGACGCCTACAACAATACTCACTTGAACGGGGAAGATATTATCAGCTGCGACACCACCGTACTGTAAGACCGATTTCTCAGATACGACACTGACAACAGTTTGATGTGTGGATGCAACCTCCGTGAGATCGAATACCTCGCCGCGGATAGAAGTGTAGACGTTGTTAGGTGAGTTCTGGTAAGAGTGGGATTCAAGTTCTGAAGCGCTGAAAACGTATTCCCTCGGACATATGATAAGACCGAGCACAGCGATGACGAATACCGCACATCCACAGACAAACCAAATGATAATGTTAAGCGCAAGCTTTTCTCTCCACGCTTGGCGCACGTCCTCGCGCTTCATGCGTCCGAACCACTTTAAGAATGGCGACGGAACCCACCAAGTAAGCATCCAACACAACATAACCCATTTTCTCCTCGCAGACGACTCTTTCACTACTTCAGCGGTCTCGCCTTCCTGTATTTCACCAGGCAGCGGTTCCTTATCCATCAGTCCTTGCTTGTCCAAGTTCTGGAACATATTGCGTGATGGGGCATAGGATTCCGTGCCAAAGTTAGAGACGGAGTCGTCGCGATTACTAGTGAGTCTGCTGCGACCATCGAAGTCTTCGCTGCGGAAGGATTTACGTTCTTCATAATCGTCGTCATACATGTCAGCGCGTTGGAAAGGTGAAGCATTGGCAACGAGAGGAAGTCCCTCCTTGGATTGTTGGAAGCCGTCCCCAAAGTAAGGTGAATCGTCTCCGTGAGCGTCAGGTGAAGAGTAAGGAGCATATGGGTCGCTCAATCCTCGTGGGTCAAGTCCGGCCTCAGCCTCAGCATCACGAAGGCGGTTGCGCTTCTGTTCTTCGACGTCCCGAGAGCGAAGCTGATCTTCAAGTTTGTGGAAGGCAACTCCAGACAAGAAGACCTACAAAAGACGTCAGTACAAGTCACCGACGACAATTTGAAGAAAGTCCCTACCTTGAAGTTACCAAGGACCACATCTCGCTCACTAACACCAAGTGGCGATCGACATTGCTCAACTCGCTCCCGTGGGTCACTAGACATAATGCCCATAGCGCCCATAGGTTCCTTGTAACGATCGCAGAACTCCTCCGGCGTCATACCAACCTCAAACACATTCACATTTCTTCTCGCAATTTCCGACAAACCCGCACTACGAACCTGTCCCTTGACAGAGCGGCCCTCAAGCTGATTCGGCAGCTGAGAGTCATTGGGGTTCACACAGAATACATACCACGCTTGAGTCTCGGCGACAGTATCGAAGAGCGTATCTAGCGCCGCACGGAACTCGCCCGCAACGCATGGCGCACCACCAGATGTTTCTTCATCATCACGGTCCCTTTCATCACCATCTCCCTCACGTAACGTAGGCATGCGCTTCACGGTGCCTTTTCTGCGCATCGACGGAGCCCGCATAGGTTTGATAGGTTGTTGTGCTGACACAATCGTGTCCTCGTTCTTGGGGTGTGCCTGGGTGGCGATGGCTTTGCCCGAGAAAATACCTTTTACGAATGGGTTAATAGATCCAGAACCCTCCGTCCCATCAGAAACATTGGTCGCGCCACGCAACAAAGAGACGAAATCCGGGTTCAGAGCATCCAAGTTACGCTCCAAGAAGCCTTCTGCAGAGTAAGTGATAGGGCCATTGAAGTGGTTGACAGTGAAAGTGGGGAAACCGGCACGGTCCAATGAGCCCATCTTGAACGATGAATGATTGCCCCATCGCTTCCCAAATGCTTCGACCATACTGTGGTCCGTCTTCTTGTGCGCCCGACGCGCTTGGTCGTCCATGATGTGGATGAGACCACCGGGCTTGTTCTGCAACAGGCGCACACACTCTGAATTGTCAAAGTACGGCACCGTAGGCACAAATCGTGAGATGCCTTCATTGGTGTACTCGTCAACGTGGCTCTCAAAAAGACGTTTCTGCGTGAAGCTTTGCAAGCGCTCATTGGCGAAGTTGATGCAGAATTGGTCCAACGAGTTGGGTCGGCTAGTCATGTTCTGAGGACCAGGCAAGTCGAAGAGTCCGATGAACGTATCGAAGTCATCTCTGCATAGACGTTGGTTAATGTGCTCGTTGAGCCAAGCAAATAGTAACGAGTAAAGGGTCTTGGCCAGATCATCTCTGTTGTCAGATGCGCCATCCGGATCAAGGAAAACGGTACACAGCTCTTTCTTGACCATCTTAGTCTTGTATGACAACGCCGCCTCCAACGCTGAAGGCTGCACTCCAAGGAACTCTGAAACTACGTCCAATATGTCGACGTTCCGCACCACAGCAGCATCTTCGTTACGAGAACGATCAACCGTGAATTCTAAATTGCCAAGATGAAGGATGGCAGCGACAAGCTGACAGGTTTGTGCAACATGGCGCTTGGACAGACCGATGGACTTGAGTGCCACCTTGAGCTGGTCGAAACGATTGGCATCATCATCTCGCACAGCATTCTGGCGAGGAGCAATGGCGCCACGTGAGCCGAGATAACGGTAGTTGGTTTTGTCGAGAAGATGTAGATGCTGTCTTTCTTCAGCTGTAGCTCCAGCGACAAGATAGTAGAATATATGGAAATTACGCTCGCCAGACGGTGCGCCCGCTACGCGATTGCGCTCAAGATAATAGTCAAGGGTCTTAATACCACATAGACGACCTTTGTCGGTGAACTGGAGCTCGGTATATTTACCGAAGCGAGAGGCGTTTGGATTAAAGAGGGTGCGTGCATTTCCGAAAGATTCAATGACGAACTCTGCCGCGGGAACCTGGCCCGCGAGTTTGGAGCCCTTCTTGCCTGGGTTGCTCACACTGAGCTCGAGAAGGGTCTTGATAGCAAGTCGCCTGTTTTCAGACTTTCCGCTACCTGTCTCACCACTAGATAGATAATAATGTAATAATACGGTTTGGCATTGATTATTGTTGCGATCTGGGTGATTGAAGGGAGAACAACGCACCTTAGCAATATGGACTGATCCTGGGAAGTTCTTCTCATGTGGTAGTAAGCATTATTTGCGAGCTGGAAGATATGGGGAGGGAGAGGAGCTCTATGCTCTGAAGTGTCTCGATAATCAGCAGCGTATTTTTGGAGAACTGAGTCAGCGTTTGAAGGTACGTATTTGTGGGGGTTGATTGCGACGAGAGCGGATGATCCTATGCTGGTATAGACGTTGTCTGACATGAAACGTTCGCGCAGACATGACACTATGATATCGTCTGAGACTGGAGAGAGGGAAGAGAGGTCGTTGACCCCTTCTAGCCTCTGGAGACTCATGCCTGTGGATTGCCTGTTCATGGTGGACAGCGCAACACCGATTCACGCGAAATGAGACCAGACGACGGGTGCAACAGCGAGCAAAGGGAGTAGTGCGATGTGGAGGGGGAAAGGAGATGGGGGAAAGGAAAGAAAGGGCGACGACGGGGGATGGTCGTCGTTGCGGGTGAGGAGCAAGGAAAGAGAAGGAAGGCAAAGGGAAAACTGACCTATTTCGGTCGAACGCAACACCCAGGCCTGCAGGCCCGCTCGCCTTTTTCTCACGCCGGCCTTACTCCCAGAATGAACCGCCAATCAAATCTCCCTTCCTCACTAGCCTCCACACCACAGAACTGCATATATGCCAATCGCCTCTGCACCTTTTCAGCGCATACATCGACGAGCACCATCGAATTCCACACCCACATCGACCTCCACATCTTATCCGACGGACAAGGGCAGTCACCATATCATTCTCTGCCCAACAGTCAGCTTTTTTGATCCGCATGGTTGACCTGTACTACTGCATCGCCATGGATGAAAGTCTTTCGGTCTAGCCAAAAGCTCTGTTGTAAACTAAGCCTGTTTGAATGTCGCATTGCAATTCAAACCAGAAGTCCTCTTTCCAACCACAGCTGCTGCATTGCCAGATATACATAGTTCGCCATGAGTCTCAGGTGGTGTGGGACACAGGCTTTACTTGGGTTCGACTGCAGATCGCTGAATCAGAGTCATGGGAATCCTTCATTCCAAGTCTCCTCATGTTCGATCGACTCTCCATATGGCCACATAGCAAGGTGTTTTGCTAGCTAGATTAGACTGCGATCAACAGAATACTATACCATTCACCTTGCCCTCCGCCCTTCGAATTCGTAGCACTTGCTGTCTGCAATTCATAAACTGATTCTCGATTACATGCATATCACTAGAGACAAGGGCAAAATAAATCACGCTATCATCGTGGGGTATACTATATGCAATGCAAACATGCGCAGCGGTCAAACACGAGTCCTCTTGCGAGGAACAGGATCATTCTCATCCTCACCTCGACGCTTCACCCCCGCAACACCCTCCACAGGGGCCTTACGCACAGTCGTCTTTCCCTCCCTCAGCTTGACAAGTCGCGTCGCAAGCGCACTACGACCCGCCCGGAACGACTCCCCGCCCACTGAAAGCATCACACTCGGCACCGGCGTCAACTTGCGTCGCGCGTCGTCATCTGCGCGAGCCCGCGCCCGTTCCTCCTCAACCGCCAGACTTGCCGCAATTGTCACATCGCGAGCAACCGAGGGCGGGACGCCGCCACGAGGAGGTCCTACCCGTTGGTAACTGGTGCTCGACCTCTGCGAAACGCTTTTCTTGCCCGTAACAAAACGATGTGCGACTGGCTGTGTTGGCGCGAGTGTGGCTCGAGTAGCTGGCTCAGGAGGATGACTTGTACTTTCCAATTCCTTGAACGGCATGTCAAGAGTGTAGGAAACCGGAGACCGTTCTGTGGGACCGCCTGTTGGATCCATATAAAGAGGCTCGGGCTTTAGTCCATGGGGGGTGGATGGAATAACCTCTTGTGCCTCTGGTAGGCTGTACAACCACGCAGGATATGAGCTGGGCGGGTGGTTAGCCACCGGGTACTGCAGTTCTAGTTCTTCGGGCTCCAGCTCTTGCCAGTCTTCGCCAGTAGGAGGTATCCATCCGCTCAAGGAGACATTTGGAGATGGCTCTGCTAATAATTGGTCTTCCTGCGGATAAACAAGGTCTGGAAGCGGTCCGTCAAAATCCATGAAGGAAGAGGGAAAACATGAAAGCTCGGGCTGGTAGGCTGCAAAGAAATAAGCTGGTGTCGCTATATGCGTCGGTAGCTGATAATACTGACCATCCAGAAAGGAGATGGCGTTAAGATCGCCATCTGGATCGAATGGGTCAGCCTCGCGGAAAAGAGAAGTAGAAATCAAGCTAGAAACGATGTCAGAAAGCGCGGTACGAATCTGACCACCCGATAGTTCGCCGTTTGAAGTAATGTGTCCTAATCGATTGTTCGTAGCAGGATCATCGTCAGGGGACACATCGAACGACGAGAAAGACTGGGCGGGCGATGCTGGAGGCAGCAAGATGTTCTCGAGGGACATGACATTGGATCGACGGGGCAGATCCATCTTGGCCATAGCCTCGGCAATCTGCGTCTTCTCATAGGCCTCTGCGAGATTGAGCAGATCGTTGAACGTGAGTTCTTGCGGACCAGTTTGGAGCTGTTCATCGTTCATTGGCAATGACGAGAATTCAGAGCCTGTCGATTCGACATCCAGAGAAGACATGATGGATGGAAGTGAAGGGCGAATGAGGAGTCACAACAGGTGCGAGTTGAAATTTATACCCGTCAGCCTCCGATCAGTTTTAACTTGGCGGAAAACTCCAGATTTTTTCAGGATATTTACCGTCTGCATATGGTGCTGGTGTTTAGACGTTTATCATCATGATTGATTGGAGTAAGGACAGCAAATGGACCAGGATACTCACAGAAAAATGGACGATCTCCCTTCGAATCATACTTCCTGCAATACGTCAGATAACACAGGTTCAACCCGTCACAAGAAGAACATCATTACGAATATATTGGTTTATTCATATATGACGTAGAATACCACAATATTTGGGCGCACCTGGATCTTGGCGGTGTGTGCGAACATAAACCATTTGCTAACCATCAACTTGGATGCCCAATAAGAAGAAACACACAAGATTTGACTACGGAGTTGTAGATAGCACGAAAGTGATATTATATATGTCTGAGCACCTACAGGGCTAGAGTACTTGTGCATCGGTAGAATATCCCCTGTCATGAATGTAAGAGACAGAAGACCGTGAGAATTGATGTGATACAGAAAGGATGATACGGTGATGACTTCATGATCACCGCTGGTCATGAACTCATTCTTCGTTACGTCCTCAAAAATTCTACCACTCTTGAATCGTATACAGCACCGTCTGTGACATGTCAAATCTAGCATTTATCTGACGATGCCATGACGTATTTGACATTACTAGCCCCTAGTGCAAATATAAAAGCAGGCGCAAGTGATAACTTTCCTCATCGCCTCTTTACCTCCTGTGTTACCATTATAAGCATAAGCATAATCTTTTGATTACAGCCTCATAATGCAGTCTTCTAAGAATACCGGAAACGTAGGTCTTGCAATTTTATATACGATGATATAGTACTCATCGAGATTTGCCCTATTAGGTTGCAGGTGGTCACAGTGCGCATCATCTCTCCGATCGTGTCATTGCCTACTGTACTCACATCCTCACGTTTTGCAGAGGCCGCCGTCCAGAACCCTAACGTCTCCAGTGAGGCCAAGGAACACTCCCAGAACGTACTCGAGGAGATGGGCTCGAAAGGAGAGCTTCCCGAGCAAACCGGAGGTGACGAAGGAAGGAACCCAGGCAATATTGTTGGCGGACACAAGGTATGTGCTGTCCCCCCCTTTTCGCCCTTTAACATACTGACATGGTGATCAAGGCAACTTTGAAGAACCCCAACGTATCAGAGGAGGCGAAGCAGCACTCCAAGAAAGTTCTTGACGACATGGATGTTTGATTATCTGCAGGATACTGTACTTTTAGCTTCTGTAGCTTCTGTAAGAAATGAAAATATCAGCTTCTGGAGTGTAGCGAATAAAGTGCCGTCTTGTGTAAGACCCCTTTCTCAGAAATTCTCGAAATCACCAAGTCCGAGTGATTTTATCGATATAATGTCCAGCCGTGGTCGACTTATAACGGCCTTGTAGTCTAGAGGTACGATACTTGCTTTGGGTGTTCACAACTGCAAGTGGCCTGGGTTCGATTCCCAGCAAGGCCCTTCTCTTTTTGCTTTTTTCGTTCCGTGCATGCCACCGCATTTGGACATTACACAGCTTTATTTTTGTAGATAATGTGCTTATATGGAAAGTGTACAATAGTGACATATGCAATGGGAAAACATACCCACTCAGAACAAGAAGAACAAGAATGAAGCTCGCCCCAGCGATTATCGTCACCTAGAGATTCGCGTAGGCGTTGACGAGGAGTATATGCGTGAAGTGGTGGGCGCAAGTGTATAGTAACAGCGTTAGATCCGAGGGAAGAAAAAAGACAATGCATTGTGGGCGGAAAGAATACTTGAAATAGAATGCGACTCTCCGTTTTACAGCGTCCATGATAAAGCTGAATCCCAACGGAATATAAGCAGTTAACCGTCGGCGGCGAACATGTCCAGGGTTTGATTGTATTTGCTGTGCTAGGCGCTGAATAAGAGTGGGCAGGGTGCGCCTTCCGACGGCCCCCTGATAATTGTGAGGAGGCAGCAGACAGTAATTGTCATAAACAGAGGATCCTGTATATTTGAGTCGGCAGTGTGACCGGTGCGCAGCTCTTGTACGTCTTGTAGGATGGTGCGGGCCTCACATGCCTATGATTATGGTAGTGACTGGTAGTTCCGCGAGTGGCAGGGTAGTTTGGTAGTAAAGCTTGCAAGGTGGGATGAGTGGGACAATGAGGGCTGGAAGAGAGTATATTTGACATGGATAGGTAAAGTTCAGACGGGCATCAGAGAGAGGAGCAGTGGCGTGCCTTGGTGTGGCTGTGCAAAAGGACCATTGTGCGTTGTTACGTAATGGACTGCTATTGTTCAGCCACGTGGGATTGAATGACAATGGATCGCATTCATGGCTTTGAACAATAGAAAGACAGAAAGAACAAAAATGAGAAAACACGGTGGTGCCAGCCATTTCTCTCTTCCTCCTTTACCACTGTCACGCTCATACGCACCCTCTCGTCGACGACCACGACGATGACGACCGCAATGCGCGAAACGACGTTGACGTCGAACTCACGTTCATCAACACCATTCGAGACAGCGTCCAGGGCGGAGGAAAGATTTCCTTCAGCCTACGAGCTGTTGCAGACCCCACGTTCATCGATGTCTGATATCAAAGGCTCAATGTCCTCCCCCACTTCCTCGATGCACGACATTCCCCTCCCCACCACAAACACTCCCCCCGTCCCCTCCGTCAAACTCCTCTTCTCCTTCCTTACTCCCCGCAGGAAACTCACCCTCCTCACTCCTGCTGCAATCTCTTCGGTCATCGCAGGTGGCATCGCGCCTTTCATGACCTACGTCATCGGCCAGTCTTTCAACGCATTCGCTGCCTTCCCTCTCACTCCCAACCCATCTCAAGCCGCAAAGAACTCGCTTCTACGCGGCGTCGGTCTCGCTGCACTCGAGCTCGTCGCGCTCGGTGTCGGTGCTCTTCTCATGAGCAGCATCACCAGCAGCCTCTGGATATGGACAGGCGAGCACAATGTCGTAGAACTCCGCAGACGTGTATACGATGCAGTCACAAGAAAGGACATGGTCTGGTTTGATCTCCGCATGGGCGCAGATGGCGCAGCTGGAGACGTGCAGGACACCTCTTTTGGCGATGCTCCCATCGGCGCAGGTGGTCTCATGGCAAAATTTGCCAGGTGCGTACACCAACTCATCTTGATCTGCATTGCAGTACTGACATGTATTTTAGGGAAACAGACGACGTTCGTGCGGCATCCTCCCTTGCTGCAGGACAGATGCTTCAATATCTCACTACCACAATCACATGTCTCATTCTCGCATTCACTCGTTCCCCACTTCTCACCATCGTTATATTATCCGCCGTACCTGCTCTCATCATCATCCAGGGATTCTCTCAAGCACTTGCTGGCCCTCGTCTCGCATCGGAACGCACGCTGACCGCAGGTGCTGCCACACTCGTTGAACGCGCTGTTACCGCCATTTCGACAGTCAAGGCATTTAACGCGGTGTCTCACGAATCAAAAGTTCTTTCTCGCGTCTTTCAGCGTGTATCTTCTGTAGCTTGTGGCCTTGTCGGTATCTGGGGTGCAACCACGGCGTTGAGCCAGTTTACGACCATGGCCATGTTCGTACAAGGCTTTTGGTTCGGCGCGCACTTGGTTCGGCAAGGAAAGAACTCCCCTGGGGACGTCATGAGTGTCTTCTGGGCATGTCTCATCGCAACGAGCAACCTACAGATGACCATTCCCTTGCTTATGGTGCTCGCCAAGGGTAAAGCAGCTGCAGCCGAGTTAGTCGGTGTAGTTGAGTCTGAGGTACACCTCCCATTACAGCAGCCATCAACGCCTTCGTCGATGTTAACCTTGGCGCCTGTCCCCAAACGCAAGAGCAAGAGCCGAAATACCCAGCAATTGCGCAAAATATACCCTAGGACGTTCACAGGCGAACTTGCTCTCACTTCACTCACGTTCGCATACCCGGCTCGCCCGAGTGCTCCTGTCTTGCGCAACGTATCCATGTATCTTCCGGCACACGAGACGACTTTCATCGTTGGACCATCAGGCTCTGGAAAATCCACATTAGGTGCGATCTTAATGGGAGCTTACAGCTCGCGCGATGGCGAGGTCTTGTTGGATGAGCAGGACGTACGATACCTGGACGATGCATTCCTTCGACGACACATCGCAGGGGTGTCCCAGGGTGCAGCAGCATGCCCAGTATTTGCAGGCAGCTTGCATGACAATATCGCTTTAGGAGCTGTTGGTGCGGGCCGAAATGCAGTAGATGTGAGGAGGGAGGAGGTTGAGGAAGCGTGCAGAGTGGCTATGTTGGAATCTTGGGTGGGAGGGTTGGAGGCTGGATATGAGACTCTTCTGAGTGGGGGTGGTGGAGAGGGTATTCAGCTGAGTGGAGGGCAAAGACAGCGTCTGGCAATTGCTAGAGCTCGGGTCAGAGACCCTGATGTGCTCATCCTTGGTAAGTATCTCATTATCCATTTTCTCCACTGTCACTGACGGTAATATGCATTGTAGATGAGGCCACTTCAGCATTAGACCCTCCCACACGTTCACTTATCATGTCGGCCATTCGCTGCTGGCGGCAAAACCGAACGACTATTATTATTACACACGATCTCAGTAACATCGAACGCCACGATTTTGTGTACGTTATGCGCGAAGGACGCGTCGTCGAACAAGGCTACCGCAATGATCTCGAAAGGACCGAAGGCGGAGCTGGCGAGTTCGCTCGGATGCTAAAATCTGGCGGTATTTCCATCGACGAGGAGTTACCGCAATACGACGACCTTGACAGAGAAGACGTAGGCGACATTCTTGCTGCGGAAGAGGAGGCTGAGGAGGAGGAAAGGGAGAGAGAGGAGGACAGGTTGACTAGGCATTTCAGCGTTGCGCCCACGCTGGGCGTGGGTGGCGCAGCTATGCGGCCTGTGACGATGACCCTTGGCAACTGGATGTTCGACGCTGTCGCAGAACTCACCCGAGCAGCTCCTCCGCCAGCCTTGCCGACGACTGTTAACAGCAGCGATGCAGACAACGAAAAGGGCCAAAAAGAGTGGCGAGTTAGCCGCTTTGTGCCTGCTGATGCTTTTGCAAAGAATATTACGGAGATCAAGAAGCAGAGGCGTCCGAGCAGTATGACGATCGTGGTCCCGGAATTACCTCTCCCGCCTAAAGCTTACGATGGTCGTCGCTTGAGCCTCCAGTTCTCCCCAACCTCCGCCACTTTCTCTCCCTCGTACCCAATCAAGGAGGTGATAGAAGAGATGGTAGTGGATGAGGAGGGCTTTGACGATGACAAGTTCGCCGTGAACCGCACTGGACGAGACGCTCGAATGCGACGAGAGAAGAGGGAACGCATTCAGCATGTCGTTGCCCGTGAATCTCTCGAAAGCATCGTTGTGGATGATAAATCGTCGAAACGCAAGGCCAACAAAAAATCAAAGCAGGTTGAAGACAGCGAGCAGCCTACATCTAGCGATAACGCCTCCCAACAGGGAATGATATCCCTCATTCGCGCTATCTATCCCACCATTCCCTCCAAACCATTCATGCTCTTAGGACTCGTCGTATGTGTCCTAAGCGGGGTCATGACACCTGTATTTTCGTTCCTTCTCTCAAAACTCATGTACGAAGTCTCGGCGGGCGCATCCGATGCTAGTCTTATCAACTCCTACGGAGCACTCGTTCTCGGAATCGCAGCCATCGACGGTGCCCTCCTCGGCACAAAATATTTTGTCATGGAAAGCACAGCAATGCGCTGGGTAACGCACCTCAGGGAGGTTGCGTTCACTCGCGTGCTTGCACAGGACAAGAAATGGTTTGATCGCAGCGATAATGGTGCCGCACGGATCACTCAGATACTCGTGAAGGACGCAGACGATGCGCGTACGCTAGTGGCCGTTGTACTCGGCCAGTGCCTCGTCGTATCTGCCATGCTGGGTGTTGGCCTTTTCTGGGCCATGGCATGGGGTTGGCAATTGACCCTTGTCGGTATCGCGATCGCACCCGTCTTTGTTGGTGTTATGGGCTTGCAGACTGGTTTGGTGGCTCGTTGTGAAGTGCGCAATAAGAGGGCTCGCGAAGAGGTTGCAAGGGTTTACTACGAAGTGAGTCTTTTTCTTATTGTTTCCATCTAGTAACTGTACTGACAGACATATCTAGTCGATCCTCAATGTCCGTGGCATCCGTGCAATGGCACTTGAACCCGTCCTCCAAGGACAATTCGACAAGGCCGCGGCGCAATGTCTCTCAACTGGTGTTCGAGGCGCATTCGTCGAAGGATGCACCTATGGGGTTGCTAGTGCACTCATCTATCTCGCAGAGGCTCTTCTCTTCTACGTCGGCGCGGTTCTCATGGCACGTGGAACGTACACCTACCTTCAGATGGTTCAAACCTTGAACCTCGTCGTTTTCACGGTCACCATCGGCAGTCAACTCATGGCGTTCACTCAAAAGATTGCCAAGTCTGTACAGGCCACCAAGGACCTCAATGACTTGCTCAAACTTAACGTCGACAGCACATCCGAGGCGCAAGGAGTCCTTCGTCCGAGGATCGAGGGTGACCTTGTGTTTAGCGACGTATCGTTCAGCTATCCCTCGCGTCCAGGTGCACCCGTTCTCAACAACCTCTCTATGAGGATCGAAGATGGAGAATGCGTTGCCATAGTTGGCTCCTCAGGCTGCGGAAAATCAACGATCGCAGCCATGTTGCAAAGACTATATGAACCCGACTCTGGTGCCATCTCGATCGGCACGAACGAGCTTCGAGCCACTGATGTGCAACACCTTCGCGAGCACGTCGCAGTTGTCAGCCAGAACCCTAATCTTTTCGACGCCAGCATCCGAGAGAACATCGCATATGGACGAGTAGGCGACGACATGACCGAAGCTGAGGTCGTCCGTGCAGCAAAGGCCGCGAACGTCCACGACTTCATCGTGTCTCTTCCCCAGGGCTACGACACCCTCGTGGGCGAGAATGCCTCGCTGATTTCAGGCGGACAAGCTCAACGCCTCCAAATCGCACGCGCGCTGGCCCGACCTGCCAAAGTGTTGATTCTGGACGAGTGCACATCCGCTTTGGATCCCGCAAACCAATCTGCAGTGCTTGACACCATCCGTGGAGCCAAAGTGGGGAGGACGACGATCATGATCACTCATAAACTTGCTGTGATGCAGATGTGCGATCGGATTTTGGTCGTTGAGGATGGGGAGGTGCGCGAGCAAGGCACGTACGAAAGCCTCATGGAACGCAAGGGCGTGTTTTCCAAGCTGGCAAACGGTGGCGAATGGATGAGCGAGTGATGTGCTATTCAATGACTTTTTTCTTCTTTCTTTCTTTCTGTATTTCTCTGCTTGTGTTTTTTTATCACTCTTTTCTAAGGTTATTGATTACAGTATTGCTACATTCGATTTTCATACTATTCTTTCTTTGATGCTTTTTACTTGTTTTCCCTTTGGAGTTTTCTTTGTTTTTGTTTTCATGACTCAGTGACGATTCTTATACGACTACTCATCTGTAGTATTACCACACTCATACAATGTATCCCCAGACATCCAAAATCAATGAATGTTACAGTAAATTTCTCCATGTTCGAAGTTCTCAAAATCTCCATCTTGAATCCAGCAATGAGCAGCGTAAACTTTCTAAAGCAGTATGTTCTTCCCACGCCTATCTTCGCGTTACAAGGTGGCTCATGCTTTCGGCTTTGCTTAAAGCGTTGAACAAAAAATGTCTGCAGGACCCTCAGCTGTGCCAGATTCACCCGCAGAGGCCGACTCTCTTCGTGCACAGATATTCCAGAGATTACATCCACGTGCCTATCTTGAACGCTTTCTTGCCGAGAATGTCAGACCCGATGGGCGTGCATTTAGTGAATGGAGGGATGTCTCTCTAAATGTCGGTGGGTTGTCTTGCATTAGTCCAAATACTCATCATCTTCATTTACACGTAACAATCAACAGGATCAATCTCTACCGCTGATGGTTCGGCCCTGGTGCGAATGGGCGATACCACCGTTGTCTGTGGCGTCAAGGCAGAAATCGCAGAACCCGAGTTAGACCACCCCGATGAAGGATACCTCGGTGAGATTCTCTCGTTCAATCTCGATATACAACACGCGTACCTAAGCATAAAGTGAAACCAGTACCCAATCTTGATCTCCCCGCCATGTGTTCTTCCAAATTCAAGCCTGGACCTCCCACAGAAGAAGCCCAGGTGCTATCCGACAGACTCAACCAGGCTCTAGTCATGTAAGTCGAGTTGACTACAGTATGTCATCGACTGCTCCAACGCCGACGTTGTGATCTCATGCTTCTCGTAGGTCGGGGGTTATTTCTCTATCGTCCCTTTGCATCCACTCTGGGCGTTCCGTTTGGACACTGTACGTCGACGCGACATGCATCAACTATGCCGGAAATGCTTTTGACGCGACGCTATTGGCCATGGTCGCTGCTCTAAAAAATAGTATGTCCCAGATCTGCGCATGCGGTAACGAGACATTCAATTATTTATTTTTTACACAGCTCGAATACCTCAGGCTTCTTTTGACGAAGAAAGTGGTCGTACGGTCTGTTCTAGGAAGAACAGAGTGCCATTGACTCTTTCGCGGTTCCCAACGTCAGCGTCCTTTGGAATTTTTGACGCGTGGGTTTGATATTTGTTATTTGATACAATCCAAAACTGAACTGACAATGCTCTGGAAATAGATCACAAATCCTAGCGGATCCAACAGCATTCGAAGAGCCATTGTTAGATGCTACGGTCTGTGTCGTCGTAGATGAGGAACCTGAGTTGATATCTGTCAATGGAGTTGGGTTGGGGATTACGACAACTGTAGACTCGCAGAAAACGATCCAGGCTTGTATTTCAGCAGCCAAAAACCGTAGCTTAGAGCTTCAAAAACTGCTTTGACTCGCATCATATCTATTTTATCAGAAAGTGAGCTATTATTCGGCTATCGCCGTATGGTGACCCAAATTGGCAGACATCAAGCTGGACGAAGATTGTAGTTTGTTGGTCCAGGCGGAGCCACTGGAAAGGCTTTTGTTCCCTGTGGACGAATACGTGGGTGAACAGTGTAATTCTATTTTCACGTTACCGCAGAATCTACCCTCGATCAACTTTCTTGATAGCCGCTTTTAATCGTGGCCACCTGAAATACAAAGTTGGCCTCGTGTAAGAGCCACGTTACCATATTCATATCTTCATAGGCCTCTTGGACGTGCTTTGCCCCTCTTCTCGGCCATATATACGTCCACCCAAAACATGAGTAATCACGTCCACCAAACGACAGCCAATCCTGACGAAGGATTAAACGCTTGGACTTGGCCAGCCATGTCCACCACAAAGTAATCCACATGCATTGCCTAAAGCGTTCTGCGTCCACAGCAGAAATATCACCGGGCTTCCACACAGTCAGTGGCACATCGACTATAAGTAAGGCTCAGGAAAGTCAGTTCTCGTCAGAATCATCCCCAAGTTCTCTCGTCCAGGTTTCCTCATACCGTCTTCTTCAGCTCATCGTCCACTATGCCGCGTCCTGTTATCCCCGAGCTCACTCTTCTCGAGTCTAACGGTACCTTCTTTCCACAACCCGGCGCCCATTCACCCACACCCCTTCGTGCCCTTCTCGAACGGCTGTGTCTTCCTCTCGAACGTGTCCCTCTTCCACTGGAACGTCCGTTGAACCGTTCTGCCCTCCTTGAGCTTGCCCCTGACCGCGAGGCCCTTCTCATGGGTGGAGGAAGCGCAGAGGAGCTTCGTACTGCGCTCAAAATTCGTATTCCACGGGGATGCACAGATGCCCAATGGCTGTCCCAAGTGCAGACGAGGGCACGACTCCAAGTCAATGCGAAGCTACTGCAAGCGTCTTCGTTTAACCTAAAAGATAACACCAACACACCTGCTCTGTCGCGAAAGGAATCAAGGTATCGCTCTATGAGCGATGGTAAAAGGCACGAGCAGGCACCTGGTATTGAACATACCTTGATGCTGGACATCAAGAGCGAGGCTGCGAATAAAAAGGGAGCTATGGAAGTGGTTAGAGCAGACGCTCGCCAGCGTAAACGTACCGTGGACAGCTCAGATGATGAACAGGACGAAAATGTGCCACCCACCCCACCACCCAAAGACTTTACCAGTTTCAAACGCACCCACAGAGTTCGTCGGTCGATCTCTGCAAGCGCCATCCCGAACCCAGATAAGGGAGTTGAAGATCGGGTGCGCGCGCGCTCACCGCACGCAAGGAGTGCCAAGCATGCACGAAAAGCGGAGGGGACACTCATCATGCGTACTCCAGAAGATAAAACTCCCTCAATCGATCCTGCCTTCCTTGTTCACGCCCGGCTGAGCACGCCTGATAAAGTCATCTCCCCACGATCGCTCGGACCGACGCATATACTCGTGTTGCATTCCGCATCGAATACGCAGAATCTCAAGCACAGCGGACGTACGCTCCACCTTCCTATCAACGCTCTCCTTTTTGCGTTGCACGCTCCGAATCTGTGTCTGCGCACTCCTAATTCGTTCCCGCACCGCTTGCCCAAGGCACTCCCGCGCGTACTGCTGCGCGTGGGTCGACTGGAGTGTTGGAAAGAGCTCATAGCTTGGATGCACACGAGGAATCAGGCAGCACTTATGAGGAGTATGATACCAGAATGGATACGTGATATCATGCATCCATTGCCCATGAACGCTGGAGTGGGAATGGGACTCGCTGCCCTCACTGCGCCAACCGACCACACCGAGGTCGCCGATGGCAGTGTCATCCGTCGCCTAAAACCCAAGAAGAGCATACTGAGATTCGGAGGGTTGAAACGTTCGATATTGCCGTCGCCAAGCCAGAACTCAACAATGTCATCGTTGGAACCACAGCGGTCATTGGACAATATTGCGCGCGAGATCGCCGAGGCTGAGGACGCGCATGCAGTTAATATTGACGGGAATGCCGAAGGTAATACGCTGGTGGAGACGCTCATTCGGTTGAATAACCTGCAAGATAACCTGGAGCAGGTCGGCTACTATGGAAAGGAGCTTTGGGACGAAGTACTCGCTGTCTGGAACGTGTTAGCAAAAGCTGTGAATGAGCGCGCGAAAATGGACGGGGAAGGGCAGAGCGAGGAAGGTGAAGGAGATGAGGAATGAACTTGTCAGACAGGCTGAAAACACACTCGTGGTGCTGGTCACTTAATGGACTTCTTTGTTGTACAATGTTATCATGTATTGCCCTCGTCTTGCTTTGTATGGAGTTTTCTGATGTGTTCTACTTCCAACGTCCTTTCTTTTTTCTATAAGGCTAAGCTTAGGAGAGGATAAGAAAAAGAGAAGTTGGTACGGGGATGGAAAGCCGGAGCATCTTCCGAAGTACCTCCTTCTATATTTGGAAAGTATAGTAGTCGACCGCCGATCACATAGTACTCCAGTAGCAGGAACACAGAGGGAGAGGCGTTCGAGAAGGGCACGAGTGGGCGCGGGTGAATGGGCGTCTGGTTGTGGGTAGAAGGTACTGTTGGACTCGAGAAGAGTGAGCTCAGGGATAACGGGACGCGGCATAGTGGACGATGGGCTGAAGAAGATGGTACGAGGAAACCTGGACGGGATACCTTGGGGATGATTCTGACAAGAACCAAGTATCATCATTAGCTTTACATATGGACAATCTATTAGCCCTACTTTTTCAGGGGCATGTTCAAGGAATTATGCTCAAGATAACGATGACCAAACCGATGAAATTTACTAGAGATGAAAGGCGATCTAATCATCCCAAACACATAAAATATATAGCTCCGTACTAGCTCAAGCTACACTACATACAACAGTACCTGATTACCCAGATACGTACATTCAAATTTATACACAAAATGACATTATGACTACAATACAATACATTGATACGAGTCTGAATTATAATGAGGAGAGGTGATGAGTGACTAACGCAATCAGAAACTGATTGTCATACTCCCTAAATATCGAGAGGATGACAGTAAGGTATAGTAAACATCAGGGATGACCCCAAGCAACATTGGCGCCACGAGGTGCACACAGCCAACGAAGCTGATCACCGCGTATAAGGCGATGACATGGGCAAACTTTGTATGTTTTGTGTCTTGGTCCTTGTAAGTCTATAGCAACCAGGGGCTTAGCATAGTGTCCACGAATTTCACATGACAAAGTAAACATAACCACATACTCATCGAAATGGGTGCCTCGTTTAGGGTCCGCCCTTCTCTTGGCAACCACTTTCTTCACATTTCGCTCTGGTCTCACCACGATGATGGGAACAGGAGAGTGAGATAAGCAGTACTTTGATACACTACCAACCCCAGGGGCACCAAAAGCTGCACCCCAAGCCTGTATCATGCCACGCTGACCCCGCGTGCCGACGACCACGGAGTCTGGTCTATAGAGCGCTATCAAGCGGTCGATCGTCGTGGTAACCTTGCCAGCGATTATTTCGACTATGATAGAGAGCTAGTAAAGATAAAATCAGTTTGGAAAGATAAAGGGAAAGCCAGTGGCATACCTTGCGATCCGGATCGTACTCTACACACTTCTCTTGAATTCGGCGCATGAGCTCGCGTGCTTCGTCACGTACAACTTCATGGTCTTTCTCTGTAGCAAATATGAGTACGGGTGGGAAAGAGAGAATGAATATCATAACCTAAATCCTCTGCGTCAACGCCTCTGAAAACAATGAGTTCATCGCCATCTTGTACCAACGATTCCAACGACCAGTCTAATGCCTGACGACCACTTTCATCCGGGCTAGATGCACAAAGGAAGACTCTAGTAGCTCTATTTCTGGCGTAACCATCAGATTGGACATGTAGTGTGAACGAAAACATGGAGGCAGCAGGGTTTTCAAAGGTATCGAATGACACCTTTGGTGTATATCCCTGTGCTGCGACTGTGGTTGTTGTCGGTAAGGCTGTGGATACTGAGGGAGAACGCGATATTGATGGAGTGGAGGTCCCTGTTGAGTTCATGGTTGGAGGAAGGGACGATGCTGGGGGTGGGAGGGCAAGTGGTGAGGGGCGGAGTGCAGGGGACAGGGATGGGGAGGAGGGGGCAGGGGAGGGAATGGAAGGAGAACTAGAGCGAGAATGCTGCTTGAGTGCAGAGCGTAGGGTTAGCGGAATATGAGTGTGCTGCTCAGACGACATGACGATGGCACAGAACACTCTCAGCTCAGGTTAGGGTTTCCAATGTATCTCTCTGCGGAGATCGAATCTCTCAGGTCATTCCTCTACGCGAATTCCCCCACCTCCAAGTTCTCATGTCTGCATCCCCAGCCCATACGAAAGTTGCAGACGGCGCTGCAGAATCACCACACCCAGAGTCGCCTGCAGAACACACCCCCTCCACAACGGACTCGACGGATAATACCCCGGAGCAGCCTCAGCCATCAACCGAACCAGAGGCATCAACCTCAACTACAGCGGATGCCTCTTCTACACCGGCAGCAGCAGGCACTTGGCAGGCTGTCTGGTCACCTCAGCACAACGCGTATTACTTCTATAATTCTGTAACGCAAGAAACAACATGGACAAACCCGCTTGAAGCCGCTGCTGTCGGCGCTCCTACTGGTACAGCGTCTCCAGACCCTTCTTCTGCTTCTCCACACGCAGGTACTTCTGCCGCCGCTTCCCACTATGCTACTCTTCAAGCAAATGCAATGGCTCAGGGCATCGATCCATCCCTTGCCCATCTCGACCCTACGCTAGCCTCATCATCTGCAGTCCCTGCCAACTTCACTTATTCAGCCAAGTTCAATGCTAGAACTGGTACTTTCGCAAAGGTAGACGCTCGTGACCCTTCGCATTTATCTGAATTCGAAAGGGCCAAGCGTATGAGTGAATTTTATTTCGACGTGGGGGCTTGGGAAAAGGAGGTAGAAGAACGGAAAGAAGCTGAAGAGCACGGAGAGGGGAGGAAGAGGAAGAGGCCGACTAAGAAGGATCTGGTGAGTATCTTCATATCAGTTGTGTCGGTTTGGCCTTGACGTTCTTGTCATAGGAACGTTTCAAGGAGCAGAAGAAACAGAAGAAGATAGCGAAAACTGCGTGGCTTCGTACATAGATATATCACCGTATAAACAACGCGACCTTGGCAATCAAATATCATTGTGTATCTTTGCTTCACGTTGTTGAGTTTCCCTAAGACTGATTATTCAAAGTCGTGGCGACACTATACCGGTTGAGAGACAGGGATTCAAATCAAAATCTCATTACTTTTGTAGACCAACAGCGTGATGAACTGCGGCGATTGTACACGACTGTTTCTTTCATAAGAAGGAACAAACATTGCTTGGATTACCCAACGTTATAATCAACTTCAGAACATTATGCTTTGCAGTAGTGGGAGCTTGGGCACAGAACTTGAAGGAAATATGTACCGAGGGTGTTGAAAGGAAAGTCTGATAAGATGAGGGTCGAGTGCTTGCTATGATGAGCACTATCTCAATCACTAGATATGGGCCCTTGGCACAGTTGGTAGCGCGCACGCTTCGCATCGTTATGGATAGATTGCGTGAGGTCGTGGGTTCAACTCCCACAGTGTCCAAATATTTTTTTGCAGTTACCACAGATATCTTCGATCTACATTCAACGGCTTTGATTCTTGTCCTAGATTATGCACCAAGGCTCTTCCAGCGAATCGTTACTTCTATCTATGCGATGTGCGATATGTAGGTTCACTGGTATGCTTGTCATATCTTTCTCGACCTCATCAGGGGGAAATTCCTGATAAGGAACTGCCAGGAGGACTTGATGAGTTGGAAAGACAGGGGTACGGGCACTTGGCACAGTTGGTAGCGCGCACGCTTCGCACCGTTGACTGCGTGAGGTCGTGGGTTCAACTCCCACAGTGTCCATGTTGATGTTTTTTTTTTTCAAAGTTGTGCGTAGGGGATTGTTTCATTTTCTTTACACTCCTCGCCACATAATCATCTCTCAAATCATGCCTGCGCGGCGTGCAATATATGGTGTGTAATAGTCTATATAGACAGCTGTAACATGTACGGTATACAAAATCTTCTTCAGATATTCAGAACTTCGCGTTAGATGGTCTAAATTGTGGCAAGCAAAGAAGTATTTGTTATTATGTTGAAAATACACCGACGATCTTGAAAGAGGGTACACTCTGCCCTTCTTCCCCCAATAGCTGACACTCCACGAAATGTGGTCCTCTAGAGACATAATGATCAATGATCTCCAGCCTAAAACCAAAGCTTATGAGCAACCCCTGATAACGAGAGAGCAAGTCAAGAATAAGAACATACGCTGGTGTAGCATCATTGATATCGGCTGCATTCTCAATAATTTTTGATCCACTGTAGTTATCATCAACCCAACACTCGATATAACTGCCTTCACCTATCTCGCTACTAGGCTCTTTGAGGTAATATATCCCGATATCGCCCGCTCCCACACGTACGGGTATCCTGAGCTTGCTCAACGGCAACGAAGAGTGCCAGTAGTGCGCCGTTGTCAATAACGCGGACGAGCCCGCCGGTGGGTGGTGTGCGTACCAGCCGGAGCCGTAGAACAGCGATGGAGGGACGGGGTTGACGAGGTCGTTGGCAGAAGCGCAGAATGGAGCTATTTCTCGGAAAAGTCTGTCGGATTTGGGACGAGTGCTGATGCGGTTGGGAGGGATGCGTAATTGGGGGGACATTGCATGGGAATCGACGGGTGTTAGCTGTTTTTTGGCGTCGTCTGCTGGTTTTTGAGGCTCGGGGACGGCAGCACCTTTCCGCACGCCAACGCCTCCAAAAAGATGAGTGTCAGCCCCTGGATCAGACGCAAGTGCTGGTGAAGTTTCGTGAGAGTAGCCACCAACTGTGGCCCAGGCTGAGCATATCTGTGACTGGAAGTAGGATATCAGGACGTCTGCGATCACTTCGTGACCTTGGGTATTAGCAAGAACGGCGTCAGCATAGTATTTCTTGATAGAATCGGGATTGGACATGTAATCCGGGTATAGTATGGGTTTGATGCTGGATGTGGTTTGAAGAATTTAGTACTGAGATGGGGCCGTCGACGGGATGCAGTTACCTGACATGAGGGACGTCGTAAAACTGGGCAACTACACTGTGCCAATGATCTGGTCCAGCAAACCCGTGGGTCTGATGCACCTGAGGGCTAAAGTGTCCCATGATAACGACGGCTGGCTGGTCAGGTCGGTCGAGTACAGAGCGCACGAGAATCTCAAAGTTGTCGAGAGTTGAAGGGTCACTTTTTATACACGGAATCAGCTCTAACTATTCGCTCAAAAAGCAGGACGTTTCCCACTTACGCGGGGTCGTCTGCGTCAAATTCTAGGACGACGAGGTCTGTATCGTCGGGTATGTGGTGACCACTGCAGAAACCAAAGTAGCCGGAGTTTGTACGACGCATGGCACCGTTTGTGAGTTCTGATGCTGGATGAGGGAAAACTGTATTCCACCACTGGAAGAATCTCGAAGGATAACAATTAGGAGCGAGAGGGTCGTCGCCTGCACCATGACAAGCGGAAACTGTCGGAGTGAAAGATATCAGAAAGACGCACAGTCGACTGTCTCGCAGAGTAGGATGCAAGAACGCATTGATGAACGCCGCAGGGGTATTCACACTCACCAGATCCACCCAGAACGCTCATAACCACTGGCTGACCTAGGAGTGCTTTATGGATAACTCGGTGTAATCGTGCACCGCTTCCTAGATGCAATCTGCTCTGCGACAAGGGTATAGCGCCATACTTCTCTGCGAGCTCGTCACCAGGACCAAAGACTGGACAGAATTCAAAAGGATTGTGATCCGTCTCGTTAAGGTAGTTCTTCGGTTCGAGATGTGTGCTAATGAAGACACGCCTAGGAGGAGGCTGAGAAGGCAAGGCGTAGTGGGTGAAAGCAATGATGCAGAGGAAAACGAAGACAATGATCCATATTCGATTTGTGACCCCCAAGTACTTCTGGTTCAGGCGAGACCTCTTCTCAGAATCGGAGCCCATGCCAGCAGAGCCGTGTTGAATGGGAGGAGAAATATGAGCCAGTGGTTTGCCTGCGCGTCGTCGTTGCATATACAAGGCGATGCGAAGACCCCCTAGGAAGTAAGGAAAGCAATGGTGGTGGTGGAGAAAGGAAAGCTGTAGGGTGCACCAAATTCACTGAAAGGCCCACTTCGCCGTCGGCAAGAAGGCTTATCCGCGTCGACCTCGTTTTTTCGCTGGGTGTGTGTAAGGTTAGGGTTGTGTTTTCTGTCCTCCGTTCCTGGTGCTGTTGCTCTATACTCGGCTGGCCATATCCTCCCTATCATGAACCTGAGGTCCTTCACTGTCCTCTGGATGCAGTTCAGGCGCGTCCCCACTCCCCTCGCCCTCATACTCGGCATTCTCCTTGGTCTCCTCATCGGACGCGAGTTTCCCACTGGTGTGAGTCTGTCGTTGTCCATCTGTTCTCCACCCTCATTCTCTGTGGATTCAGGTTCTGTCGTCTGCATGGCGTGGTGTCAATGGCCCCATATTCGTCTCGCGCCTCTCTGCTCGAAAACCGGTCACTCTCCCATCCATCGACCAGCGTCTACGAGTCCTCGAACTTCTCTCCACGTTGTCCCCTCACCACACCAAAGAATGTACCCGGGACTCTCAGCCCGTCTACATCCAGCAAGTGAGAGACCGCTATATGTCACTGGTCGGACACAACAAGCCCTCTCAGTCTTCCTGGCTAACTAACTGGGGCTTGGACTTGGGCAGTGAAGAACACCACCAGGTCACCCCAACCAAAGAGCACAAGTACTTCTTCGCCATCAATCTTTACAACTCTTTCGATATCATACCCGACTTATTTGCTACTCTCTTCCGCGTTTCAGCCATCCTTGGATATCACAATGTTTATGTCTCTATATATGAGAATGGCTCCACAGACCAGACCAAGGCTCTCTTGCGCATATTTGACGCGCTCACTCGAAGCGTCGGTCTCCGCGTGACCATTCGTACTTCCACTCGTACCAGAGGTGCTTTCAACCACCGTATCGAATACTTGGCCGAAGTACGAAACCAGGCCTTCAACCCCCTTCACGAGCTCCGGGACGCGACAAATGAATATTTCGATACGATTATCTTTATGAACGATATTTTACCTTGCGTTGACGACCTCCTAGAGCTTATCTGGCAAAGCAGAACAAATAATGCAGGTATCACGTGCGCTGCTGATTATATGTATCATGATGAAATCGTAAGTCTCTCACGTCGAAATATCACTGCGTAGACCACTCTATTCATTTGGACTTGATAGGCCTCTCCCGTCTTCTACGATAACTGGGTTGCTAGGGACATAAACGGCACTGCTCTTGAAAATGCTCCATTTGAAAACATATTCCACGACCCTGCTTCTTCGGAACGATTCCAACAACACTTACCAGTCCAAGTTCAGTCCTGCTGGAACGGTATAGCCGTACTCGATCCTGCACCCTTTTACACACCGCCATACGTCCGTTTCCGAATGGCGAAACTCATGGAAGAGGAGTGCTCTGCGTCAGAGTGCAGTCTAATCTGTAACGACTATTGGGAGGCTGGCTATGGGAGGATTTTGATGGTTCCTCGAGTAAAACTGGCCTATGACAAGGTTCGTAATACCGTAACACTATCTTCTAGCGGTCGATGCTCACTAATGCGTTTACGCTTTGTAGAAAGTCTTTGACATAATCCATCCCTCTCGCCGGAACTTAACGGCTATCCGTGGTTACGTCCGACTGGGAGGATTGCCAGACAACCCACGGACGGATCCTCAGGATCGTTCATGGTTTGGTCCTCATGACCGTCTCTTCGCCGAAGAAGAAGGTGAAGCGTTGGACTTTGTCCCAGGTCCCGAATACGGTGAGTGTCTCCTAGATCAGTATGAGAATAGCCCTTTTGACTTATCATTTGTTCTCAGTTTGGTGCTGGGGTTGGGACGGCGCCGGTGACATTGACGGTCCAGACGTCGATCCTATATGGGAAAGAATGCCAAACAGGTCTATTGGAATGGAAGCAGTTCGCATCAAACACGACAGAAGCATATTGTGGGGATAATTTAGCGTTGGATAGTCCACGGCACACTTGCACTATCTCTACGCACAGGCGAGATGCGATATACGTTAAAACTTACTGTAACATGCCAGACGATACCCTAACGGGCATAGGTTATGGTTCCCGTCAAAAATACTTCACCTATGTGAGTACTGACGTTGGATAGTAGGAACGTTAGGAGAATAGCCTCATCACGATGTCCATGTTGCGATATGATATTCAGAACGATCAATATAGATTTTGAGTGCTTTTGATTGCTCGGCATGGCATATAAGATTGTTGATGCATGGCAGGCATGAGGAAAAAACAACTACATGAGCCCCCACCGCAGACCTCCTTCCCCCAGCGTGTACGAGAAACTCTTTACTCCGCATCCACAACGGTGGTTTGAAGACCCTGTGATCCGTGCGTGAGTGTTTATGCTATACACTAAAATATCTGCATACCTTGAAAGTCGTAACAGGAACATGGCTGGCGTATGTGAAGAGCTTCTCCTTAGCGTTCTCTTCATCATTTCGCTTACCTGGTTTGCGAAAGGGATAAAGCAAATAAGCTTCTATTGCTATACCGATGCATATGACTCACGCTCAAGTTTTACACGTATCCGGTGGGGAACAGACTTGATACCCTGGGCCCACAGTGCTTGGTTCAATTTAGGGTCCAACCGCACGTCAGTGGTGCCCATAGACTTGCGAGCGAAATCAACAACAGATTTTACAGCCCAGGGAGCTCGCTTTTTGAAAGAACGTCCGTGCACAAGCTTGTGCAGATGGATGGTGTACTCCCGCGTAACAACATCTGAGAGAGCGGAGCGCGTCTTACCGCCAGTCTAGATTGCAGCGATAGATAGGTGATTGTTCAGAATGCTATCGATCTCCACAGGATGAATGCACAGGATTATCACCTTTTTCGTGGTCTTTGTGGCCTAAGGAGTAGCTGACATTAGCCTTTTCATTCATTGTCCAGTGGGACATAAGTACGTACCATGTCTTGAGGATGTCGAGGTCGGTGAGCAAATTCTTTGGCCTACAGTACAGATTCCAGTTACCGCTTTGGTTCTGTTTGGTTACACGCCACAAACAGAGTACAGTTTGGTGGCTGGGTGGTGCTGTATATCTCTTCGGCATGTTCCGAGTGCCTGACCTCCTGGTGCCGCGGGAGTATTTCGTGCGAACGACCCATTGATTACCCAATTTGGTAGTGCTAACGGCTTTGTTCTTTTCGTTCCTCGCTTTTACCGAGGTTCCCAGCGAGTTGCATTGATTGGAATTCCCTTTGTCGTCGTTGCCATTATTCGTTACATCGCTCGCGTGGTACACATAATGTGAATCTGCACCGCAGTCTAGGCCTACAACATAGAACAGGGCAGAGATGGGAAGTGCGCTGTATAATTGCGGAACAAAGGCGTTCAACAACATACACCTATTATTGCTCCCTTGATTGCCACGTCGAGCCTTTGTTTGCAACTATTCACAGTGTCGGGTGAGAGTATAAAGACCGTTGTTACCCTTCTTCGACTCCATACTCCTCGAATTTCTTCGCTCTTTGCACTCGCTTTTCAGCACCACTTCATTTGCTGCTTTACCTTTTTACCCTACCCGACACCACAATGCGCTTCACTCTCGCTCTCCTCGCCTTTGGTGCTTTCAGCACTGCTTCCGCTGGACTCGTTTCTCGCCAGGCTTCTCTACCCAGTACGTTTCACCGGCAGGTACCGTTACAAAGGCTGATGTTGTATCGTCCCATTGCTCAGATTGTGCCGTGGCTTGTCTCATCGATGCCAACTTTGGCAGTTGTAGCTCGCAAGACGACGCTTGTTTGTGTAATGACTCTGCATTCGTCCAGAGTTCCACTTCCTGCATCCAAAGCTCTTGCACTGGTAGTGATCTGACCAACGCTGAGGCTGCTGCCCAGGAGATGTGTGCGGCCGTTGTACGTCTCCCTTTTTCTGTCTACCCTCGCGCTAGTGTTCACGTTCTTTGCAGGGCGTCACCCTCGCTACTGCTTCCGCTACTACCACATCTCCCACCACTACTGCATCTTCTACTACCTCACCATCGTGCGTGTGTTTCCCGTCTATGTAGCTCTCTACGGGTGCTGATGATCTATATTTGTAGGCCTTCGGCTTCGAGCAATGGCGCAACTTCTCATGGCATCAGCATCTTGGCTGGTTCAGCTGCTTTCGCTGTTCTCGCTGCTTCATTTTGATTTGAGCCATATCGGATGACTTCTTTTGCACCCCGGTCGCGAAGCCGATGGGGTTGTCTTTTCGAAGACTCACTCGACATTCGCTTTATTTAATAGTGTCGTTTTCACGGGTTTACATTACTCTGCGGTCTTGCATGGAACTAGAGGTCTATTAGTTGCAATGTATCAATAACTTCGTATTTCTTTTCCAATGGAACAATTTTACTTTGTCTTGTAATTGACATATTGGTCCTGTGGTATTGCCGAGGGCTTTGCTTACGATCTGAGATGGATGGCGTGGGAGATTTAGACAACACCCTTGTGACATAGCCACACCACTGCTTCGACCACCGCAGCTACAGTATAAGGCATTGAGCCCCAACCCTAGTGTCCACCTTTACGACTATCTATTACCTCTAACCTTCACTTTATAATAAAACAGCAACAAAGTAGTAACGATGAACTCAAACAGACGGGCTCCTCCTCTAGGTGCGTACAATCAACATTGTATTTCTAGAAAACACTGAGGAAGAACTCGGATATTTATTACTCCAGGTCAGTAGAGGCACCATCTTTCGCGCTTGCAGTCCATCACAAACTGAATTTACTCACTGATAGGTGCTCCTCCTCCTTATGCGTTTGTGAACCGAGTTTACGGTAGAAGCTTGCGGCCTGTGGTCGTTGCTGGTGAGTTGAATTTCGGTTTGGTTTGTTCAGCGACGCTGAAGCTTTCGCGCAGTCTCTGCAATCGGTGCTCTGTGGACATTGATTTGGTACGTTTGTAACCCTTTTCCCACCACCAATCTATTCATTATTCGCTTCTATCATTCTTAGGGCGGTACGCACATATGTGATCCAACAAAGCCATTGCCACAAGCTCTGATAATCTATCTCTGCAGATTTCCTCCTTCAAAGAACTGAGTGTTGACCAGAATGGTAAGTTATCATGATTTTTTAGCACAGGAATAATGTACGAGCTTCTTGCACAGATCACATTCCAAAACTTGCTACTTTTGCCATTATCCAAGGTGTCTTGCTTCTTGTAGCTTGTGTCATCGAAGTTTTTGGTATAGTCAGTGCGCTTTCGGTGGGTTTTTTCAATTGTCGATCTTATTGTGCCCAAGGCTAAAACCAAATTTGCGTTCAGCAACGGGTAGTGCTCGTTAGGTTTTACGCTCTTCTCTCGGGTTTGAGCACCCTTATTGTCATCGCGGTAGGCTTGATGCGAACTATCATACACTTTACGTTCAAGGTAAGTGCACCGCCATTCATGCATATATATCTAAGAATCATCATGATAATGGCAGAGTGACCTCATGCTTGAATGCCAAGAAGCTGCATCAGGCGGAAGCACTTCGTTCGTAAGTACCGTTTCCCATGTTCTGCACCGCGATCTATCACATATGATACATCTGCTATGTAGAGATTCGGCATTTGGGGCACATCTTCAGACGGTCTTAATGGCGAAAATGCTGAACAGTGTGAGTTCGAGTCGCTTGTGGACAGGCCTACTGACTGACAGATGCCAACAGTTTGTACAAGTGCTTATAACCGTGATACGGCGACGGAGATTGTTTCGGTAATAATAGAGATTAGTGAGTGCCGTATTTGGATTGACCTCAACCTCCTTTTTCATCAGTTACTCGGTACAGTCCTTGGTCTCCTGTTTACAGCAATTGCGTTCGCATATTTCCGTCAACTGCTAGATCCATCCAGTCCCGCAAATGCGTCTCGCGCTCCCTCGAGCCAAGCAAGACTGGACAACTATCCGTCACACTATAATCCACCTTACAACGCATCGTCGTCAAATCTCGGATATGCTCCAGCCTACGGGAACGTCTACGCACCACCCCCAGGTGCTCCACCGCAGTTCGATGCTGAAGCTGGCAAACCACCTGCTTATGCATACGGAGGAGGAAGCCAATATGACGACTTTGGCGGTGACAAGGATGGCAAGGAAGATCCATTCTCGGACTTCGACGGACCCAGTGTGCCTCGTCCGCTACACTTCGCGGAGGAAAGGGATGTTACGAGCAGACAGTAGTCTCATATGAGCATTTTTCTTGGGCTAGAATAAGGTTGTGGACGTTAGCTTGGGAGATTCTCTGGGAGAATCTGTCTCTTCTTCTAGCTATGTTGCTGCTTTTTACGATAGGACACTCTTAAATATGCCTGTACTTGTAGTGATGACGATGATTTGATCTTCTCATGAATGGGCAACCACATACAACCTTTCACCAGAAAGCAGTACCGCATATCGACCTCATCGGTCATTGTTTGGCAGACGGCCATGTACATGGATGCAATGAAGAAAAGATAGTAGAAAGCGCATGACATCAGCCATAAAGAGATATATCATATCGCATCGTGATCACCCCCGCTAGTAGTTTTACTTCCGGCCACCCGTCTTTGCTTGGGACTTGATCACCCTCTTCACGATTTTGGCTTCCTCTACCAAGAATGCCCGGAGGATTCTACATGTTTTCAAATGATTGAGTGAGGAGATAACGAGTAATGTGATAAAATCGTACCGGGACTTCACACAGTCACCGCACCGCGAACCACCATATGCGCGGCGAACGGTCTTTTGGCGCTTGGAAATGGTAGCATATTGACGAGGACGAAGGGCAGGTACCTATAAGGACATGAATGATGGGTGCATAAGCCTCCCTGATCTAGCGGCAATGTCACGATACATACACCCGGCAGACCAACTCCACAGTCACCGCATTTAGGCTGCGTAGCAAGTTTTTTGAGATGGTGGTAAACAAGCTTGCCACCGGGCGTTTTGACGACACGTCGGCGGTTCGATGTGGTGTTGTAGGGTTGACGTTTGCGGAGAGTGACACGTTGAGCCATTGGAAAAGCTAAGAGGGAAAGATGAACAGTCAGTTATTGTCCTTCAAACGTCCTATCCTCCATCTCTGCTGCTCCTTCCACCTTATCCATCTCTCGATAGCCTCCTGCACCAGAATCGTATCTTTTCCCTCCTTACTCTTCGCTTCTTCTTCGTGCATCCATTACCCCACACCTTTATAGACAGATGGCACGGAAATTCGAACTCACATCGATTGATATACCTATTCAAGACAAAACATTGTTAGAACTACTTCATAAGTGATAAACTGTAGGAGCATACCTTGAGTCTTGAGGTCGTTGAGGCCGGCGCCGATGCTATATTGGGTATCGTACAGGGCAAGATTGGTGTGGCTTGAATGAACTGTGCAGTGTCTCGGCAGTAGCCGATGCCGGGAATGGCCGAAATCAGTCTAATACAGTGTCTCACCAAGACGTCATGACGGTGGTCAGTTGGACTGAATATACCCTTGATTTAATGTCAGAGGGCTGCTTCTCTGAGTTCACAGTATGTTTAATGTGAGGAAGTCGACGAGGAAGTGGTACGATTGATATTATATGATATGTATGACATTTCTGGGATTTCTAACCAGCGTATCATGGTCAACATAGTCTCCCGCAGAAAAGATGAAGGAAGGCAGTCATTCCGTAAAAATAATGTGGTCGATATACCACGATGCAAACAAAGCGTCATCATTCTATTCGCCTTTCGTTGAATAAGCAAGCAAAGTGTCGCTTATCCCATCCCTCGCTCGCTCGCCATACTTCCATTGTAGGGGTTCACGCAAACCTTCTAGTCTTCACCATCCTCTTTGTCACGCAAACGTCCTACCTTTTCATCGACCTTGAGGTGAAAGTGATTGATCGGCCACAGCACAAAGTCATGGAAGCGTTGACAGCGAACCCTGTATTAAGATATCTACGGGGGTAGCGCTTTTACAGGGATGGTGGGGAGGATGGATGAGGCACCGGTGCTTCGAGTATAGTTTTGAAGGGACCGAGATAAAGAAAACATTTCAGAATATAACAAACAAAGGCTTTCTGTGAGTGAGCTCCTGGGATGACCAGTATTTCCATGGATTTTCTAACCAGGCCCGACCAGAAATATAGCGAAGCGTTTCTGTTCACTCTTTTTGTTTCTCTGTTATTCCATACCATCATCGTCCTGTTTGGTGCTCCGATATCCAGGTGAGCTGTCCACCTACTTGAACCCTTGACATCTGAGGGTATTGATACAATAGGTCATAGCTACCCTTTTCACACCTGCTGGCCTGTATCGTTCCCTTTCTGACGGTGTTCACGCCCACATTGACTTTAGGGCACCCCTCTCCAGACACGAAGGCTTTGAATAATAGGGACATGGATCCTCATGACTAAAACATGTTCCGTTTGCTACAGTGGTCATGGTACAGTCTCTGCTTTGATCAACTACACGAAGTGTCAATTGACCTTCCGAATCTGGTAGCCGAAAACATTGATGTAACACAGTTGGCACCGGATTCGTAACGTACAGACCGCCCATCCTACGCCCATCCGATCGTGACGTGCGTTCGCATCAGCGAGTTCTGACTGATTTAAATCTACCATGAATTCAAAAATTGCTTTTGATGGCAACTGGAATCACTGTCTTCCTTCCTATCCTGATCCCAAGGTTCTCTGTCACCACAAACGACCACACTTTCGTGCATATCTAGTTGCTCGCTCCTCTTTCGTCACTGTCACTTTACGGTCCCTTTCCAACGAGCAGAATGTCTTCTCCCACTGAAACTATCCCTCCTTTCGGCCAGATGAATCTAACCTGCATGTGGCTGGAAACAATTTTATATGGTATGTACTTAGATATTGCTGAGCAATCGCGGAACAACTGACCTTTCTACTATCCATACACCAAAAATCCCAGGTATCAAGTGAGTTTATTCCCATTCAAGGTATTTTCAACTGTTAACAGCATTCTTCCGATGTGAAATAGCCTTGTATTATATGGCGGATGCGTGCACGTCTTGGTGGGGAAACGTGTTGGTGCTCATAAGTAAGAGCAATATTTCGGATTGACTTGTACTGAGTCTGAAGTCGTGGTCTCTAGGATTCTATTAGCCGCTTCGACATTGTCAATCTTAATAGCCACTGGGCATGTCATCATTTCATTTTTGCAATTGCTTCACGCATTCACAGATCCAGCCATCCTGGCTATTCCCAATGGACCTGACATTTACTTGGGCACGAACACTCTACAGTTTGTCAATGGAAGCCTTTACATCTCCAATGTGTGTTTCCTTTCCCCACGAATAGTAAACAAACTGATTCTTTCTCTAGCTTTGCCTTCAAGATTACCTCTTGGTATCAATCATCATATGGTCGCTCTGAATAATTTTACTAAAGTGTTGAACAGATATGGAGATTCTACGTTGTTTGGAATTTCAATTGGAAGTTTTGCATTTTCCCAGTATGTGGGTTGATATGCATGAAAGAATGTACCTGACATTGCGTCCTAGGTTTTGTTTCAGACTATACAATTTGGTAAGTACTATAATCATCTATCCCTGCTTTTTTTGCGGACCTATTTTTGGTAGCCGTTGCAATCACTGCCGACGCACACCTTTTCGGGCCAGGCGCAAGTATTCTGTCGCCCGGTGTCTTCCCCTTGGCTATGACAGGCTGGTCGATGGATTCTTTCATCAATGTTTTCGCAACATGTGGGATCGCGTACCGACTCTGGAAGGCAGGAAGGAAATCCTACGAATTCGGCGGGCGATATACGTACAAGTCCACCATGTTCATGATGATAGAATCAGGTATCCTCGCTGCACTATGCAGCATCATCTTGCTCTGTCTTTTGGCACGCGGAAACGTTGCAGGAAATGTGGGAACCAATTTTCACACACAACTCGCCGTGAGCATCTTTCGTGACAGACGTCCTACTTCTGTTTTCCTGACTTAGACCATTTCCGTTGTGAAACAGTCGACTATTCCTTTCCTCATTATTGTGCGAGTTGGATATGGTCTCCAACATGGAAAAGACGTTCGTACCACCACGTTCACCAGAGGTACCACGACATTGCCGAGGTTCTATACCCCTCCACAGGTCGACAACACTAACATTGAGTTCTCTTCCACCGGTACTGGAAATTTAGAGATTATGGCCTACAACGCAGACAAAAGGGAAAGTGTAATAATGTTAACTGACCAAAGTACTGAAGGCTGACTCATGACAGTAATGTTCAAGATTTAACTAGTCACGAGTATATATGATTAACACGAAGTTATACAGTTGCGTTCCTGTAGACATAAAAACGTATAGTTGATCTTAGTGAATACATAAATATTTGTAGTAGTCCACTTGTAGTCCAGCAAGCCATAAGTGAACAAAACCGGCCCTACATGAACTGCGACGAGGAAATCCAGAAATCAATTCTAGTCACCTCTGGGACCAGGAATGCCCGCCCGGAAAGCAAAACTTGCAAAAGCTCCTGCCAGCCAACCAGTACCACACTCAAAAGATGTATCTCTTCAACTTGAAGCCCGTTTCTTTCCCCTCGCTCGCTATACATCCATTGTAGGGGTTCACGCAAGCCTCCTGGTCTTCACCGTCCTCTTTGTCCCGCAAACGTCCTACCTTTTCATCGACCTTGAGGTGAAAGTAACCGATCGGCCACAACACATACTCTTGGAAGCATTGACAGCGAACCCTGTATTAACGCTTGCGTGGATATGTGCAGGAGTGGCGGTGTTGCAGGGATGGTGGGGAGGATGGATGAGGCACTGGTGCTTCGAGTATAGTTTTGAAGGAACCGAGATCGAGAAGACATTTCAGAGACAGGAATTCAACAAACAAAGGCTTTCTGTGAGTGAGCTCCTGGGATGACTATTTCCATGAACTTTCTAACCGAAGCTGGACCAGAAATATGGCGAAGCGTTTCTGTTCACTCTTTTTGTTTCACTGTTATTCCATATCATCATCGTTCTGTTTGGTGCCCCCATATTCAGGTGAGCTGTCCACTTCAATCCTTGGCGTCTTGGGGGTATTAATACGATAGGTCACAGCTATTCTTTGCACACCTACCTGCTGGCCTGCATCGTTTCCTTTCTGACGGTGTTCACGCCCACATTGACTTTAGGGTACCCCTCACTTGGTCCAGACACGAAAGCTTTGATAAATAGGCTGACATGGATCAGATTGTTTGCTGAGCTATCGTGAGTTTCTCACTCGCAGAGCCATATATGATTGTTCATCGCTTTCTCCGTTTCTTCTAGACCCCGGAATCCTATGGAAAGGGCTATGGTATATCCAGCTGTCGGGAGTATGCTTGGATGCTGGTCTGGTGCCATTCCCATTGCTCTCGACTGGGATCGGCCGTGGCAGGTTGGTTTTGATATGTTGGAGCGTTTCTTTGCACCCATCCTCATCACTTTCTTCTCGTCAGGCTTGGCCATTGACACCGCTGTTCGGTGGTATAATGGGTCACATCCTAGGCTCGTTCTTGGCTCTTGCCGTCAGCTTAGTGCAGTGGCTTGCACAGGAACATATCAATTCACAAAAACCTCCAAAAGAGAAAACTATTTGATGCCGCTACTCCTATTCGGACATTTATACCAGTCTAAATTCTACAGATATACTTCTTCTATTGGATATCATCTCTAGAACTACGGGCTTCCGGCTGCACGAAGGTCACCTATGGATTGTGTGACGTAGTCTGGCACAATACTAGATGCATTAGGACCTGTGATGTCCTTTTCTGATGTTATACCTGATGGTATTGTTCAGAGACAAAGGTTACGACGAAGCGGTGTGAATTTCATACCGGTAAGTACCAATAATGTCGATAGTCCTCCGCCCTGTCCAAATAATATATCGGTGTTCAAGCGGTCTCCCACCATGATGGTACGTTTGGGATCGAAATTTACCCTTGCAATACGATCATTGAGTTAAGACGAATCATTTGAAGTCTTTGAAACTGACTTGGCCTTGATACAATCCAGCATAGTAGTTGCAGGCTTGCCTATACTTATTGGATCTCTGTCTAGAGCAAAGCGCAAAGGTGCACTGATTGCGCCTGCTCCAGGCAACAACCCATCGGCACTGGGATATGTACTATCTTCGTTTGTGACTAGAAATTGACAGCCGGGGTTCCGGGTAAGGTACTGGAATGCTTTCGATATCTTCGTATAGTTGACATGAACGTCGAGTCCACACAGCACAGCGCCTACGGTGGGATCGAGGGTGAAGTTTGCCAAGGAGAACGGTTCGACTGTACAGTCAGCGGGGTCCTAGTAGAGTTTGGTAAGTGATAAGATTGAATGGTGGGCTGATCGACTGACGGTTCCGCCTATGAATGATACACCTTCCTCTCGCAGTTCTTCTTCGATACCTGACATACCGATCACATATACCTTCTTATCTTTCGGTAGCTTCATCACAGATGAGATATAGACGGCAGACGCATAGGCAGATCCGAATATTTCATCCTTCATAGAGGTATTTGTACTTGCGATTATGGACTGAAGAGACGGGGAATTGGCATACCACAGAAGCTACGACGCCCAGTTGATCGAATTTGCCCTTGTAGCTCTTGCGGGACTTGCTTGCGTTGTTAGTTACAAACAGTATCGTCTTTTCTTGAATTCGAAAAGAGATGTCAAGTCAGTGAAGTATACCTAACAGACTATAGTTCTGGACATACTTCGACTTCTGAGAATGTGCAGCATATCGATAGCACCATCAATCAGGCGATCTCCGTGCCATAGCACTCCATCGCAATCAAACATCCAAGTATCGTACTTGTCTATGAGAGCATCATATTGCTCTGGGGACGATAATCGTATACTCATGAGCAGGCGGAGGATGTAGGTAAAGACACGAGAGTCGATAGTAGCGGTTGCGGCCCGGTTAGAGCTGTACTGTACCGTGACCTCGCCACGCTGTCACATCATGTGATGTTATTGGTCACAATTCAAGCTTTTCAGGTCGCCATGCTCACTCCCGACCGTGACATATTGTTATGCTAATGTTTCTGCCAGTGTAACCTGCAACACTTACGCATGCCTGCTACAGTCATTACCAAATGCACTGTCTTACCCGCCCCAGCCAACTTGCTGGGACACAATAATGTGACTTTGAACTGGCTAGCTACGCTTTTATTTCTTTCCGTTCCTGTACAGGACAAGAAAACATGTTTCTGGCGTGGATATGTCGAGGATTAGACATGTGTGATACTCAATTGGTGGGTGCAGACATCCTTATCAGTCATTCTCTGGATATCATGCTTCTTCCGAATGCCGAACTTATACTACAGGTCTCTTGACAGGTCTTATCACATTTGTACCTTTAATCTTTGGCTGTTTTCTTTGCCTTGTCTTATCGCCTTTGTCTTCGTTCTGTCTTCCCCATCATGGTTGCAGCTTTGCCATCCCGTAGGATACATGGCAGTGTCTGTCCTAACAAACATGAAGAGCCTCTCTTTGACAACACACTCGTGGATACATCACAAGAGCATTCTTTACACCGAGGACTCAAAGCCAGACAAATTTCCATGATAACGGTATGTATCTTCTTATTCTCACTTGCTTTTATTTGACGTCGAAAATTCAACATAGCTCGGTGGTTCCTTGGGCACTGGTCTCATTATTGGATCTGGTACAGCCTTAACTCGAGGAGGTCCACTAGGGCTTTTTGTCGGATACTCATTTATGGGACTCATCTGTTATCTTGTGATGATTTCTTTGGGTGAAATGGGAGCATATCTACCTCACAAGAAAGGATTTGCAGGCTATGCAACGAGATATGTGGATCCTGCCTTCGGATTTGCCCTTGGATGGAACTATCTCTTCAAGTATTTCATCCAGACGACAAATAATGTTAACGCTGCTGGCGCTGTGGTTCAATACTGGACGCTATCCGTTCCTATTGAGGTGTGGATGGGTAACGTCCTTTGTCTGTATCTTCTCCTCACGGCATTAATTGCTTTTCACTTCGTAGTAATCTACATTGCGATTAGTAAGTTCCGCCAAATACTTGCTACCCTTGGTTAACGCGTTGTAGTCTTCTCGGTTAATCTTTTAGGCATTCGTTTCTTTGGAGAGTTTGAGTTCTGGTCTTGCAGCATCAAAGTTATAGCTCTTGTTGGCCTGATTTTGATGGGACTCGTTATTGACCTTGGTGGAAACCCTCAAGGTGACCGCATCGGCTTCAGGTACTGGAGATACCCATATGGTCCTATGGGTACTTACCTCCTCGATCAAGTCCATAATTCACCCCTGTCGATGTTTCTCGGATTCTGGAGCACGCTGACCACCGCTCTATTCTCTTACATTGGCACAGAGTTGATTGGGGTCACTGTAGGCGAAGCCCAAAATCCACGGAAGAACATTCCCAAGGCCATAAGGAGAATGTTCATCCGAATTCTGGTATTCTATGTCGGCGGTACATTTGTCATCAGCTTAACTGTGCCAAGTACAAATAATGTAGGTGCAGTAATAAGCTATGGCTGGAAGCTTATTGAAAGTTGTCTAAAGACACTCTTTGTTGCGAATACTTCCAAAGCAGGTGCTGCGGCTTCGCCTTTTGTTGTAGGTTAGTAATGCTCTATTCTGGTCGATTTACTTCGACGCGTTTTTAACACCGCAACAGCTACCACCATAGTCGGGATAAAAGTTATAAATCATGTTATCAACGCCGTCGTTCTTATATTTGTGCTAAGTGCATCAAATTCTGATTTGTATATTGGTTCGAGAACACTGTATGGCCTCGCTGTGGAGCGAAAGGCACCTCGGATATTTGCCAAAGTTAATCGCATAGGAGTTCCCTGGCCAGCATTGATACTTTGTACTTCAGTATGTTTTTTGACTTTCTTGAATGTTAGTTCTTCAAGCTCCGTAGGTGCGTACATGTTATCGCTCGACATGGTGGAGGTTCATGAGTTATGTAGCGTTTGGTTGGTTTGCAAACTTGATCGCAAGTTTCGGAGCCATAACATGGATGTGTATATCTTACACCCATATGTAAGTCAAAAAAGTGGATTTTCTTCTTTCGCATTGTACATCGCGCCGCTGACTTGGATGATCACGAAGAGCCTTCATGAAAGCTTTGGCTGCCCAAGGGGTGTCTCGTGATACTCTTCCATACAAAGCACCGTTTCAGCCTTATGGTTCCTGGTTTGCGTTAGTATTCACTGGAATTGTACTTCTCTTCAATGGTAACTGTACATCCTTATGTTTGAATGCTCCCATGAACTCTTCTTGTAGGCTTCAGCACCTTCATACCATTTTCGTCCGCTACCTTTCTGACGTAAGTCGTTCCAGAAGATACGTGGGACAGCTTCTCATGTCTACCGTATAGGTCATACATCGCGATCCCGATATTTTTGGTGCTCTGGCTAGGCTACAAGGTTTTCTGCAAGACTAAAACTATCCCCGCGTCACAAGTAGACCTGGTGACTGGTAAGAAAGAGATCGACGAAGAAGAAGAGCGTTTCATAGCTGAGGAAAAGTTGTTGGGTACAAAGTCCGTGATGGGAAGAGTATGGGATGCCTTATGATATGGTTTATCAGCGTAGCGCCGGTGGAAGGTCATAGTAGAAGATTTAAGGTGTGGATTGCACCCTTCCTTCATATTTAATTCCCTTGTGGATGTGATAGATAAATACAGATGGGCCTACAGGCATGTCATTTCTCAAATGTCGTGGAAATCTTTAGCTGGCTTATCTATGCCTCATGTGAAAATCGGTCATTCAAGATCCATGATCCGGTTTTTAATATATAGCCGCCTGGCTGGCGTAAATACCCCATGCGCAAGTAAAGGCCGATTCGGATTGTTTGAGTTTAAAAGAAGATCTATATTTGCTCGTGTAAGCATGGCCTTGTTCACCATCATCTACTTGAACTTGAAAAGGCGTGTATAGACCTCGGCATCGTCCATAATCTGTAGTGACCCATTAAGTCAACAACAAGCGACATGAACGGATTGTTCGAGTTAGTTGGGGCCGTCGAAGGCTGCGGCCAGTTGATTTCATGTCGATGCAAACAGGAAAGCTCTTTGCCAGCATCACATCGTCACGGGATATCCTGACTGATCATTCTGATGGCATAGTAACGATTTACTTCTTTGACGCTGAACAAGCGGGGATCTCCATAATTGAGCCCCATTTCACTTTACGCTGACCATGGAGAAGTGAGTCAACCTCTTGGGTCAAGTACAAACCACGGCTGCCGCTGTCGCCGAGCGAGATCGATATCTAGTGGATTTTGTACACAATAATATCGGGTTTGTCCCGTGACAAGTTAAATGACGGTCCAAACTCCTTTGGTCATGAACTCTCTTATCGTTCAGAGTATATGACTTGCGCTTTCTGACCTCTCCGCTCTCCTATCAATCGTGCCTCGCCCTATACCCGAACATCGCTATGAGCATAAATTGCCCGTACAGCTTCTGCTGTCACAATTGATTGAAAACCCGGACACGGCATAGTCTAATGGATTACAGCAGTTTGTATTAACATAACCTACATAGGATTAGATAAAACATAAAAATAAGGGAGAAGATCGTTAGAAACACTCGTCGCTTTCAATCATAAGTTTTCCACTGTTTCGACTGGGTTTCACGCTAGTTGCTGGCCAATTGTGCGCGCCTCTATCGGCTGCTTTAGGAGACTCCCGGTGCTTGACTTGCTTTCGCTGCGGCGTTTCTGGCTCCCTAAAGTAGATTTTGCGTAGATCCAAATTGTCGAGCTCGATTTGCCACCTTAGCTCGTCTCGAATGGTGCTTTCGATTTTCTCCATGCAGGCCTTCATCTTTCCAATACCCACGTAAAGTACCGCCGAAACCATACTCCGTGTTTCTGCAGACATGGTGAACATGAGGCCTTTCTTTGATTGTAGGAATGTCGTGGGATATTGTGCCTGGCTTGCTCGCAGTGAGGCAGGTGTCTTGTCAGTCACATCTGGAATGCGTGTTGTCACTTGACGTCCTCGGATCCGTCCCAGCTGGCCTTTAGATAACAGCACCGCGTCCAGTCCGTGTATTTGTCTTAACTCGGTCAACTAACACGTGTGGAAGTTAGTGCTGAGATTACGGCATAACAATGAACGATCGTACGAGTCGAACGTCCGCGATCACCACTTTCGTCTTGACATCATGTAAGTGGAGATAAGATATGCAAGTTTGTAAAGTCTCTACTCCAGGATGGTGTGGTGTTGCTGGGCCCAGGGTTTTCCTTTTCCGTTCAAACCATTCTAGTAGCTGGATAGAGGGTGAGCGTGAATCGCTGGGGTGGAGATGGAGGGAGAAGCCTACCGGGCTCATACTCATCGTCATAACTGTAGCCCCAGCTTCGACACAGGCAGAACTGTGGACAATTCCAGAAACCAAAGTAAGGTTGACATATATGGAGCTGTTGTTGACCAGGTCTCGTGCCGCATGAATCCCTTGCTCCGTCGCAGGAATCTATATTGTATTATTGGAGTGAGTTCAATACGGTATCAGCCTATTTATACTCACAGTGATGACCACTCTATCACGCGGTACCCCAAACTTCTCGAACCGTCCTACCAAAGACTTGGCTTGACGTACCATGGCAGCGGTGTTATCATATAAGCGGGGATCAATGAACGTGAACATGGGCCCTGGGACAAAGTCTAGCATCGCTGTTCCAAGTTCGACCAACTGAGGGGTAGTGATAGCCATGTCAATGTATTTTGAGCGGGAGGATATATTTGGCGGTAGAGAAACTTACGAATTGTTCTATCGCGGCTCTTGTCAGTACTTCTTCGCTCATGTTAGCTCTTAAGGAGAAGTGTTAGCTGCGATGCAAATAAACCAATTAAAGCGGGTTCATTACCTCGCCTCAGTCACACGTTTGACTGCCACCCATGCGTGATAGTAGATATCATTCGTTTCTAGTGACTCGAACAGATTTTCCGGAGTTACTGTACTTCCATGGAGGTCATGAAATGAAAGACCTGTGTAACACGCGTCAGTGACTACACGTACCAATGGCAGCTTGAGCTCACTTTCTAGGTCAAGGGTATTTGCTACAATACTGACACCAGACACATTGTTTGTACCTGAGATAGATTCAAACTGTGCATATTCCATCGAATCTTTCAAGTCTACGCGTGTTGTCGGACATGACTTCTCCTTTGAATCGAAGAGGGCGGACAACTCAGTGGTTGGATGGAAATGATCGTGGATAAGGGCTTTGACGATTTCACTTGCTCCATCGAGCTGAAAGTTATGCATGACTACAATGCTTCAGAGTTGATGGCTTTACGCAGTCACGCAAACCATAGTTTTGTAGGTTCCAGGGTGGCCAAAGCATACATGGTGGCCAGAGAAATGGTGGCCGAAGACCAGAAAGAGGCGGATGCCACCCACCATTGTCAGTCCATCAAGCCAGGCAAAGCGCAGATGGTCCACATTTCGACTACCCGCCAAACAAGCGGAATACCTAAGACGTTCCACAAGCAATGGCATGCCCTGCTCGTCCCTATGTAGATGTACAGCCTCAAGTGGGCAAAGGATCTACAAAGTTAGTACCACTGAGATCCAGTGTATCGCATAATTTTCCGCGGAGCATGGCCTCCTTCTCCTTGATATCGGGCTATGGGAGAAGAGACATGAGGAGGGTGCGTCCCTGCCCTTTCACTTACCTGTGAGTGTCCAAAAAAAAGGATCGGATCAACTCCAAGGTGAGGCTAGTACCATGCATATCAGCATCAGCACATACTACTAACATTGACAAGGCTCCGGGATAAATGCAAGCATAGCCATCATCATAGTCTCATGTAACGTTTCACCCGACGGATCCGCTGTGCGCAACACGACTATCAATGAACACAAGGTTGCATAGTATCAACTTGGTAGGGCGCTGATGCGGAAGCGTTTTTGTTAACTAAAATCAGCGTTAGTGGCCAGTGAATTGAAGGTGCGGCGTTGGCGGAACTTTTGAGAAGCCCAAATGGAAGAATCTTTTTTTCCCCCTTCAATATGGACATGGCTCCATGGATGGCGCCCGAAGCTGAAAACGTTTCAGAAGCGGCTATAGGTATGAATCTTACTTACTAGACAAAGAAATATGGGACAGTTACTTTGTCGCCGTTCGGACTGGAATCTGTCAGTTTATGTTTAGATTGCGGTCGCTCGCTGGGCACTGATACAAACGCGACGGGAGTGATTAATAATGAAACAAAAAGAACGACGCCGACGATGTCTCGACACCTTGGAACGAGCTAGGTCATATTTGGTACATACAAGGAAGCCAATCATGAGTATTGTTGGAAGATTGCATGATGGGAATCATCAACTGTGCATTCTGTTTCCATCAGAAGAACACAGCCAAATGGATCATAGCTTCACCAGAAATGAAATCTTTCGTTCTTTTTCCCGTCGTCTCGCCCCGGCGTTCGAAGACTGGAGAGAAAAACTGGGGAAGAAGGTGCAAAGGTTCGATTGAGTGATGGTAAAGACTCGGAACTAAGAACCAAGGGTAAGCATTCAAAGAAGGAAATGTGCAGATTTCTAGCGATATGCCCAGTTGGGGCGTGTACGAACAACTATACGTAAACGTGCGTAAGGCTGGCTAGCTATAGCTAAGTTCGTAAAGATCTGGAGAAGATCGCCGGATGGTTCTGGCTGATCCTGTACAACGGATAACGGACATGACAGCTAGTATGTTTACCAAACCATTGACCGCATCATTGTGCAACTCTATGAGCTAAACCACTGAACAAAACATCGAGCTGTGTATCCAACATGCTAATAGACAACTATATGACTCGGGAGTATACTACATGAGGATGCATGTGCATGATTCCATGGAATTGCGCTAGTAATAATAAAGTGTATACAGTGGAATATTAATGAAAATATGTAAGAGCTCTATATATATGATGCATGAATAAAACGAGAGGAGACTAGTAGGCTGCGAGACATGACGATAGCGATAAAGCACAAGGGTATATTCTACATTAAGAAAAATGAAAGCACAGCAAAGAACATCTACCGATGCACCTGAGCCCGCTCAGCAGAATAGGTGTGCCAACTGTCCAGATCAGGTTCTGGTGCTGTTTGTGCGAATGGAGGGAGCGTGGTCTGGTAGTGACCAGAATGACCGTGGCCGTTATGTGTATGATGGTTCGACTGCTGCTGTTGCTGCTACACAGTAAAAATCACTGGTTAGTAAAGCTTCGGCGAAATACACGTGAGGTACATACACCAAAATTTTCATCCTCCACCTTCACTGACCCATAATGATTTGAATGGGAATAATTTGACAACGCGTGATGAGAGAGTGAACTTGGACGATGATTGAGGGGGGAATGAGACGACGGCTGCATTTGGGCCGGCTGCTGGTGGGGTGAAACAGAACAAAGCGTCACTAGGATCCCAAAAGCTCTCGAAAATTTTCCAAGGACATTACGTCACTAGGAAGAGGGAATAACACTCGCCGAAAATGGGGGACTTGAAGTAGAACTTGAGCCAGAGGGCGTGTTTGGCATTTGGAACGCCGGCCCATGTAGGCTGAACAGTGACGATGATGAATTTGTCACATGGTTCGAAGAATTGTGGTGAGAGGGAATGTTGTTATAGTGGTGCGACAAAGGTTGAGGGATGGTTAGTGGTGGCGGTCTAGAAAGGTTGTCGGTATGCTGATCAGGGCCCTAGGGCAAGCATGATGAGTAATCTAGGAATGTGAGGAATAAAAGGCGGTGAAAAAGAATGCGTGCCGGTGAACGCGTGTTGTTGTACGTGTAAGAACGACGAAAGAAACGAAAAGTACCATATAGAGGTCGTCAGTCATTTTGCGCTTTTTGAGCTCGCGATCACAACTGCGAGAGTCGTGGAACGCAGGTAGAGACGGCCGTCGATAGTCAGACGAGAGATGATGATTTCTGTGGTCGGGCTCGCCAAGCAAACGCCTGAGCTCGTCGTTCTCTTTCTGCAGTCTGACATTTTCTTGTTCGAGCTCGCGGATTTTTACGAGCGGTGGTGGTAGAGTGGCGACCTGGTCTGGTGTGAAGCCCAGGGCTGTCTGGAGCTTTGTGACGGTCTGCTCAAGCTGGAGTAGGTGTAAGCGGATAAACGCGGTGGGAGTCGCGACAAAGAGCTACCTGTTCGATGTAAGCCTTTCGCTTTGCGCGATGCCTAGCTTGGGCCTTTGCATTACGGCTGCGTTCTGGACGATCAGACTGTGACGGTAGAGATTCAGAGGTAGCGTGAGCCATTGAGGACATGTAACGTTATAACGTAACTGTGAGAGGGAAGGAGGTCGGGGTTTCGATAAAAAGGACTGGTTATTATAACTTGTCGAGTGACGCCCAGCGGACATGCACTATGCCTAATCGGACGTAGCCTCGGATTCCGGATTATTCGCTTTCTTCAGTCAGCCGACTTGTCTTCACCTCGACCCTGCACAAAATGCGCTGGAAATGCCCGCAAAAACTCTTCGGTCATCTCAAATCAAATCTCAATAAAAAATCTTCCCGAATCTCCCTTTAAATATACTTTCCACTTCCATCGAACTCTCTTTTTCGTCCCTTTTTATCCGCGCCCAATCTCTCCATTTCTGCCCGCCTCCGGCCTCTCTGGGCACCGTCGTCTCCCACGGCGGCTCCCCCGCGCAGACACGATCCCACTCGTTGTGGTGCGCCTTGAAACATATTTTCTCCTTTCACAGAGAAAGCTGTCGGCAAGCTGCGGCGGTTGCATCAACCGCAATGCCGCTGTACCTCACGGTTGGCTGGTTCGTTGATCCCCGATCACTACACCACAATAATAAAATAATTACTCCCGCGTCGTCCCAATTAGGCATCTTCTCATATTATTCAAACCCCTACCCCGCGACACTCCCCATTCTTTCGTTACCAGTATTTCGACACCCTTTGCTCCTGCACCGCCAGCATCGTCTGCAGCGAGCATCGCAGTGTGCTCAGCATGTAATAATCATGCTAGCGCTTCATATACGCACACTTGGGTGCAGACCACGCATTAACACGGCTAATTCCAATTCAATAGCCCACTGGCTTCGCAGAATCTGTCACCTGAACTAGTCGACCAAATTGTCCAGGTATTGTCAGCCTCCGCACTTCATGGACTGCGATCCCTTTCCTTCGGCCTAGCTCAGTCCCGTTCCTAATATCCTTCTTTTTGTCTTTTTAGGATTAAGCGCAATCTATCGGCCGCTCTACATATCGCAACCCCGTTAGCTGCTTCACTTTACGCATCAACAAGGATACCTATCCAAAGTGTATCCATCCCTATCATCTTAATACTCCTGTGCTTTGACGTCAAATACACACTTTGACATCGGCACTGGCTCACTCTTCCTTTATCGGTAGTAATCGGCTTCACGGCGGTTATATTTTGCGCCCTTTTTGGCTCAATTCGTCTCTCTTGCAACGTGCAGGCAGGGTTTCTTTCGGCTATTCTGCGACACTGAGTATTTTGTTATAACCATCCCGCAGCTTGGGAAAAAACCGTATCCTAGCCATTTATCTGTCGGTTTCCAAGTTGCATCGCGGACTTGGCGTGGCCTCGTTGGCGAGATCCTCAAGATAGTAGATAATGGTATCGCCTCTTCTCACTGCACTGTCCTTTCTTGTTGCTGAGCGCCATGAACACTCCGCGGCTTTCTGTTTGATTGTGCATCCCTTTCGATACTCGACACGATCTAACCAGTTTTGCAAGAAATGTCGCTTGATGAGTCTCCTGGCCCTGTATCTCTAAACACTGCCGACATCTTTTTTGTTCTTACTCCCCGTTATTGCCTGCACCCTCAAGTCCATCGCGCACGACGAACACGCACTTCGTTCTACGTTTCCCTCTAGCCCTTCGACCCACGACTTTCGAAGGTCCGTGCCTGGCGGACAACCCATCTACATCTACTCGTCGCTATTACGGTTATCATACTAACTCATAATGCTCAAATCATATCGCCGTCTGCAGGAGAAGTTATATAGGAACCCCATTGGTCCCTATTCATTCGGCAACGTCCGATCGAGACTGCACTCCCACGTAAGGGCTGTGCGACTTTGCTTGAAATTGACATGGTGAACATTTCTCACTGATAAACCGGTGGCGGGCTAACTCGTGTTTGATCTCGGACTTCCCTTTAGAAGGCACATGAAAAGCTCAGGATTCCTACCTGCTGTAGAGTATGTTTCTTCTCATACTTATCATCTATGATTTGCCGATGCGTATCGATAAAAATTATGTTTAGGGCGGTAGAGTGGGTCAAGCATGGGATCTCATGTAGCTGCTGTGCCACGTTCTTCATACCAACAAGATGATGAACATGATGAGCCCTGTGGACGACCAGAACGTACGGAGTAAGAACAAAGGCTGGGGGACCATTCAACGGAACAAGGAATGGAGTCATCAAAAAACCGACCGAAAATGCGTCCGACCACGGAAGTTCTGATGAGCATGTGGGGTCTTCTTTGATCTTCCCTTCTCCCAATCCACTCCCAAATTGAATATCACTCCAAAGTGGCAACCGCGCCCGTCAGCGCCAGTTCATTGACCAACCGCAGTAATTTGGCCGAATGTGAAGTTTTTCCTTGCCTTCGGACCAGAAAGCGCGTATTTTTGGGTGCGCTGAAGCCTGTCACCAGCGACGTGCTCCGTCGATTTGATCTTGCTTGGGGGAGATTGGTAGGATATGGATGATGGAGTACCCAAATCAAATTGACATGGCCAGTATGCACATGTTGTTCCCAAGCTGGCCACACCACCTGTCCTATGTCCAAGGAATTCTGGCCTTCCGTGTTCTGATATTTAACCTGATAAAGCAGTGATATCTAGCCGAATACACGGTGGAGTGTTTATAGTCAGGCCTACATACATCATTAATGCGTAATAGAGTACCGTGTGAGATTTACAGTGCTCTCGAGTGGTGTAAAGACAGGGCAGCTGAGGAGGACTGTCCTTCAGGCCTCAGCGCTCATCCCTCGCGAGAAAGAGCATGATCGAGAACAACAGTGAACGGCCATCAGATCGGCGACAGTAGTAGGTAACTATCTAAGAATCATATCCCGTTCAAGCACGGAATTCAAGTATTGGTCCAATCAATAACGTACTCCAGCATCTAAATGACTCTGGAATAATGTCACCATTATGTACAAAAATAGGTGTGCAATTGCCGCTTACAAAAAGCTTTGGAGGTGGCCATAGGATGTATAATTTCAGAACAGTGCCGCTATCCTTGTTTTGCGCTGTCAAGAAAATCGGATGCCCGGATGGAAGAAGAATAGAAGCCTCCAATGTCGCCCGAAGAGCGACTTTCCCAGACACAGCTCGACAATGAGTCTAGCAAGATCCTTGAGTGAATGATGGAGAATGATCATTCGAGTTGTAGTCTCGGGCGCAGTATTGGCCACTGCGACTAAGTCATGGTTGGAAGGTGGATGCACTTACGATTATGACACGATGAAGATGGCATGACGATAACCCACCAGTCCAAGCCTTGATTCCTGGTCCAGAATCACTGTGCGCCGCGCCATCAGACCGCCGCATCAGATATCCAGTCGCATTCACATCATATGCCTGCCCTGGAAGATAAAAGACCAATGAAGTGAAGCTCAGGCCCGAGGCTATACCTAACTAGTCAAAGACTTTGCTCACTTTGGATCGCTAAATTGGAGCCCGAAGTGCTCAAAGAGTTGCCCGCCGATCAGCTAGCTACCTATCATCTTTGCTAAGCGGAGATCAGAAATTAGAGGCCTGAAGTTGGCGGGAAAAACAAAAGTTGTCATTGCAGGGTACGCCGTCCCTGACCTGCGAAAACGTCAAAAGTGCTTGTACGCTGGGACCCTAGTAGCGTGGTTGTGGAAGGAACTCCAAGTGGATTTGAGGTCGCGTGTTCCGTGCTTATCAGATTAACCCCGCCTTCCCAATTTTTTTCTCCCCAACTTTACAGGTGTCGAAATATTTTGGAACTCGAAATAACGCCGCCGGCAACAACATTCTATCAGAAACAATGATTTTTCCAGAGGATGCGGTGACAAGAGGCTCGTGTTTTGGTTGCGCTCCCCGAACTCGTGTATGGATGGAATGTCATTGGCTGCAGACATGCGGTATGAGCTGCGTGGGATTGTGACCCGACAGCATCGGTATACTAGCGCCCGCCTCGAACTCTGGCTCCTCTTTGACCCTCCAATAGCGGAAGACGGCTACAGCATGTGCTTGGGATCATAAGTGTCACGTCAAATGCCATTCGTCCAACACAAAAATTCTCAAACCTGTAACTCCCATGATCTCCACAGAGTTTGATCCGAAAATACTCACTGCGTCACTTTGAAGTTTGAGCGTTTTACAGGTATTAATAGGGATGAATGAGCAGCCTCCACATGGCCGTATCATTCCCAGAGTACCAGCGTCTCAAAGTGCCAGCGTCAGTGTTATGTTTTTTCCTAGCTCGAAGAAGTAAACATTGGATCAACCCACACAAGCGGTAGAGCACTCACCCTGACAAGGCGAGATAGCAAGGACGACAGACAGAACTAACTTGACTGGGTTGTCGCCTTCGCCCTGACCCATTCAAGAACTGAATCTACTAGGCGAGAACACGGCGCGAGAGCGCCACCATCATGATGATTGTCGGAGACTGGCCTTAGTGCCGATACTTTATCTTGGTGTGAAAGACTGGCAATAAATGGACATACGTGCACGATCAGGTGTTGATTCCATGTGTCTATCGATACAGAAAACATAAGTTTACGAGGAGTTGTCTAGTAGAACGCCAAAAACTAAAATACATGGATTCATACTTAGATCATGAACCTTCGTCATCGTCTGAAATAACGATGCGGCCTTTTCTTCGCGTTTCCCGTACAGCGGTAGCAGTCATGAGGTCGTCGCTTTCAGCGGTATCAGGTGAGTGGCTACGATGCTTTGACAGGTCAATTGTTTCTGAATGATCGATAAGATTACTGTGATCTGATTGATCTGGTTGCCCTTCCGGAAGGGGCTTGAGGGAGCGTCTCGTTGGCCGGGGTTTAGGTCGTGGTTTCGGAATGAGCTCCTGTACGGTATCAGGAGCCGCGACGCTTTGAAGGTGGGGTGATGCTAATATATCATCGTTTTCAGAGCTAGGATCGCTATCAGCACCCTCGACATCTGAATTCAAAACCTCCTCGTCTCCCCTCCACTTCTTCTTCCCTCCACCAATGTCTTTCCCGTTTCTTCTGCGCTTCTTGGTGCCCGTCGCTTTCATAGTTGCAATTTTACCAGTTTCAGCTGCAGTTTTGGCGGCTTTTTCCCTCAGTACCTTCTCTTTTTCAAGGAAAGTATCCATGTCTCCGTACTCCTCGTCACTGTCTTCAATGAACTGAGCAGACTTGTATTGCTCCTTTTCTTTTTTCTGCCTTTCCTTTTTTCTTCGCTTAGGTTCATCATCCAGGAACTCCACGTCCGTGTCAGGAGATAGGGAACGTTGTCGTCTTCGCCGACGACGTTTACTGCTGAGCATTTGCGAAGCATTCTTGCCATTGAGGTCAATAGGGTCTTTTAGGTATTGTTCTATCACGTTGAAACTGCGCTGCAGGTCGGATGGTAAGAGGGCAGCAGGCACGAACCACTCGAGCTCGTCAGCATCTATTGCATAACTTCATTCAATATCAACATCTGAAGAAGTCTACATGAACAATTACCTTCACTTAGAATGGAAAAGTTCAAGAGGCGGAACACGAGCTTTATCCGCGAGTTTTTAGTGGCGGCATTAGCGTGCTCGTCATTGATGTAAGGTATTACTGGGAGCAGGTCATTCACTCATATCGTCAAATTTCGATCAGCCACTTACCATAGTCTGTAAATTTCGAGATTGCCTCATCTGAGGGACCTATAAGCTTTGTTGTTTCTTCAAAATCATCGAGATCTTGTCCATCAGCGGCACCTTCCTTATCGTCTGTCTCTTCAACAACTCTTTCGCGCTGGCGAACGACCAGTGTAAGTATCTGGCATCGTTTTAGTTCTAGTTCACTATTTGATTCCAGAAATTAACCTACATCTTTTACCCACTCCACAAGTTCTATCTTTCCTTCTTCGACGAGTGAGGCAACGGCAATACCAATCTGCTCGCTCCAGGAGTAACCTTTCTTCACCTGTACCTCTGGAGGGAAAGCGGTGTCCTCGATCGTTTCTCGGCCTTTTTTGCTCTTCTGATCGGGTTCCCAGCTCGAATATTGTTTCCAATGACCGCGGTTTTTTGGGAAAAACGCCTGATCGTACGATTTCAATATAAAGAAGTCCCGATAAGTCAAGGAGAGATATATACCTCAACAGCCAAAAACGGTTGTTCGGCCATTGCCTTAAAGAATTGGCGCAGGATGAAATTGATAAGATTAACAAGGTCCTTGTACGCTTGCTCTCTCGGAAGCGATCTCTGTTCATCTAGAATGGATTTGAAGAGTATGAACGTCGAGGCCTGCGAAAATGGTTAAATTGGTTTTTTAAACTCAAAGAAATTCGGACGCACGTTGAAAAAAAGGCCCTCCGCTTTCGCTTTGACTGCTTGTCGATGTATCAAACTGACGACCCGTTTCATTTGTTCAGACGATTCGTACTCCTTGTAACGTGCGAGATATGTCAACAGAGTATGTGTGATTTCGGCGTTGGCGAATTTCTGTTTTTGAGTTCAGTTAGCAAAACACCGCACCACGTCGGGTCTATGACTAACCATTTCGAAAGCTTCAAAGGTAAACATTGTCTCGTGAATAACGTTTTCCGCATCTTCAGCGTCTTCTAGGTCTTCTACATCAGGAATGCCATCTTCTTCCGTGAGACCCTTGCCTACCACATCAGTCTCGCATCAGCACTGTAGAGGTTCCGACGTGTGCGGCGTCAACAGGGGTTAGACGTAATAAGGACATACCCTTAGCCCTTGTATTCCTACTTGCTTTCTTTTTCCTCACATACATTTCACCTCGTTGCTTTCCCCAGCACTCGAGCATCCTTATCAAAGCGTGAGAGAGATGTATACTTGAATCCAAGTAGGTGAGTGTTTGTGTGCCTTCTTTGTATGATCGCAGGCTTTCGAGTGCAACGTCCAGGACCTCGCCATTATAAATTAGTTGCTGCTGCAGGATGTCAGCTGCGTCATCCAATTCAGTATCTGAATTCGTTGAAGCGGTCATATTGTCAATGAGAAGTAGGAGTTGCGTTAGACATTCGATTCCGGCTTGAAGCTCTGTCCACATCTTGGGCTATGGAAGATAGTTCTGTTAGCAATGTCATAATATAGTTAGTGAGAACAGCGAACCTTTTCATCCATCGCCTCACGCATGCGTTTCAAGACCCACGTTATCCATCCTCCGTCAGTCACCTCTGCTATCAGGCCTAAGCCCCATTTCCGAGAGTCGTCGCTCGTGGTGTGTTGATTGGTGCGGGTTACCAGGAAAAATTCCAAGAACCACTTCGTGACGTAGAGCAGGCGAAGGTTGTCTTTCTCAGTGATCTTCGGTCGCTCTGACTTTATGTCTTTCAACAACGAAGACAAAAATGCTAAAAATTGTGTGAACACTTGATCGTATAAAAACACATCAGGAATGCAGACTGACGATTGAAGCACGATTCGATAAATTCCCTAGCTAAATTCCGCAGAGTCGCCTTGGCTTCCATAGATAGATTGTCTTCCCTGGTGAGCTCATCGACTTTGTTTACATTTCTAGCTTTTTGCCGTTTGGTCATGTCCATAATGCTGCCTGCTTCCCGACTGATTGCCTGTTGTCGATGAAGCACGAAAGATTGCGAGGAGCCATTGGAAGCTGGAGCCTCTGAGTCGGCCTCATTCCCGTCGTTGGTGTTCTCCTTCCGTTTTCCCTGTTTATTTGGATTTAATCGTACTGCAATGGTGGTACCGAAGCGAGAATGTCTAGAAGATGAGTTACGAGCATGGTCCCGCTTGATTCGACCCTCGGCAGCAAGTAGACGGTGTAGGTTCTGAGCTGGTTGCTATAAAACAAGTGAATCAGAAAGAAAAATGGTCCACATCGGATGTTCAAGGAACCTTTGCTTGATCAATGGCCAAAAGAGAGGGCTTAACACCTCGGAACAAGAGATAGAATATTTCCAGTACTAAAGTGTTGGCGCCATTGAATAATAGATCATTGGAGGCATCCGACGCGACAGTCAAAAGCAGATCCAAAATATGGGACTCTGAGAAGGACTTGATAAGTTTTGTCTGTAAGGAAGAAAATTCTGCCTGGTCTACGCTGAGATGCATATTCGGTGGTGGGTCTTTTATGAAGGCAAGGTTGCGAAACAGATGCAAGATGACGTTGACGATTTGTCCGTCGCGCTCCTTCCGTTCTCGGGGCGGCTTTGAGAGTGGAGGTAGTAAGATGCCAAACAAAGCGGCCATAACGCCTGGCTTGAGCAAAGCAGCTTTGTAGGTCAAGTGACTGAATAATAGTTGCGTATAGTCTGTGCCCTTGTCCAGATTCTCGTCGAGTTCCTTGAGCTCTTCTGCCATGTCAATTGGCCAGATCATGGCTGTCATGAGGTCCGCACAAGCTATCGCTCCTTTATCTTCAACTAGGCCTTGTCCCGCTGTTGCGAGGAGAATAGGTACAAGGTCGTTCGGTAGGACACGCGTTTCCCAGAAAATACGTGCAACGGTACGTTCATCATCTGTATCGTCCTTTCTCCAGAGCTTTTTGAGATCTCTCAGACATCCACCGAGTTCATCACCGAGCCTGTACACGCCGCCTTCGTATCCACCGAGAGCATCAACTACGCGCCTAATGACAGGCTCTAGGATAGCGCGTCTGTCTACGTCGCCTTCCTTATCCGAGTCTTCGGAATGTAAAGAAATCACCTCAGTATCCATGATGGAAGTGAGAGAAGCTGTAACTGGATGGTAAGTAAGGAACGTCGTGGCATTTGCAAGTAGCACTCAGATGACGCGAATGATCACATTCACGTTTACCCGTCACTGTCACATGCTCTTAGACTAGTAATTTTAGCGGTGCTGCCTGAGATGCAAAGTCGTTACAGTGAATTCAAAGCTTTCCTTAGTAAAATCACTCTGTTCCATACAATTACTAATAAGTTTGTGATGTCCCTTCATAAACACAGAATGGAAAATACACAAATGCTGCATCCTAATCACTCAATGTCCCGACCTGTGCAGAGAAGCTCAAACGTTCAGTTTTTGATCTCTAAGGAAAATATGATACAACTCACAAAAACGGACCCCTAGTTAATCAGCCATATGCTATGACTTACCGTTCTTCTTCGCACCTTTGCTTTTTTCCTTTTCTTTCTTCAGTCTCTCCTTCTCTACATCTGCTTTGGCGACCTCGTGTGCACCATCATTGAGACCCATTTTGTTCCTTGCGATCTATACGGAAGGAGCGAGTGTTATGCGGGGTTTAGATGTTAAAAACTACTCACCTCAATCGCAAGGAACTGTATCCGCGTCACTAAATCACCAAGGGTCAGGATTGATATATGCGCATACAACGAAGTGAACGATACCAAAGATGGTATTGGTCTCGCCATACTCTAGCCGCGCATCCGTGCGAATAAGTGATCCAAAGTTGTAGTCCTTCACCTTATTTTCATAGCTATGTTGTCATGTACATGCCGCCTTGTCAATTACTGCTTATTTTTTGGGAAAAGCAAAGTTCCTGACTCACGCCTGGATGAAGTCTCTCCATTTCTTCTTCCCATCGTCACTCTTCAGCCAATCCTCGTCCAACCTGACGAGTTTGTCATGAGGAGGATCTGCAAACTCGGGGAATGTCTTCATCAAGTGGTCATAGATCTCGTCATCAAGTCTAATCGCAAACACGTATATATACGGTCAGTTCCAAAAGACGCAGTGACAGAAAGATACGAGATAAGAAACACACTTGGTTAACTTCATGTCTGCTGGAGGTATCTTCTCGAGAAGATTCCAATACGTCTGATGGGGAGCGTATAAGTTCAACTGCTATGACACAACGACTAGCACCTGCAGACCTGAGCATGTTCCACGGCTTTCACAGCAAACCTATAACGCCGATTGTTACTCAGATATACCTGGCGTATCGAAATGGCACGCACTGTTTCTCGATCTGTTTCACACCAGCTTAATGAACATTTCGGCATGGATCCCACATTACTACCAACTCACCTCTATCAAGTTTTGGGCATTGTTTGGATCGAAGTTTGTGGCCATTATATCGCTTCTGCGGGTTTAAGAGACTTGGGAAGGGAGTGTGCTGGCAAGAACGCGTCGGTGGTTATTTCCAAGTTGCACTACATGGCTTCGGAGTGAGATCACATGGTGCATTGTCACGCTCTGGGGTTAGGGTTCATTGTTGTATGAATTTGGGATCATAACCAGGAAACTACGATCTCATCATTACTATCACTCGTGATATCTAACCAGAGGTCGTTATATTTTAATTGCATGCATTTCATGCAAAACAAAAAAAAAATCAGTAATGATTAGACGAAAGCAAGAAAGCAAGGGTATAATAAATGGTGTACGGAGCATGTTTTCTGTCATTAGTTCGTGAAAAGGCAAAAGAAAAAAAAGGAGATATTGATTCATATTGGTTTTGCTTCACTTCTTTCATATGCGTACAATTGTTCAAGTTCTCTCGGAATCAAAGAATGCAACCAGCTTTCCAACCGGTACTTTCTTTCCTGGACCGACAAGTGCTTTAATCTCCTTCTCCTTGCCCCTCCCTCGTTCTGATTTTTCTTGGCGGCGTAAAACAAGAGGATCAACAAATTTAGCCGTCGAAGGCGTTGATGGTGTTCCGTCCAGGGTATTCGAGCTTAAACCGGGGCCATATCGGAAATCTGTGGACTGGGACCGCAAACGGTGTCTAGAAGATGTCTCGTTAGAGTTCAAGTTCTGGTTGCTCTGGAACATATTTGAGTAACCCTGGGGTGCTCCATACGACGATTGCGCGCGGACGCGTGCGTTAGGACTCAAGCTCGTAATTGACGGCACCGAAGCAGAATCATCAGTACCAGTGGTAGATTCGAATCCTCTAGTCAACCTGGCGGAAGCTGCGGCGACATGAGATGCTCTGCTAGCTCCATCATCATCTTCCCCAGAGCGTTCATACATGGTATACTCATCGTCATCGCTTTCGGCACCAGAGGGCGAAGAAGAAAAGAATGCCATGCCCAAGGCGGCCCTTTCGCGCTCGCGCTCGTACTCTGCTTCTACTTCAGGTGGTGCAACAATAGGGCCGCCCAAAGCAACTGTGTACCTTTTCCTCGGCGTTGGTGTGGGGCTGGTGCTACCCCCCCGTAAACCAGGGGCGACGGACTTCGGAGGAGGTAGGCTGCTTAAACCACCCAAAGGAGACGTCGCACGGATGGGCGCGGTGGAACTTGACGTGGGAGTCGGGGATGCAGCGTTTGCTGCGTTGGGCAGGCCAGACGTCAAGCTTGGCGATGATGACTGACCTGATACATTTGGTAAACCTGATATTGATGTTGATAATCGATGAGTCGGAGTAATGGCTGATGGTGAACCGGTGGGCGAGAGGGCTGGATCTGATGGACTGGCATAGTCACCATGAGGGTATGGGAGACGTGTGCGAGTCATCGATGGTGCCCGTCCGATTCCTATAGAGGCTGTACGCGCAAGCGGCGGGCTGGTTGATTCTCGTGCCGTTAATGAGGGCACGCGACGTGGCGTAGACAGAATTCCAACGCCAGTATTCATCGACGATGATGTTGAAAATGAAGAGTGAGTGCTGACAATCGAGGAGGATGTCTGTGGTGCAATGGAGATAACCGGGGAACTACGAGCTGGAGCAGAAGAGAGAACAGCTGGAGAAGTAGCAAGCTTGGCCATTTCTCGACCGAGCTCGCCTACACGTGATTGTAGTTCAGTCATGTCCTCTTTGATGGTAGCGAGGTCATTGGTCAGAGCGTAATCCCTGCTGTTGGCTTCCAGTTTAGATGTTGCATCTTCGCTGCCTTCCGGAGCACGTGCTTCATCTTTGGTTTTGTCCTTCTCATTCTCTCGCTCAACGAGCCACCGTTCTACGTCTCCCATCCTTTCTTCTAAGGCACGCACGTGACTTACTGTCCATCGTTCCAGTTTTTCGAAGCGTTTTGCGATAACAAGAAGGGTACCATGTACATCCAAAGTCCCTTGAGGGTTGAAGTTGGCATACAGAGGAGGTGCTTCTCTCGATGGAGAAGATGTGCCAATCTCACCTCTCCGTAGTGGCGAAGGGGAAAGATTTATGGGACTGGAGATACCAGGATTGATAGTACTCGGACTAGGGCGTGATCCAGGAGTCGGAGAAGCAGGAGAAGAAGGAGAAGGGTGGCGAGGTACACCACTAGGAGGGATAGCGAGATTGAGATTGACATACGCCGGATCAGTGTATTTGCCTGCAGCAGATGATGGCCACTCTCTGTCTTTATCCTTATCTTTACCCTTGTCTTTTTTCTTATCCTTTTCTCGAGCCTTAGTTTCATGTACCACCTGCTGTGCAGGTGTCAAGAGTTCCCTATCTTTTTCTTTCGTGGGTGTGAGCCTCGATTTGGCAGCAGCCCACCAGCTGGTACCTCCTTCCTTTTGCGAAGTTGCAGGTGAAGGAGGGTTTGGCAAAGTCTGCGAACGAGTGGGAGGTTGCATGTGCTGTGGAGAGCTTCGTGTAGTATGCATCATCGCAAGAATCCTTTCTTCCATGGCCTTGCGTTCTTCTGCCTCGCGGGTAAGTATCATCTCCGCTTCTCGCCTGCTCCTATCACGTTCTCTCTCGGCCTCAGCTTCGAGTTCAGCATCAGATGGCAGAGACCGGTTGGGTGCAGTGGGACTTATTAGAGAGTTGACACGCTGTGCAAAGTTTGCTGCAAAGTGTGAAACCGGGGTATGCGTGTTTCGGCCCCATGTTCTGTCGTGATTATTTCTGTCGTCGTCGTCATCGTCATCGTCATCACCAGATTCGCTATTACCAGAGCTCCTAGCCGGAGCATCGGGTGTGAACCCATTGCGCAAAGGAGAAGGTGGTCTGCCCTGCGGGGACGAGCCTGGGTGTCCGTACACAGGCTCAGGCTGAGAATAAAGAAGGTCAGTCCAGATAAGCACAACATGGCAGTAGTATAAGGTTACTGACAAGGTTAAGCGCTGATGGGGGAGGAAGGGCAGACACGGTCATGCGTCGCTGCTGGACGCGAGCAGGAGAAGGCGATGGAGGTTTGAGGGAATTGAGATTTTGTAGGCTGGGGGACAGCGAAGTATTAGATGCAGTGTTGACGAGAGAGTGGGAAGACCTGTGGGATGGTGACGACGCCATCTTGAAGGTCGAGCTCGTCGTCAGCAACGGCGACGAGACGAACGAGTTCGTCGTTCACGACGACAACGGCGAAGTAGACCTAGATATAGCACGTGGGAAGCTAAGCCAGATTTAGACATTTCCAAAATGGAGTGGCATGGATTTCTTCAGTGCTCCGCCTAATAAAGGCTCCTGCTGATTTTTCTTTGGCTGTCGCTTGTTCATCGTTCATGGTTTGTACGCTCAGATATCAATGGAGAACAGGCGCGCCGAAACGTACGTTCTAGTCTTCCTTTCACCTACTTTCATCTTGTTTCCGTTGTCATATATGCGGTGATCTCATATCGTTTTTAGTCTCGAGGCGCTGTCAGCGTACATTGAATCACAAAAGGCGCTCCTTGCTCGCACCCAGGTCGATATTGGGAGACTGAGGAAGCTAAGGAACGATGCATTGGGCCGTCCGAAGAGTTTTATGGGCAATATCATATCTGAGGTGTGTGCATCGCACGTTGTTTCCTCCTGCCACCCACTCGACGGTTTTCCCACTATATTTGGTGCTTTCTTGGAGCACATTTCCTTGGCTTACTCAATATCTACACTTTAGTTAAGCGAAAGTGACTGTAAACTATCGGAGCAGACCGATTGCGGGCGTGCTTTACCAGAGAAGATTGACTGGGAGCTATTTGCTGCGCGTGGTATGTCAGAACTTATATGTTATCTATCTCGAGTGCTTATCATACAATGGTGGACATTAACGGGTAGACTCAGCCTCGCTTAAGGCATTGACATTCACTACTCGTCAGACACACCTGCAACGCAATACACCTCATACGACCCAGCGCTCTCCCCTTTCCAGCCTACAAAAGCTTGTCAAGGAAGCTCGAAAAGCAATCGTCGATCCCATACTATTCCCTCCCGCTGCCAATGCTAACACTTCATCCGTAGAACACATCTCCCCTTCGCTAGTCTCTCTTTCGCTTCCATCTGATGGCGAGGAAGAGCATGAACGAGAACCCAAAGTACAAGAATCAGTGACAACGGCACGTAGGCGAGAACGTGAACGCGCAAAAATTCGAGAACTGAAGAAGAGGAAGTTTGGCTGTGGACTGACTATCAGCACTGGGCCGACCGAGGATGGGGTGTTTGTGAGGAGAGACGTAGGCGATGAGAGCGGGGAAGTTGATATTTGGGCTGAAGAAAAAGAGGATGAATTTAGAATTGGAGCAGAAGTCGAACCCCTAAGCGCCATCGCTGAGGCCATCGATAAGCCGATGGATGTAGAGGAGTCGGTCGCGCCACCTGCGCCCCCCATAAATCCTCCACAAGATAGCAAAATACCCCTCAGAGTCCAGACCCAAGATCTTATCACGGCGTTCCCTACCGATGTAGCTCTGAGCACAGCATCTTCCCATAATACTAGAGGTTCGAGGAAAAAGTCTATGACGAAATCAGAACTAGAGCCAGAGATTTCAGTTCCACCTCCTAAGCAATCGCTGGGCAAGAGATCACGCGATGCAGCAGAAAAAGGTGATACGTACGAAAAGGAGACCGGAAAGCCCAAACCCGAGACTTACAAGTTGGCATGGTCCGTATCTGAACAACATCTTTTAGAACGATTACTAGAGGAGATTCCGGACGGAGAAAAGAATCGGTGCGTGTTTATCAATGGTTAGGGTATGATGGCGCTGACGGAAAGTTTCGTTCTTTGTCGCTAGTTGGCAAAAGATATCAATAGCTATGAAAGGTCGAAGGACACCTAGGCAGGTGGCAAGTCGTGTGCAAAAATATTTTGAGAAGCTGAAGCGCTTCGGCATTGGTGTCGATGTCACACACGAAGGGAAGACTTGAACGACCAATGGTTTCAACGAGTAATATATTGATAGTATTTTCGTGCTAATTATTGTATTTTTGCATGCAAATGTTACTATACTATGCTCCAGTGGACAACAGGGAGCTCGTATGGTTGCCTGGCCCAAGGGTTCTTGCAAAGACCAGGGCTCGGCTAACCCGTCGGTGTAACAATCACGTAGGATGCCACACAGATGATTAGTGTTATTTGCGATGGGAGAATTCTCGAGTGAGAGTTACACCATCGGTGCGGCTATATACTATTGTTGGATAATAGGTGCAATTGGTCTGAAGAGAAGTTGAATAACTCAACTGTTGATCTTGAGGGCGTCCTTGACCAGTAGATAGTACTTTTGGTTTACTAGCGCCCTATGTAGAAGAGTGAGCATGAAAATCAGGTGTTATTGCAGCGGAACAAAACTGAAATGACAACACACCTTTTGGAATGGTTCTGCAACTTTTGGTCACACTAGGTCATAACAGCACTCACAAGTGAAACCAGGTGGAGATTGTCGGCAAGGACTTGGCCAGAATGAAGAAGTCCTGAGGCTGCTCATGTACATATTCAAGTTGTTTTGGATTGATCTATAGATAAGATAGGAAACTCAGATCTCATTACAGAGTCTCAGTGTACATTTAGATAAGTACCTATAGATAAGATAGGAAACTATATTAATAATCAGCTAGCTATTCAAGAATGTGAGAAAACGTAGAGGGTCTCACCTCAGATCTCGTTACAGAGTCTGAGGTGATGCATGGCAACCAGGCCCTCTTTATAGGTAAGTAAAATAACAGAATCAAAATTTTTGATGGTATATAGTGGTGCACAGGCCACCCTAACTTACTCGCCTTCCTTTCTAGGTGTTTTGTACTGGCTTGTCTCGAGACTCAACATGTTTATTCCAACACTCCCCCTCAAGCTACACGAAGCCTGAGCTCAGCAGCACAATGTTTTGCCTTAGCGGATGGCAGGGCCTTGGTGAGTGTATTGGCAATCATATCCTCTGTTGGGCAGTAGGTCATTTCAATCTTGCCCTGTTCAATTGCATGATATATGAAATGTAAGTGTATGTCAATATGTTTGGTTCTGGCATGGTATTGATTGTCTTTTGCCAGGGCTATTGCCGATTGGTTATCACAGAATAGAGTTGGCATTGGTGCGTCATTCCCGTATACTTCCTCCATGAACATCCTAATCCAGAGGAGTTCTTTTGTGGTGTGGGTTGCAGCCACATACTCGGCTTCCGTCGTTGACCGTGCGACCAACTCTTGCTGTTTTGAGAACCAGGAGATCGTTCTGCCATCCAGCATGATGGCATATCCCAAGATAGCGTGGCAATTTTTGTGCATGCTGCCATCAGCATCACCACTCTTTTTGCCGCCTCCAAATGTGCCCTCCCAGGATTCTCGATGAACCTCGATAGCACCATCAATCTTTCCAATAGAGACAAGGGTGTACACTATTGCAGGAGTGTAGAGCACATCAAGAAGTGTGATGCTTGTCGGCAAATGGGGATTGTTCAGAACCTTGATCGTAAGATTGCCCATGCCCACAGCTGAGAAGGAGAGTTGATTTGCTGCATTGATAGGCTGAGAGTTGATGGAATAATAGATTTGTAGGAGGTGGCGATATGGGGTAAAATGGGTTGTCATGCTGGAGTCATATAACTCAATAGTTTTAACGTTGTTTTCAGGTCCTTCTTTACTAGCAAGGTTTGTCGATTCAAGGGAGTCTGGCATGACTGCAGACCAGTTCCCTTCTTCTTCGTGCTCAACTATTGCCAGGTTGGCTTGCTCGGGTTTCTTCCCCTTTTGATCACTCTCAGGATCTTCAGCTTTCCTTTCTGGTAGGTTTTTTTTGCCTTCATTTTGACGATCACGTCTTTTGCTTGGGCAGTCTTGGCTGAGATGTCCTTTCCCCCCACAGTTATAGCACTTGATTTCATTCTTTTCGGATGATCTATCCTTGGAGTCATATCTCACTCCTCGGCCTCAACTTGACTTCTACTGCCTTGATTACCCCTTTTGGACGACATAATTGCAGACATGGCGGTGTTTTTGCCTTTCGGGTTGGGACATTTTGTCGCAATGGTGAGTTGGTTATATTCCTGTAGTTGGTATATTATGAGGGTTTCAGGGTCAATAGATCTCCCGTTCAAATGGGCAGAGGCAGATAATTGGGAGACGAAGCTCGAGTACATTGGGGGTAGGGATTGGATGATGTTTGACAACTTCTCTTTGTCGGATAATTGGACGCCTGCAGCACTAAGCTGCTCCCACATATCACGGATCCTATCAAAGTGAGTACACATGTCTGACTTTTCAGAGTAACGTAGGGCCGCTAACCGATCCCTTAATTCAGATTGGACCAATTTGGTCTTGTTTTTGTTTTCCTGGACAATGGATTGCCACATATCAGCAACAGTCGTCTTATGGAGTATCTTTCATAGCGTTGAGTCTGGGATCATTTGGCCTAGGATGTTTCTCGCACGATGTCGATGATGAGAATTGTAGTTAGAAAACCACACACAAAACAAACTAACGCACACTCCTCCCAGATTCCACGGAACTTGTGTATGGGCTTTGCCTCCTAGAACAGTGGAGTGGTTTGGTTGTTTGTGGGGTGGTACGTATGACGATCCTTCAAAGTAAAACCCAGAAATGTATGGGTGTGGGTTTTGAGGAGGAGGGATAGTTGAATTATAGAAGATAGGGGCTTAGTGACGAGTATGGACAAGCACTACCTTGCTAATTGTAGCACAAGGTAGGTTTGAGAACGACAAGATGACGAGGTGATGAGGTTCCCAGTGATAGCAGGCTCCTGACGCACAAACTGTAGTGCTCAGAAGGACTCTAATCGAAAGAGATGACAATGACTTTCAAAAGTGACAAGTGACAAGTGACGATGACAGCAGATAACAGTGGTAGCAGTGGGAAGTATTGTGACCACACTGGATCACAAGCAGCAGTAAGAAGTGGACTTGAGATTTAGAGAAGAAGTCTGGATTGGAGTTCTTGTTGTTTTTTTACAAGGTAGAATACAGGAGTTTATATAGTAAAAGGAAGGGAGGCTATGCACAGTATGTTATGATACACAATTTTTGGACCTTTAATTCTCATTCTCCTTTTTAACTTTATACTGTAGTTTTCACATATTATGCCATGCGGCACTTTCCATTTTGTTCAAACTGCACCTTCTTGCGCTACACTGCCTTTATTCTTATTTTAACTACAAGTCTCTCATGCAGTGGAGCTGGTTACACGGGCTGCGCCCTCTGACATCATCAGCCACTGCTTTATCAACTGTATAGTACAACATGTACAAACAACCTGTAGTAGTATATATACCTCAATAGATCCAGGGGACTCCTCAGCGAGTCCTCCTGTTGTTTACCCACAACTAACTTGGTCCTACCTAAGGGGTAACTACTCCCTCATCACTACCTTTATAGTTTGTTCTAGTTGTGCGCCAGAGTAACTAACTCTTGGTTGTTACACAGTATAGCTGTGCAAAAAGAATGAGAAAGAACATGAAGGAAGGAATGTATGCTGACAAATCCTGTGTAGGTAGTACAGGATAAGGTCATCAAAATAAGAAAAAGAAAGAGATAAAACAATGAATGCTGTGTAAGTAATGTTACAGGTTTGTACAGCCATAAAGTAAAGTCCAATAGCAGAAAGAGAGCAAGAAAATCATGATGTCATGGGAAGATGCAGTAAAAAAAGGGCAAGGCAAAAAAATATCAGTATCAACACAGTTCATTTATTGTCAGTCAGGCATTCTAAAAAAATATATGTCCATAAAAATGATTCAAAAATCAAAAATAATTACACTGTAAATGAATGTTCTGCTGAAAAAAAAGAAACTGGAGCCACCGGTCCACCACCTAGTCCAAATCCGACAGTTCCATGGCCTTACCAATGGACTGGTTATATTGGACCACCTGGTCAAATGAGGGAGGGAGGGGAGTAGTTCCAATTTGGAACAAGTGAGTCCCAGGCAGCGTGTGGTAGCTGTAGCTGTAGCGAAGACAATGGACAAAAGATAAGTGTACCCAAGTGAATGGGACGGCAATATACATGGGCGACGCAAGGGGATAAACCTTCTCCAGCTCAAAAACTACCCACCCATGCTCCAACCAGGCAAGACGAGCGACCAATGTATTGATGGTATATGATGGAAGATCGACATCATGGAGATAGACCTTTTGCCCAACTTGGACCGGCCGCCGGGGCTTTGCTGATATCAGCAGTGGCACGTGGTGGTTGACAGATTGGCAATGGAAAGAGATAGAAAGTGGTGACATCAGGTATGGTGGGGGAGCAAAGAAGATGAGGAGGAGGAGGGTGGAGGTGACAAGGAGGTGAACCAGAATAGGGATCCAGAAGTGACCGTTGGGTGAGAATAAAAAAGAGAGTAAGGGTCCCATGGTGGGATTGAGTAAAGAAAAAAAGGTAAGGGAGGGCGACAAAAGCAAGGGCGCAATGTGTAGCCAGTGGCAATGCCAAAATTTGCCGAAATGCCGAAATGCAGAAAGTACCGAATGGAAAAGCAAAGGTGAACGCAACTGGATTGCCTAATAGAGGTGGTGCTGATCAGCCACAAATTCGAAAAAGGCAATATTAATTACTATTCCATGTGGCACAAAGGCAAGTCTTTTTGAATATTCGCTTCATTCTTGACACCTGTCCATGCTACCAATAAACTTTGGTGCATGACAACAAAACTCCTTCTTTGTCCAAGTAGCCAGTGCTTCATGCTGGGCTTGGGATATCGTTTGTGCCATTCCACCAGGCAACGGCGGGGGCGGCGACAGTTTGGGTGCAGTTTCCAGTAAGTGCTCAATGCACTCTTTGTCAGCCAAAGTCCACTCTAATCTCGTCTTATACATAGACCAGTTTGAGCCATCAGGCTCGGGTTTTGGCACTCCTAGTGACTCCTTGTTGTCGATGTTGTCAGCAGGGCTCATAACCTCAAGTTGTTTTGGATTGATCTATAGATAAGATAGGAAACTATACTAATAATCAGCTAGCCATTCAAGAATGGGAGAAAACGTAGAGGGTCTCACCTCAGATCTCATTACAGAGTCTGAGGTGATACGTGGCAACCAGGCCCTCTTTATAGGTAAGTAAAATAACAGAATCATAATTTTTGATGGTATATAGTGGTGCACAGGCCACTCTAACTTACTCGCCTTCATTT